ATTTACTTAAAATTAACAGCAGTCATTTTTAGAAAGCTTAGGACTCAACCCGAAAAGAACTGGAATTTCAAGAAATTGAAAATAAAAATACGGAACAAAAGAAGCCAAAAATCACCCAACTGTGTTTTGAACTAGAAGATAATCTCCATCAGTGTAAATGCAATTCTGAAACTTTATCTCACTAATCCATTAGTACTTATAAAAATATAGAATTACATTTTGCCTCAACGTAGTAAACTTCAGTATTTGCAGAAAAATGCATAAAACCAATACCATGAATAATACCATTGTTGGAATAAGTTATGGATCGGTCTTAATTAATGCATTTTCTTGTGCAGGAACAAACACGACAGGAAAAAGTGTGTTTAAAAATTCAATCTCAACACTAAAAGAGCAATGATACCACACAGTAAAGGCTGGTACACACATCTTTTAAAAACATAATGCGCTGTATATTAGATGCGAAACTCCTTAACTATCTTTATCATCCCCCCACAACAGTTTTTTTTTTTTTGAGAGAAATAGTAAGCCATGAAACAATGAAACAATCGACAAATAAATAACAGAGAAATAACTAAAAATTTAAACATTTCGAAACAGAGTTAGCAGACAGCCCATTGGAAATGCATAAAGCATATGATGTTCATCCTTTCACAATTCAACAAAGGATTGGAATTTTAAACTTCTTAAATACTTTTGCGTTGCTCATAATAGGGAAAAGAATGAAAAAAATAAAAGTAAAAAATCAACCGGATGTCTGAATACTACACAGAATAATTCACCGAACGTATATTACCATTTACTAATTCTTTCTCCCAAAGCTCAACTATGGGTTACCTAAACCATAACTTATTTCCATCACTTTTGAAATAGCAATTAATTGAGAAGTGAGAAACCAATCTGAAAAGTATTTTGGACGAGTGCAGGATTTCAGTACAAATTTACTAGGAAAATATTATGAAAAATTTTTATTCCAGTGAAAGTACGCACAAGAAATGTCTATTCATTATATACAAAAAAACAACAGTTCATTTTATCTTCTCGGCAAATCCACATTTGTATGGCGATAACTGCTTTGGTCCCTGGAATATTTCTTTTAATCCAATGGCAGATCAAAAATCAACATGAGTGGGTTTGACAATTAGTGAAACGTGAAATTTAAATATAAATTTATAAATGTGGAACCAAAACGTTCATTCAATGTCTCTCTCATAAGAAAGTTAATTACATAAATGTCCATAAATAATAAATTTTAAAAAAAATTGCATTCTAAGAAGCTTTAATAATTCTTTCCTAAAAAAACCTTCGGCACATTTTGATCACTCTCAACTGCTTAGCAACCTTACAGAAGCATGCCTGCTTTTAAATAATTAGTTGCAGTCCTATCTAGCTTTGAGCAAGGACGCAACCACACAAAAACAAAAACATGCTTTAAGCAATCATCATGACGCTTGTACTCCAAAATCGCATTTGGAGGTAGATTTAAAACCCGTCGCAAAGTGTCACGAATACGGTTTGTTGTTGCCAAATTATCTGCTGTGCGATTCCATAAAGATACAATGTCTTCCTATAAATAAAATTAGAGACAATTAAGTTAGAAATTACAAATCTAAATAGTAGTTAACACTTTCATCAAACTTTTATCAACAAATTCGGAACTAAAAAATTTTCAATACAAACGTAAAACATTATATCCAAAAAGCAATTCAATAACATAAGTAGTCAACAGTCATAACATCAAAAACTGATCGCTTTTGAATTTCTAGAAGTCAGGATATATAAAATGAAGGCGATTTTTTTGTAAAGAAAATCATTATGCAAGAAAAATTGCTAAAGGAGTTAATATTTGTACTCATGAAGAGTATAAGTGGATAAAATAAATTTTTCTTAAAGTTGCATACAAAACTAACTTGATTACGAATGGAGCATACTGCACCACAAATTTCCTCACCTACAAGGAACTGCTCGCCAATCATTGCTAATATCAAATTTTCCCATATTCTTGATGAAAAACCCTTTTTCAAACGCAGAATCCATTTACCACCCTAAATAAATAATGAAACTTCCTCTTTTGTGCAGAAAACTACTAATAAATTGAAAATTCGTAATCTTCAGTCACTAATAACATGAAACAGTATTAAAATGTGTCAAAAAATGCCAAAATAATACTTTCCGATTTGCGTCATCTTCCCAAACAGGTTTGATACCCTCTTTGAACATATGGAAATCTACTTTCTCATTGATATCTGAAATCTGCATTTGGTGCAAGTAAGATCAGATAAATTATTAATTTCGAAATTCCATTCAAAATAAATTTCAGAGTCTTCATTCCTTCTTGTGATAACCGCCTAACAGATATGCTACAGATGATTCACAAAAAAAAAAAATTTTAATATCTAAAAAAACGTATAAAATCTTAGAAGATTAATAAAATCGAAATTTTCGGAGATGTAAGCCAAAACTTTGCTAAGGTTAAATAACCAACCAGCTGGACGTTTCAAGAAACAATATGTATTCCAGAACTGCTCCACGGAATTAAACGAAGCCACTGGTTGCACATATAAAGCATAATCTTCTGGATCAAATTTCCCTTGTGGACGTACAAAATACGAAAACACGTAGGTGAATTCCAGGGGATGCTCACTGTCATTGCAAGGACTGGGTTTCTAAAGATTAGCTGTAAAATTGGATCAAAAAACTCATGTTTGGTGCATAATCCCTTAATCCTAGTGGAAAGAAAAAAAAAAGTGAGAATTCGTAAAGCCGGAAGTTTACTACGTCAGGTACATTAGCAGCTCACCTCGCCAAAATGAAGTTGATTAGAGAATAATAGGGAATGTTTTCCACGCAAATGAAAAACATCTGATTCCAAGAAATTTAAGATAAAATAAATAAGTAAAGCTAAACCACTAATAGCACTAAATCTGGTTTTGATTGCTGTTTCAATTCTCCTTTTGCTTCAAGCAAATTGTCACCACCAGACATTTTAGGCTCTCCTTCAACAAGCGTTTCCAACATAATACAGATTAAGTCACCGTATCCTGAAAAGCACTATATAGAACAATCCAGTCAGAAAAGTCCACAACAAACACAAGCTAAAACGTCACCTTCAAGTGAATCCCGAATCAACCCTGAAAGTCAAAAAAGAAAAAAATAAAAACTGGACTGACCACGCGACATTACCACGCTAAACTTCGTTAAAAATTGTCGACACTTAATGAAAAATTAAGGCCTCAAGCGAAAGACCAGAAGTACCTGCAAGGGCAAGCTATACAGTACCCATGATGGTTCAGTATTTTTCCCGATTCCGGCATACCAGTTTTAGAAGAAAATTTGTTGCTAATAGTAGTGCGCAACATCCCGTATTGATGATTTCTAAACTTGGAATGGCAAAGATTGGTTTCCTCTACGAAACATCGGTCCTCATGAAATCTAGACTGAATGTGCGGTACAATAACAACTTTAAAACATTGCTCTGATTTATTTGATACTCTATATATTCATTTTGAGAATGTTTTCAAGTGCAACTAGTTCCGAACAGTGAAAGCTGAATTCGAAGTCATGAAAGCAAATATTTTCAGAATAACCAGTACCTCGAATGAATCACGCTCTAAATAGTTTATTTTTGAAAGCAGAAGCAGTCTCGTCTGGGAAATTATTCCGAACACACAAATTTGTAAATATGATTCTAGGTAGAATTAACGAGTTTTTCGACACAACGAGAATCACACATCATCTTTAAATCCATAACAATAAAGTTTCTTATCTTCGATCGAATAGAATACATGACAAATTGTGACAATGAAATAGTAACTATAATTCCTAATCACATTTCTTTAACAGAAAATCAAAAAAACTGCAAAATCTTAAAGAGAGCAGAAACGTTCCAGGATATTCTAAAATAGTACCATAAATGTTAGTGGTTTAATCACGTTATTATTTTTTTTTTAATGAATATATTTAAGCCAGATGAAATTTGCTAAGGAGTAACCGCTTTAACAAAAGTACCTTCTCAAGCCTATACGGAGCATCTTTACAAAAACCATAAAAATCTTAGTTTAAAAATAATAAAGAATTATCGAGATAGAAAGTGAATTTCGATGAGGAATATACCAACCAATGCAAAAAAATAAGCGAAGTGGATAAATAAATAGATTACGCACAAGCATTCACCTAGATGGGAATGGAGGTATTGAATTTCTGAATTGAATTGGATAATGAATTGTCCTAAGTATTACATCCTACTGTTCAAGTCTTTCTGCTTTCTGTTTGTACTAAAGACAGGTAATTAACAGAAATTAATGATTTCCATTGCACATATGTTAGTAAACCATTCAATGGTTAACATTTAATTATGGTGACCAATTTTATAGCAACTTAAATATTATAAATTAAAAAATACAATTCTTTGAAAAGCTGTTTCGAGATAGAAAGTAGGAGTTTTCCATGGATGCTGACATTTAAATTTCCCACAATCCCTCCAAAGCAAAAACGGAGAGAAAAAGTAAGTGTTATCTATCAATGTCCAGAAAATGTTCTAGTCTTCATTACCTTTTAATCAGAAAAGTAATACGAAAGAACTTCGGTCTGGAAAGACCAATTAGAATGAGCAGGATTTCGACAACAACAGTGATATATTGGAACAAGGTAAAAGGTGAAATTTGCAGCCGATATTCTTCCTTCTTGTTTTGAGAATTCAGCAGCGATATATCTGGAATTGCTTAGATCTTTCATACAGGAAACAAGTGATTAGACAAAAGGGTAGAGACGTTAAGGTGCCATATAACAATAATATAATTCACATGAACTTTAAAATCTGAAAGATTTTGAGTTAACTTTAATTAAAATATTAGCTAGAATGGGTTCGTCGGCCAGAAAGGCTCCTATATTCCAGTCGGCGCCTTTGACGAACAGCTGGTGATGCTAAACAGCAACAAGGACATAGAGAACAGATACATTGACCAAGTGCCGAACGAAATTCCTGATTTATGAACAATGAAATGAGCAATTTTGAGGAGGGTCCACCAATCGCAAGCCATACAAAAACGAAATCCACCGTTGATAGATCTGCTGGACTAAGCAACGATCGCGGGACGAAACGAACCACGATGACGGGTAACCAAGAGAGAATGAAAGCAACGAGCACGAAAAAGGAAAGAGCAAAATTGTGATCCGTTTCCAGTAACAAACGTTGATTGTCTTCAAGCTGCAATTACCATTATATTTTCAACATGAATTCATAAGAAAAAGAAATAAGAGACAATAATAGCTTGCAGAATTTCACTAAGTATTTTTCACTGAAAAATATCTGTAACCGATGATATTCACATGACATCTCCACTACAACTAAAATTCTTCAACGAGAATTCCAGGAAAAACTTAATTTAAATATATCATTGTAATGTGGTGACAGGCGTGAAAATTCATATTTCGGTACCTTAATTATGCTAATAAAGGATACTGGAAAAAAAAATAATGCATTTTTTGTTAGGGTGGTCATCTCTGAATGTTCGAGCATCTTTCTAAATATCTACCAACAACAAATTTTATCAATTCTCACAGGAAAATTGTAAATTATGAAACAAGAGTCCATCTTAACAAAAATATTTTTCGGATTATTATCCTTCCTACAATTATGCATTATGTATTAATGGTACGTATATTCATAAATATATATATATATATATAACTGCCAATAATCAGAAAGTTTTTCTTCCAAATTTTATAACATTATAATATTACAACATATTTTTTAGAAATTCGGATTTTGGATGTGGATGTTTTTCGCCAGTGTAATGCAGTATTCTTTTGAATGCACTTCATATAATGTTTGCTTACTATTTAAAAAAAAAAAAAAAAAAAAGCAATGAACAATAAAAACGGCACAATTTTTGAATTCTAGAAGATTAAATACTTTTCAAACTACAGTATTCATTGCATCAGGGAGAAGAAAAAATCTAAATTTGTAAACGCCGATATCTGGAAGTGTTTATGCGGCCATTTTACACTAGAGAATACATCGGTTTTCTTAGCAGAAATCCCCGGAAGAAATAGAAAAAAGCTACTTTAGATTTTAGGCTACCAGCAGACGACCATATTTTATTATTTTCAAATATTTGAATCATAAGATAACATGACTGGTAGTTATCCATCCATGGACAAATGCTAACTGCATGTCTCAACAAGAGCACGCTATTCCCAAAAAATGTAAAAATGTTAAATGAAACAAGAAACTAACCATATGTGAATTTCGCATAGCCCAGAAAATTGAACAATAAGTGAATAATATACTGCATGTAGAAGGTACTAGGATAAGTAAGGCTAATGTTATACTGTAAGCTGTTGTTGCTGACCAGTCAAGCAGGCACAATTCGGCTGCGTGATAATAAGAGACCTAGAAGGATTAAGTGTGAAATTCCAACTATGAAGCATGTGTTCGGAGAACAATTTTCACTATTTAATTTAAAATTTTGATCTGTTTTTCACTTACGCACTTACTGTCTTCTCACTTTAATCCAATCTAATTTTACATAACCCTAGAATATATATTACAATAAAATAAAAATACATTAAATATAACATGTCGTTATCAAATGGTGGTTGACATCTATCCTGACTGTTAAAAATCATTTTTGGTTACATGTAGTTCAATATAGACTTACAAAATGCATGAAACATAGTCGTGGCATTGCAAAAAATAAAAATAAAAGTGATACCTTCATGCGAGCAACAACAATAGGCAACGAGAAGAGTACGGTGCTACTCCACGTGAACGCAATCCAACATTTACACCTCGTTATGGTTTGCTCCGCCTCATACCTGTACAGAATGAAAGATAAGACAATTTAACGGTAAGAGAGTAAACATATAGGTTTACTTCCAAATCACCAGGTTATTTACAGTGCTCAGGCTTTGAGTATATTGAAATCTAAGTGAATGTTTAGGAAGAGTGTCGCCTTTATGTATAAGCAATGATGCTTACAAAGGTACCTACACTTATTACTCGTTGATTCTGCGAAATATAGGTTACAAACAGGTCTATAAGCTTAGTTTGTTAAAGAAAATAAGCAAACGGAAGTTCTAGTGATGAAGATACCAGAGTTTTTCTAAAAAAATCAACTTTCCAATAAAGAATTCTTCGAATTTCAGCGCTATTTTCAGAGGTGAATTGGACAGTACTAACTGCAAATTTAAAAGATAGAAACAATTAATCCACCTTTGAGGTTTCATTAAAGCAGCATATCGGTCTATGCCAATCCATGCGAGGGTATAGGCAGTATTAGCAAACAGAACTATTTCTAAATATACTGAGCATTTACAAACCAATGAATTATCACCCATAAATTGCCAATCTGGTGCTAAAGCACTGTACATGCTAGCGGGTATTATTGCCACTGAACATAGTAAATCTGCAGCAGACAAAGAAACCTGCAAAACTGTTTAAATTCTAGCAGTTTATGGAAATTAAAATGCAAAGTTAATAAAAAGTTTCCATTTTATAAATTTGACTCCATATGAACCCTTTCTTGTTCTTTGAACTCACTAGATGGATTTTGAAATACACTCAATGACAGGTAAGAATTTTAAGAATGAATACATATCGTAAAGAGAAAGAGGGAAAAGCCTGCTGTACATACATAAAATCAAACTATTCGGACACTGTGTGATTTTAAGGCTTCAAGAGATAATAGTTGTAATATTAACAAACCATATAATAACCGATAACATCACGTAGTGTATCGTTGCATAGAGTTATAGTTATGGAAATAACTGCCGAGAACATTAACAGTAAACCAACAGAAAGTATCACTGCTGCTCGTGCCAGTGCTTCCGTTGTTAGCACTGACGGATCGACCATTGCCAGCATCTCACACCTTCATTGATCACTTTTAACTATGTATATAGTAATAAACTTAATATCAAGCAACTTTTTTTCAAAACAGGTCTTCAGATACACTAGCAAATGAAATATGATGTAGCATGAGAAAGAGAAGCAAGCTAGCTAGAGCAGCTTGCAGATTCTATATTTCTGAACACATTTGAAGTATGATGAGAATTGAAAATGAAAGATTTCAGGATGCCTCAACAAAATTTCTGACCGAGAAGTCATATGAAAATGATTTATAAGGACTGCATTTACTTTAGTTATATCCTCTTTTAAGCTATATTTTTGATAGCTGCTGCATGTAACATGTAGCCTTGCTATGTATCTTCTTTAAAGTGGGCATAGCAAATGCAGAAGTGCGAAAAATTGAAGCAATCGCCGATTAGTGCATTGAAACAAAAATACTGCCAAAGGAATAGCCCAAAAATGCAATGGATCACGATTACAACAATCGTAGCAGGGCAAGTAAAGCAATAATACAAAGCGTATTATCGCGACATGAACTGAATGGGTCAACTAGTGGGTTGTGATTCTGTACTTTTTCTACAGCAAACATGAAATCTCACGCCATTTAAAAGCCGTGCAGCTGAAATCAGTTGAGACATAGCTAACAAAGCTTTTATTTTCACAGAATTATTCAGTTATAAGATAGGAAGGAATATTCTGCAGTCAACAATAATGATTGAAAATATTTCATATACAGAATAAAATTTCAACATTAACAGCAATGATTTAATTATTAAGCATTAAATAACTTAGAGGAGAGTGGACAATTTAGAGAATAGTAGTCTGAAAAATAAACGTATATAACTGAAGGTATCAAAGTGAATCTACTCCAGTCATTTTGAGATCTCGTAAATCATTTCTGTGTGAATAACCTCAAGATATCATGCATTTTCTTCGCTTCTATAATATTCTTTTAAATTCTTCTAATTGCTAATACAGTCATTTAGTTATGGTGAAATGACTAATCATTGCCAGGGAAAGTGAGTGATTCAGGAACATTAAAAACCGACCATCCGGGGACATATAGCAAACTGGTAGGGAATAAATTGCATATGGCAAAACCTTTCAGACAAAATGATCCGATTTGTCATCAGCGCAGTTTTTCCTTGCTCACTGCATTAGGCATCGCCTCTCCTGTCTGCTTGAATTGAGATTAAAATTAAAAAAACTCTTGAAAAATTGATGAAAGTTGAATTTTTTCCAGCAATAGTGCAAAGTCAGACTTTGGCTCCTCAACAACAAGTTACATATAGAAAAATCAATTTATTGTTGCTGAAAGCTTTACCGTAAAGTTGTTGTCAACACATTATCACATCTATACACACATGACGTCATGAATACTTCAATTCATTAATGCATATTTTCAAGAGGGTTTTGTTGTTACCAAGAAGAGAGGCTTAGTTTCGTTAAGGAAATAATAATCTGTGATAATAATTCAACGAAAAATTCAATTGCTTCTCTTGCATCCAATTTATAAAAATTCACTATGCTACGTTACACTTTCTTCAATTTTTGGAAAACCAGTGTAACATTATTCCCAGACCCATTTGTATTTCTTCCTATTCATACCTCTTGTTGAATCTGCTATGACCATGAAATCACTTTTATCAATAAGTATCTGCTACAATGATCAAGTAAAGTGTTGTTGAAAAATTGGGAAGGAAAGTATACTAGGGGTAGTTATAATGATTACTGCATTTCTTAGGGCCTTGTTCCTGTTCAACATTTCAACTGAATAAGATAGGAGATAAGAGACATGATGACCACTGTAACTGTTCTCAACAACTGAAAGACAAACGAGAAAACACTAAGCATTATTGGTTAGGCATTTGAGAGCAATTACCAGATTATGAAAACAATTCTATCATAGCACTCATTTCCGAAATTCATAATACATCTCAGGAGATAAAATAAACTTGATTCTTTTTCCTTTATGCTCTTGTAACTCCAGGATGAATTCCATCCAATATGAAGGAAAACTTATTACACATACGGATGAACGTAGCTATCACAGAGATGAGAACCAAAGAGAAATAAATATGAGATGAATGATGCATTCTTTGCATAATTTTAGGAGTCTGCCAATAATTGCAACCATACGATTGGCAGTTTCAGGAATGAACTCAATACAGAGTAAATGAATGAGTATTTGAACATCAATAAGGAAAGAAATATAGGAAAAAAGAGAGACATCCATAAGGACAAACTCAGGAAATATCTTTCTAGTCTCAAAGTGCGAAAGCGACCAAAAGCTCGATAGGTACATTGCAAAAAGAAAAACTCGTCGCTAACATAGTTTACCGTGACAATTATTATCATTATTATCAATTGCCACTATTGCCATTATTGACTTAAAACACATAACACATGTTTCAAAATCGAAATTTCTGAACTTGAGAAATTCCTGATCTAGGAAGCTTGCTATCTTACTTTTCCTGCTCCAACATTCCAGCAGCATTTCAATAAATCCGATTGACAAACAAATAAATAAAAAAAAAAAAAAAATGTCAATAATTTTTAATAAAACAAATAAATGGATAAAAAAATTTTTGAAATAAAGAATTAATGCTATATATAAAAGCATATTTATTTTAAAAAATGAATTACAAAATAATTTCCAAAATAAGAAAAATAAAAAATGAATTGCAAAAAAAAAGTAACAAGTAACCAGAAAGCGATAATGCCGCCGTAAATCAATGAATGTTTTGAATATTATAACTATACGAGTGAGAAAGATGAAAGTCTACAGCTTAATATCACTACATCTTCAATCTTTACAATAAAACAAACGCAACAGGTTAATTAATACCTGCACTTATTTTAATGAATCACTCAAACATGAAATATTCATAACAATATTTTCATATTTAATTAGTCATACACCACGCTTCTGCTAGCATAAGGGCTTATGGAACAAACTTTAAACACATTTGCACAATTTTTTGGAAATCGTTTTCTGTCTTTCAATTGTCATTAGTAGAATTTCCTATACAGAACATGTTTATTTTTTATAAAAATGCAGATGTCTATAAAAAAATTACAGATGCTTATAAAAAATGTTTTTCATTTTTCAACTAACAATTTCTACATTTCGCTCTTGGATTCAGAAAAAACTTGGATTTAGAAGTGTAAGCAACTTCTGCAATTTAACCGCAAAGGATCAAAAATTGTTTAATATAAAAATCTTAGTCTAACTTAGCTCATCAAATGAGGTAAAATAATCTAAATTGAAAGTTGGCTGCAAATCTTCTGCTAGGGAGATCTTTAAAAGAGCACTATTATCTAATGGTTCTGACTACATTATGAATCCACTTAATAATTAGTCATCATTCAAAGATTCAAGGGCACTAAAAACTTCTATTCGTTTAAAAAATGAAAAGCTACAATCCTGAAAACATACCACAGGGATAATATGAGGTATATTTCTATTTCACAAAACCTCACATTTAAAAGAAAACCATATATTGATGAATAATTGAATAAATATATACTCTTAAAAAACAGCTTATTTCGAAGCAAGAATTTATGAGGAAGACTTGTGCGAGTGTTTTTTTGCAGAGACATAGTCCGAAACATATTAAAATACTGCAAGCGATAAGTGTAATTAAATAACGATGATAGTGACAAGTGATAACAATAAGTGCATGACAAATCTATTTCCTAATATCTTCCACGATATAATGTTTCTAGTTCATCGTCCAGCGATCCCAGCTGATGTGTTAGATACAGCAAATGTAGTGCTGCTCTGAGCTCATACGGAGAGTTAAGAAAAGTAACCAAGAGACAAAAAATCAGAGATTCGTCCTAATACTATAGGACTGGTAGCACTCTGGTGCAGCACATCGCTCCCATTGCACAATAATACAGAATTGCTGTATATGTGTATAAGACGTTAATCTGTGAAAAAAGAAAAAAAAAAAAAAAAAGTCGTAAGCATTGGAGTATGGGAAAAAACTGAAGAAACTTGGACTAACAGAATGGAAGATAAAATTTGTAGACACTACTTCTTGGCATAAGTTACACAATTCCATCCAGGCCTAGACTCTCCTACCGCCGATTAGCGTTGTTGGTGTTGTTCCTCCTCTTTGCAAATCAATAGGGTAGTCTAACTCTTTCACAGCAAGGCCGACGTATAAAAAGTGGTGCTGAGAGCCAACTCTTTTCATTACTACATCTCTACTACAAGTAAAACTATTGATCTAAAAAAGAAGCAAGCAGCTAAGAAAATGGTAATGATAGATAGACAAACGATTCCGGTATTCAAGTATATCGAGAAAGTGCATGGATATTTACTGGTTCACCGATTATTTTATGAAATCAGTACATTAAAAAATGTATAGTTTCATGTCAGTTTAGAAGATTTACGGTGTATTAATCACAGTAAGCGACTGAAAGATAGTGCATCACGAAAATCTGGAACAAAACGATTTATAGATGCACTGTGGTAATGTACATGCGGTTAATAGATGGGTCACAATACCTTATTCTTTTTAACATCTTGACCCGATGAAAAGGTGTATTATTTAAGTATTTGATCAATCATTCTGATTTGCTCCATTAACCATAAAAATGATCATTTGTATATTTCCAATGAAGATTAAAGTTCCTTTATTGCTTGCAACTATGCAATCATTCAAAATTCGGAATAGTTGCATATCTAACACAAGTGGCTTCATCTTCCCTCCAATAGTCAAAGCCTCCGTAAATTAAAAGTACAAGCAATAAAATTTTAATAAACTTCAGGAAAATTAATATTCATGTTATAAAAAGTGGTGCATTAGGCAAGAAGCTTACTAATTGCAACAAAAGCACTATTTATCAAATTTTCAAACTTGTAAATGTTGATCTTCAGCGTTTCACTGTTATGACAGAACTTCTGTTTCAGTTTTTTGACGTCTCGTAAAAATTCCCACTGCATGTTGTCAATGTATGTAGTCAGCTTAGTAAATATTTCATCCAGATCTCGAAATTCTATATGAATTCCAACGTTGAATACCGATTTAACCACCACTTACACAGCATTTGTGATTTGGTTAGTGATGACAGCTTGACAGAATTCACTAACCGATACAAGAACTTTTTTTTACCTTCAAAGACAAGAATCACAAAGCATTGAGTACTGCATTGCTTTTAAGCTATTTTGCTGCAGTTAAATGACTGCAGGCTTGTAATGGTAGTAGTTACAACTGCAGCAGTATTCGCCACATATAATTTATTTCAAATGCAAACGTTCTAATTTACAAGCAACTGACATAATTTTTTCAATTTCTTCAATTAATCTGCTTAGCATCCCAGAATCCACCAAGAAAATTTTCTCATCTTCCATGGAAGCAGAAGTCTCAACATCAATACCAGTTGTCCAATCATCACCAGTACCAACACGAAGCCAAAATTGAAGCATTATATCCGGTGAATGCAACAAAACCATTCGGCCAATCTATGTATTTTACTATGCTCCTTTTTAATAGGAAAAAATTATGAAAACAAACATTAGTATCATAGATTTTTCAATAAAAATATCTCGAAAAAATGGAATAATGGTTAGAGACTTACTGTCTATTACGACTTCTTAATATCAAATATGCAGAAAAAAGGCAATTTATAACCAATCGAATGAAAAAAATATTTTTTGACTACATCTGTTGAAATTAACACTGAAGCTCTATTTTACTTTAAATTCGGAACATCTATTAATGGCTATCTGAAGAACTTCCAAACATTACTGTTGAGTTCTTACTGCTCATCCCTACATTCTATGACTGTTTAAAAGGAAAATACGATTTCAAAAAGAATTAAATGTCCAATTAGCAGTAGACTACCTATTCAGTTACTCGCCTGCCAAGTTGAACAAATCCTCAATAAAATCTTAAATCTGGTTTTCTTTTATGATTTTCAGTTTCAGTGCGTTCAGAAATCTACTGCATTTTTGCTATCATCAATGTATGTCAACAGACTTTTGTTTCTCAGATACCAAAAAAAATTAAGCATTTTTTGAAAGCAAGATTTGCGTTCTATTCCTACCACAAAATCATACAAGAAAAAAATAGCTTTTTGTATTAAAATATGATGTTAGGTCTGATAAAGGTTTAAGATTCAGTTTATCTAACCAGTGATAAAAACGAACATAGAGCGGTAGAACCGAAACTTATACCACAGAAGTGAGATGAATGAGATAACTAAAGTCGTCAGTCGCAAACGAAATTTCGTAAAAGATTCATGCCGAAAGAATTCCGTAACTGAATAAAAATATTGGAGTGAGCAATTCATATGACGGTGTATGTAATTATTTTATAACAATGTAAACAAAATTAATTCTAAATGATGAAAATTAATGATGAAGTTCTTTCTTCAAACTCCAACTAAATATTCAAAAACTTGTGAGTGTCCTCTTTTCATATGGGTTTAAAAGTTAAAGAAACTTTTAAGTAAGTTAAATTGTTGCTTTTCTCTTACCCGACTGACCTTCCTTTCCAAATTTTTTGACAAAAAAACTTGGTGCAATATGAATGTGAATGAACTGTGACATAACTAAAATTGCATCGAGTTTCGCTAATGTTAGATTGTTGCTAGCTATGCAATACTTATCAATAGTGATGTAGTAGAAAAGTATTCTGTCCAAATATCGAATAAGAAGAATTTTACGTTAACAGCAATAACGTCTCGAGCTATTAACTTCTTAAATAAAGAAAATATTTAAATAAGAACTATGACAAGAATATGAATCATTTATACAGAAAGGTAACAAACCCTAATAAATTTGAAGGAAAAGATATCATTTAAAAAATAGAAATCAGTACGTAAAAGGAAAACACAAAGCATAAAATAGGAATGAGCTGACAGAAGCCGATAAAGATGCAACAGCTTTAAGGGAATGAGGAAAGTGAATTATATCCTTTCGTGGCATATAATTTTTTTTTTTTTTTTAAATCACTGGAATTGTTTTATGAAAAACGTAATAAAACTATCTTTTATTTTATAAAAGATAAGTTTTAAACAATTAACTGAAATTTTTGAGCTTATTTCACTGTTGATCAGATACTTTCCACTACATAAGTATCAAAATAAACGGCTTATTTACAGTTATATTTCAAAAGTAAGCTGAAGAAAGGTAAGACCCTATTTTTATAAAGAAATTCTTCAATCAACATATTGCTATTGAAGTAATAATGTACCTTGCAAATAGTTGAATTTTGCGATGTTTTGATGATAGTGATTAACTTCATTGCTCAACTCAATTATAAGCACAGGAAAATTGATATTACTACACTACAGCATACTAAATAAGGATGAAACTATGCAGATACGACTATATTGCCTCTTATCACATAATAAATAAAATCGCTGATGCCTTTATTATAAAAAACAGATACTAATTTTTATGAGAAATGTAAACAAGTAGAAAGCAGATCGGAATCTTCTAGAAGCATAGAATATATTTAAATTTACAATTGCGGTTCAATTTTTCAACATCCTCTCTTTAATATCAGTTAAGTTAAAGTGACAACAGTATAATCTTAAACTAATCCAATTAATCAAAGCCTATGCTAAAACATAATTCAACTGAAAGCTGAATTAGTCATAAAATACAACTGAACTAATACACACTTATTTTTGAAATTTGCAGACACGATGAAAGATGTAATTGTCACTAAGAACCAGAATCTTCCGATAAGAATTCACAACATTATAATATAATAAAATTAGAAAATACAACTGAACTATATCCCAATTCGTCAATTAAAATATAAGTAGCAAAAATTCTTTGCAGTAGTTTCTATTTAATAGCGTCGATAAAAGAAAAACTCAATCAAACACGATTCTTTAACGAAAAAAGCAAATATCTGAGTCCAAAAACAGAAAAGAGTACCTCAAATTTCACATGTGATATCTATCTTTTTTGCATTAATAGCAAACTTAACCCATCGCTCTTGAAAAGCTATGTGCAGCTTATTACACTCATTTTAAGGAATAGATTCAATTTTTCTAATGCGTGCCGAAAACATTACTTTCAAAAAAGTTCGAAAATGTTTCATCGATTTAGTTACTTGAAACCCGTCGCTCTTATGCCGCTGAATGTAACTAAGAGCACAATTATTAGTGTAACGTCGGAATGTTTCCTTGGGGAACAAGAATTTCCAGTTACTTCGGTACTTGCAGTGATTCAGTGGAAGACGAAAATGAGTGTAACTAATAAATTATATGTGGTAATTTTCTTTACATCAACAATTAAATGGCAGCGCAATAATATTACGACTTACCGTAATCTGTAAACGGCAATTAAGAGATCGAAATGGCGGATATTTAGATATAGCATTCACTATGGTAGGTTTACAAGACTGCTCAGTATCCATAAAGTCGATGACTGCTTTGATAAACTCATCATCGAAGGAATTCCGTGACAAAATATCCTTCAGACTAGATTCAGCAAGCTAAAGACAGAAGAAAAACAGTTAATTAACGAAATAGTACTTTTATCAATATTTTAATCACAACAGAACTAACCCTGCTATCAAATGAGATTTGTTGAATATATTGAAGAAAATAAGACCTTTTAACAAAAAAGATCTTTTATCCAATGTGTTACATTCCACTGAAAACGAATATTTGTTTTTAGCATGAAAATTGAATTTTATTACATCTCATGTGAAGACGTTACGATACAAATACGTTACACTAACCTTGTTATTACGCACATAATTATGCAGCTGCATGAGAGAATTGAAACAGCGCCAGATCTCCGTCGAAGGTATATCAATACGAGCTGAAATTTATGATATGAATATGAAAATGCAAAATTCCGCATCAAAGCCCTTGGAAAACACAGTGAAATGATCTGTAGCAATAATAAGTAAAAACAAAAAGTTTGTTTTATGAGAATCAAAAAACTTGATGTGCTTATCACTTTGCATCACTTTCATTTCATGAATATTTTGAAGAGACGAATATATGAAAACCTTATTAGAATATGTCGCTACAGTTTTATCTAGAAAGACTATAGATCATAATATTGAAGGTACAATAGTTGACGCATTTTAGTTTATTATTAGAAAGATATCGCTTCTGACAGTTTCTTCCTCATGTGTCACTCTGCAAAAGTTTTATCACTTCTACGATTTGTGAAAGATTATAGCACCTGCGATGGAGTCGACGTAACCAGTGAGTAGTCGCTTTTTGTTAAATAATTCAATTTCTTTGATTATAGCACCACATACTGCAATGTAATGATGCAAACAATAAATTATGGCAGTTTCAATCTAACATAATAGGAAATTACTTTAAGACACAACCTTGCCTCTAATTTCTTCGTTCATAATGTCAGCCTTTACAATGTCTGAAGCCAAGACAGTCTAACGTAATAAGCTATCCAACAATTAATACTGGAGGAGAACCATCAAATTTCCATGAAATCACCAATTAAGAAGCTGGAAGCCACTGAATAGGAAAAGCTAAGCTTGACATAGTTATCTGGTGGGATCATTGGTTTCCCTATCACACAAGGGAATGGATTTACCAAATGGAATGCATAATTTAATCATCATTATCAAATTCAACCAATCCTCTCCATGTTCCACTATTATAAATGAAACTCACCCCGAGATGGCTCTTCAATATGAAGCAGTACCCGCAGTGGGGATATGAGACTTCCCAAACATCTTTCTATCTCGTCTCCCTCCGACATCTGTATTCATACACACTATGCCTTAATAAAAAGCGGTCGTCTTTGTTACCTAAACAAGACACTACGAAAACTGTGATCCCAAACGTACATTTCCTTAGAACGGTGAGGGTATCACCCATCATTTCTCTCTTTGCTGAACTGAGAATTCACAGACTTATCATATACTTGTCATCCTCTACGTGTGGTAGTAGTAAAACTAGTAGAATTTTCAAATCATATTTACGTTGGTCTTAGCTTTGCGCTTCCTGCGTTGCTCACAGTATCAATTATGTATATATAAATTGTTGAAGTAATTTGTTTGAACAAATGACAATGATTATCCAATTTTTTATTCATTGGGATGGATTTTTAAAATACTTGGGAAAGCTTTTATAAATTTCCATCTTTTTCATAAATAATCAATAATTAAAAAATAAGTAATGCCAGGGATGGATAAATTTGCTTACAGATAATAATATACTCAAATAATTAAACATCCGCTGTATAAAATAAACGTTTTATATAGTTAACATCATCTCGATGCTGCCAGTCTTTTCTTCTGTGATTTATAACTCATCATGCTTAATTAATTTACGAAGTTCGATATCGAAGTACAAGTCAGCTTTACCAGGTATCGATGGCTTTCGACCTTCAGCGCCATACCCTTAAAAGGAAGTAGAAATGTAAGGTGAAGGTTGCTGTTCTCAAATGAAATTCAATCTGATTAAAACGATCAAAGTAAAACGCTAACCCAATTTCCATGGAATGACCACTTTTCTTCTTTCCCCTTCACACATACCACTCATTGCTCGATCCATACCTTCGATCACCTGTAGATATAATTAACGATTTTTAAATTCCTCAACGACCATTTTATAAAATTCTAAAATTGACTGCTCTTTAACAAATCTTATGCTAACTTTAACGGAAAAATTGTCCAGTAGTTTTACCCGAAATATCATATTTTCTGGAAAAAGAAATATCTGTGAAAAATCTATAACAAAAAATACCTCTCCCTTTCCAAGTCTGAAAATGAATGGCGCATTTCGGCTAAAGCTTGAATCGATAAATGTCCCATCGAAATGCTCTAGGTGAAGCGTATAGTGCTGATGAATTGTATCACCTTTGTCGGCCTTGCGACATTCTTTCTCATCAATTTTGTGTGTTACCTTTAAACCTTCGAATATTTCCTTGGTGACAAAGTTACCTCCCATCAGTAACATGACTAACGTTTTATAAACACTAAATTTCTCTTCATATTTCAACAAGCAATCCACGGAAGTGAAAGAACTTGTTCTATGGTGGCAGTAGATATTTTTCTAAATTGGAAGACAAATAATAGCAAATATTTCAGATGGAAAGCACTGAACACTTTATATATCAGTTAGTTATGAGGATAGCAATTAATTTCATTTAAAAAACATAATTTGTTAATTCTCGGTTACAGGAAACTATCAGACCATCAATTTTGCAACACCTTAACTTTACTGCTGATTTAATGCATACCTCAATTTTCAAACCATCGTCATCAGTCCACGAATCACCAGGTACCGGTCTGAATAGATCCACAAGCTGTATCGTGTAGTACAGTGTCTGTCCACCTCTTATATTATCTCTGTCTCGACCATCATCTCCGAAACCTAGATGTGCTGGGATGACCACTTTCCTCTTTTCACCGATACACATACCGGTCATAGCACGGTCCATGCCACTGATAACTTGATTTTTACCAAGTGTAAATGAATATCTAAAAAATTTTTAAATCTAAAAAACTTACTGAAAGATCGAACTTAAAGGCATAAAACAACAGAAATACATTCAGGGAGAAACAATTTGTTATATGGCGTGGTTGACCAATGGATACTAAACAAAAAGCATGGGAAAAGAAAAAGAAAGATCTATTATTTTCCCTCTAGTTTGTTTTTAAGTAAAGCCTATGAATGAATGAATGAATTCTGAAAAATCTCTAATCAACCCTGAACAGCTCAAAAAGTTTCAATCAATCTTGATTTAGTCAAACCGGTTAAGACGACCAATTGTTTATTGCAGGTGAACCTTTTTTCGATTTCTAAATAGCTTAAATCTTTTATCATAATTCTTTTCGGTAAAACAATATTTTGCAAAAAAAGTATCCCCGGTGAACTACCACTGCCCAGATGACCTTACGGTTTCTTGCCGAAATTGGATCCTATCGTTTGTCCATCTGTATCAGAAAGTTTGTAGAACTGTTCAACGATATCACCAGGTTGGCTTTTCACCTTACATTTCTCTGGCTTGATTGGTTTTATTATTTTAATCTGAAAATCATCCCTTTAACATATAGTTCATCGAGACTGATGCAATGCAGAAAAGTGGAAGTGCAGAATTTTTTGAAATAAAAATTAAGTGACACACCTCCAGTCCATCATTTTCCTTCCAACTGAGTTTCTCTTCGTCCTCACTGAATACAGATGCAAAGCATATTATTGTAGCGCCCACGATGAGAACTAATTTATTACAATGCATAGCTCAGAAAGAATTAAAATTGAGTTTCAGAAAAATTATAACCAGAGAAAACGAGGCAATAAGATTTTCTGGAACATTATGAAATAGCAAAAAACTTTCATAAAAGTTAATTTTTATAACACATGACTGCAACATTCAAAAGAAAAAGTTAGGAACGTCTTCTTTAAAAAAATCTGAGAACAAAATAAACTTTTATTTGATTTGCCAGAAAAAGTCTATGAAATACCAATCTAAGCTCTAGATTTTCCAGTTAAAGAATCTAAGCAATAGTAGTTGGTAAGCACTAATGGTGACAATAGTAGTTAACCTTAATGGTTTCAAATCAGCAATTGACAATTAAACTTTTAAAATAATTCAAACTGAATCAAACTGGAAGTAACCAAATGGTAGTTTAAAAAAAATATTAGCTTGGCTCAATACTAAATTCTCGAAATCGCTCAATCATTCCATTGTATTTTAGAGTTATCCACAGTCTTCACTCTTTCTTTGTTGGAAATTAAAGGTATGATATATCTATATCGGCAACAAATGAAAAAAAAAAGTCTTCTAAAGATGTAAAACCGTAATGAAGAAAATCTCTAAAAAAAGAGAAGTGATATGGTGCTCTTAAGAAATCTGAGCAGTTAATGATGACGATTACAGCAAAAACATTTAATAGGAAAATGAGAGAGAGAGAGAGAGAGAGGACGAGGGAGAGAGGGAGAAGAAGCGGAGAAAGAAATGGCCGATATTTAAACTGGTAAGAAAAGTAGTTGTAGTTCGTTCTACCGTTACCACACATTCTAGCATGCAAGTGGACATTGACAAGATTTCGACTAATCCATTCGTTCTACACATTCCACTTTGTATATTATAGAACTGAATGCCAACGCGTTTCCAACAATTTTAAAACTTCTCTAACAAATGTGCGTGGATAGTAAATGGAAAGAAAGACGAAGGAGAGAAGATCATTATGGCTTTAGAAACGAGAGAAGGAGGGAGAGAAAGAAGGGAAAGAAGACTTCACAATTTTATATTGTTGGAAAGAAAATTTGTGAAATTTGCTGTGAACTGACTGCTGTCGTCAGTGATACTTCGATGATACATATGTCACTGGTAAGCAGATGTGTAAGTGTGATCAGTCCGCAATATACAACAAAACTTCTATGATAATAGATCTTTTGATTGATGATATACGAAAGCTGTCGAAGAATTAGGATTCTGAAACCTCTTGTTAAAAAATATAATACTTGTTAAAGTTTTAGAAGTATTCAACTTACGAGATAATATGCCTATTTCACTCGACCACTTAGTTCCTTTATTTCAGAATTTTCTCTCATTACAATTGAGAAATAGTTATCTTCATTAGAATAGTTGAGACTTGAAAAGTTTAAGGTCTTCAAAGTTACTGATTCAGTTCTTGGCTGTATTATTGCAGATATCAAAATTGATTAAAGTTATAAGTGATAATAACTTTCCTCTTGAAACTCAAATTGCAAAATATTGTATCTCAATCACTGGTATTTGAAAGGTCAAAAAACATAAGTTTACCATCTCACTTACATCCGACAATCATTTGTTTTTTCATTATCGTATTTTTCTGTTCATTATCACCAATACATTATATGTAACAATATTAGAAATTTCAGGTTTTCCCGTTCATATGTTGTACTGATTAAAGCATTGGTCAGCGATTGCTTTGAATTTGTTTTCGATCACCTCTACCTGGAAAATAATCATAAATTTATCGTATCGGCACAACAATAATTATCATTTCTATCTTTCTAGCAAACGGTCTCATTTCAACAAACTTCATTTCAGTATTATCAGATATCAACACAGGAATGTTGACTCTGTTTGCACAGTTTTGCTATCACTGTTATTATCATTATTGTTAGAGGAACTCACAATGACTTACCAAATGTACTCATCCGGAGATTATGAACCTTACTTTTTAGCACTCGCTAATATCATTTAATTTCTATGCAATCGGTTCATTTTTCTATTATAGTTATTCTGTCATCCTAATTATTAATAATAATAATAATTAATAGTAATAACTATAGTAACTACAGTAATTACTAAAATTATAATTACATTATTATTTATTATCATTATTATTATTATTATTATTATGGTTATAACTACAGTAAAATAAAATTTCTATTTATTATTATTATTAATTATCACTATTATTACTATCATTATTATTATCATTAATTATTAGTCATTAATTGGTAGAGAAAAAAATGGAACTTTTAACCGAATGTAAGTCGTTGAAATGCACATATTTTTGTTTACGTTGACAGATACCTTCTTTAAAACAATATGTTCTGGCATCTTTTTGGAAGAAAATTTGCTTGATTACATATCAAAAGATAAGTTTTTAAAAGTGAAAAGACAGCGTAGAGTTCCTAATTGGTCAGTTGTATTTAGGTTTATCATAGCACAATTTTTTAGCAATTTATCACTTCAATATATTTTTGTTTGATCTCTTTAGAAACAAATATGTAATATAGATAAAGTTGTAATAAAAAATAGCGCTGTATATATATGTATGTATGTATGTATGTATGAATATATGTTTGTGTATGTAATGTACATCAAAAACCAGTATTTTGCTGAATTAGTGGGGTGCAGAGGGACAGCATTTACGATTGTAAAAAGACGGCTTTAATATAATATCAGTTTTAGTTTTTCGCATCTATATATTCAGAATCATTGTCCGATACTCTTCAAGTTTTTTCTCAAAAACCCTTTTCGGAGACTCGGTTTCGAAAGTTTAAGAATTCCAGAAATTCGAGATGTTAAAATTGCTCAATCTTCATTGTTTCTTCTTTCCAATTTTGGCTTTAATTCCCAAAAAAAAATTTTAAATGAACTGAGAAACACTAATGTGCAATTGTAAAAAATTTCTAAAAAATTGCTAAAAAATTTCATGTAACGTTGAATTTTCTTTTAAAAATTGACAGAAAAAGGAATCAATAACAGTGGAGTAAAGTCCACAGATTAGTTGTTACTGTCATTAACTGAAATAGATCACATATACTCGAAGTGGTTAGATTTCTTTAAGCAACTGGTAGGACGAGAAAAACTAATTAATCAAAAACTTCATTAAAATTTCTAATCTATCTTGCCTTAAAAGCTTTCGGATGTTTTATTTCTACCCTTTTTCCAGTCTTCAGTCTCTCCCAAAATTTTAATTTGCCTGCCCTGTTAAATTGTATTAATTGAATACTGCTTAAATTTCACTTCCTAAATGTGTCAACACGTACAATCTTAATCGCAACATCTGTATCAGCATAATCCTTTATCACTTCTAACCAATCTTTGTATTGGAATGCATGGGTCTTATCATCCTTTATATTTCATCAGTTCGAATCTTTTCATCAGTGCCTGCATTATTCTGGTCCTTTCAATTTTCTCTGCTTTTAGAAAATTTTAGGCAGCAGCGGTGTATTTCACATGCTTATAATTTGGTATGTGGCAATATATTGCATAGTTCTTAGTTTGGAACAGAATATTCCTTTGGTGCTAGAAACAGCTGCAATCGACGAAAATGTAAAGTTGGTTATATTTGGTATGAGACATGGCAATTGTCATCCGGGAAAGTTTTTGAACAAGAATTCACGAACTTGGGGTTTCGAAGGAGTTCATGAATTAACACAGGTCCATTTCCTTTCAAATCTTTTTCCTAAAATTTCAGATTAAAAGAATTTAGTCCAAAATATTCTTTTCCATAATTAATGACTTATATGAATTTAAGAATTAATTAGGATTAAAGTAATCTCAAATTAATTCAGTTATCAGTTAACGAGGAATCACTTAAACCTAGAAGAAACATAATAGTACCTTCTAAAATTTATCAGCACGACTAAGTGGTTTCTCAGTTACACATGCTATAATTAAACTTCAAGTTTTAATGACAATTTTCATCACTGCAGTTCGGTAAGCGTGAAGGATTTGCTTTTGGCAAGGAGCTTCGTGAATTTGTCGGTCCCTTTGTTGCTAACAACTATATGCAACATGAAGTCGCATTCTATACTTCTAGTACGAATCGTTGTCAAATGACGCTACAGGTACTGGACATTTTACACCATTTTTTATGATAATTAAAACAAATTACAGAACTTACCTGGAAATCTCACTGTACAACCATGCTAAAAACCAAATCATCAGTTTAGTCTTGCATCTTAACACTAAACAAAATTTTCTATGTGTCGGTGTGTGATATGAGAAAGAATAACTGGGTATTTATTCTAATCTGACTTTCAAAATTTCATTATAGTGTCATTTTTTTAGGTCGTTATGGCAGGTTTTTATCCACCAGATACATTTGCGGAATGGAATCATGCTCTAGAATGGTCACCAGTACCATACACTATCGACGATTCAATGCTACAAATGCATTCCATCCCGAATTGTAACACCACTCAGCGAGGTTTCAATTTCTGAAAACACAGCACATTTCCCTGAAGAGTATTTTCCTATCTTTTTTGCAGATTTTTCAAATTGGATAAACCAAATAAAAATTTTGAAATTAGCAGGTCGTGAATAGTAAACTGAAGTCAACACACATTTCTAGTTAAGAAAGAAAATTTTCAGACTCACAATGGATTTGTGTGTTCTCATTTCATAGTAAAGAATGACAGCCTTGTAATTAAATTATTTTATTCACATCTTTACTATTACATCTTCATTTTAGATGTTTTTGTAAACACAGAAATTGAAACTTGCATGTACAATAAACATCATTGTTCAGCTTGGGAGCCAATCATTTATGATAATTTACCCGAATTAGTGCACACGACCGTTGCAAATGCGAAGCTGCTGGACTATATTGCGAAACACACGGGGTGGAATAGATCAATCGAAAGCGCTTCTGACCTGGCCGATAATATCGTTAAAATGGTCTATTCTTTCTTTAATTTACAAATTTTTACCGTGAATTTTTTTTATATGGTATATATAATATTTCCATACTAATGCTATTTCTTTACTATTACATCTTGAAATTCATATATTTTCTTCTTACCGAATTTAAAGTTTTTTTTATGAATTGATTTTCAGAACTGTCATTTCAGTCTAAAAATTTTCCACAAAATTCAGAATATTGCTCGAATTTTGGATTTCTGAACTTTTACTTCATTACGAAATCTCAATTTGGAAAGATTGACTCGAAGAAGCTTCATGTTATTACTTGGAGCTGGATTACTTAATGATCTTTTCTGTTGAACTTGGTTATAGAACTTATACAACACGAGCTTACCGGGATGGATTGAAAAGCCCACTTTGGAAGAATTTGACAAGCAGTCGCTGAAAGAAGCCATAATGACGTTGCTAGAGAAGCATCCACTTACTTGCGTCAATTACGAACCTTGTCGCGATATTATGGGTGGCATCTGGCTCAACCATATTTTGACTGCTCTCCGTAATGCTGTTGATGGACAGCAAACTCGGAAATTTATTGGTTATGTTTCGGTAAGTTCTTATGACGGATAAGTGACCAAAAATTGAATTGAAGCAGTAACCTTTTAGATGTTCATTCAAATTTATTCCGGTTCCCTTCTTACCAAACTCGAAAATACGCTATTTCTTTAGTTTGGCAAAAAATTATCAAGAGAAAGAGAAGAGAAAGGTGAGAGAAATAGTGAAAAAGACAGAAATGAGTTTTGTAGCGAGAGTTATTAACCGGACTTAAATATATTTTTATTGGTCAAAATATAGTGATTATTTTTTGTAAAAATTTGTTGAAGTAATGAAAGAATTAATAGCGTGTTGATGAAAGACAGATAAAAGATGAAGGAAGAGACGGCGAATCTTTATAGCTCAATTCGTCAGCTTTTGAGACGTTAATAGTGACATATGGTTGGGCGATATCGTAGAGAAGAAATGCGCGCATTCTATCAGCCCGGCTGGAGATATTTGCAATTTTCGAGCATCTCATCGATTTACATGTTGGATACATTTCTCAGATGTAATATTTTTGGCAAAACTCAAAAAAGCTGTTGTACAAAACTCCGACAGGGAACCAATGCTGATGTGACATTTAATTTTCAGTGCAAGTTCGATTTAGGGAAACGCCTTTTTCTAGAGTCCCACTTAGGTTTCGTTGCCTTTTGTCATATGTCATTCGTTATCGTTATATAAGACAATCGAACCGTCAAATGATCTGTTGTTGTAATGTAGAATGAGAGAAAACGACAGTGCGACATTTCAAAACAACGATTTTTGTGACTATCAGTTGGCGCATAAGACTGCTCTATTTATATATTCTTTATCTTATAGGCCTCATCAATTTTTTTTTTTTTGAATCACACTGTAAAGCCTATTAAATCAAATACTTTATTAATATTACTTTACCCTTATGATCTGTCTTGAACTAAGATATGAAAATCGTTCGAATTAGGGTCAAACATCGCTATATCAGATATTAAACATCGAATAATAGTAGTAATGGAACGCTTTAAAATGTATAATCCAACCCAGCCATATTTGTTGAAGGATATATTGCAATATTAGCAAGTATTTATATAAGGAGAGTAATACTTTTGCACCAACCTAAATATATCTATCCCAAAGTTGAAGTAGCCATAGCATTCAATTATGCTAATACTTACAAAAGAATGATAATGCATGGCCGAAGAAGCAGTGAATTTCAGTAGAGGTAGTTGGTCAGTGATATTACAGGGTGATTTCATTAATGGATTAGGAGGTAATGAAAATTTTTGAAATTAATTTTCTACCGAAATTCAAATATATACAAAGATTAGAATAGTATAAGGTTAGAAAGATAGCAAAGAATTATAAGTTTACTGATCTAATGTAAAAGGGAAGAAATGGAAAGGAGTAAAAACAGTAATGAACACAATGAAGATGAAAGTTGGTAATATTTTTTGGCAGAGAATGATAGAAAAAATTGAGAAGGAACCGGAACTACGTATGCATAAATTACATATACCACTTTTCTTGAACTCATTTCTGGTATATTAAGTTAAAATCTGCTTATAGCATCTGGAAGTGACGCTATCGGTGATGAAGTTATTGAGAATCAACCAAACTTATCTTGAAACAACAGCCGGTTTCTTGTTGGAATATCGCGACAAACCGAATAAATCCATTAGATTGCTGTTTCATGAAGCATCAACTATTGATAGACATATTATTCGACAGGTAACATTGAGGTTATTACTATTGTACCGTATTACATTTAGTCTAACCTGGTTATCACTAAGGCAGAAGAATCGTTTTCTAGTTACAGTTTATAACTTACTTTTCTCTAAGATAATTTGCTTTAATAGTTGAATTCTAATGTGCTCTTCTGCAAAATTTGTCCTCATCCAGTTCCATGCTTCCTCTCAAATGATGACGTTTCTCCCCATACATTATGATCAACAAAACTGTAAAGTTGAAGAGATTCTCGTAGAATTCCAGTTTTCTTGGTTTGAAATACTTAAATTGCTTTGAAATTCTTGAGATTTAATTTAATTTGCAATCAGGCCAAATACCTCAAAGAACTGAAAGAGTTGAGCGATTCAAATCATTGGATACCGTTCGAATTATTCTACCAACTTGTCAAAAATAAAGCAATTGCGAACTGGGAAGAAGCTTGCGGAGAAAAAATAACACAGTGTGTAGCAACGGGAAGTGGTAGTAAAATGCCATTGCAAAGGACTGTCGCTGACAGTAATAATGGTGACACATTGACTGATAATCGTACCACTTCCTCGGCTCCTTTTACTATTTCTTTATATAATATTGTGATACATTTGCTGGTCACTTTATGGTTTGTCTCATGAAAGGTCAGCTGTTGATTTGACACATAGCATCAGATTTATCTACAAAAGTAGAATAAAAATATACGGTAGCATACCTGGTTGAAGATCACTTATGATACTGATGATTGTCTTTTTCAAAATATCTTGTCATGTAAATATAAATACTAAAAATTCTCGTCCTTTTTTGTTTTATCTTTTCTTGGTTTCGACTCTAGATCAAATGTCATACTTATCGCTAAGATAATGCGTAATTTTTAATCGACAACTTCACTTAACATTTTTCTAATTTATTGAAACTATTTTTAACTTCAATAAGAAAATTAGTTAAACTTCATTATCTTTGTCAAGCTTCTTGCAGTGTTCTCATAATCCGGTATTGATTCGTTATTACGGAGTTGAATAGCTATGTCAGATTAAATATATGGTTAAGAATAATATGCTGGTACTTCATAAACATGGATATTTTGATTATCCAAAACGTAAATATTTTTTGAGCTCCGCACCACCACATATTTGACTACAAATCTCGCCTAATTTTTCTTTAAATGTAATATTTTAATAAATGATATATAAATTGTTCTCTCAACTTCATGCGTATGACCTGAATTTACTACATTTGCAGAAATTAGCAATTTTCAAGTACCGAAAAGATTCAAATTTTCTTCACAGAATATAAGGTGTTGATGCAAAGAAATGTACGAGCGTCACATCCGTAATAAATTATAACTTTTTTATACATAGCAGACTTTTTTGATTTGATTTAAAATCCAATTTCAACTGAGGAAAGTTTGGGATTACTTGAGGGATAAGTGAATGCAGTCCTAACCAGTGTTTAATTGATTTGAAGAATTGTTACTGTACAACATCACTCGTCTAATTTTCATTTTTAAAAGGCATAGATGGATTCCGTTTACTGCAAACAATCGAAGAGTAAACAGTTTGGTATATACTTCATATGAAGTTTCACATGGTCTTAAGGATACTGTTTGAAGAATAATGATGAGATGAAAAAAAGTATTTGTAAAATGCGTCAGTAGCCCACTGACCTGGATAACCCTTCCTTTTGCAATCATCACTGATGACCAAGTATTGGTGATTTGTGCGCACGACTTTGACATACCAGATGACAATGGAGACAGGGGTCGCGACATCTTTTGTAACCTTTTGACATTAAATAATATCCCATGTCGGGAAAATTTACTAACACAAGGGAAAGTATCTTCTCCACTCTTCCTTCTCACTCCCTTTTTCCTTCCTTTTTCTCTTTTTAATGAAATTCCAATTTATATTTAGTTTTTAAAATTATACCCGAAATCTTGTACCTTAAGATAATGTTCAAAAATAAGAAATCTTTTGGAACAATGTTTTTTTTCTTTTTTCAAAACAATTCTGGTAGCTCAATAAACATTCAGCTAAATTTTGGTCATTGTTTACTTCAGCCAAAATTTAGTCAAGTTTTTTAGCTAATTTTCATTCGGAACTCTTAAAAGTTTATAAACAATCGTAAAATATTGCTTTATGTGTCTTTTTTTTAAAAAAAAGTTAATCTAGGAACAGTGGTATCGATGAATAAAATTTTAAGGAAAAGCTGTACATGGTCTCTTATAGTGGTGCAACTTGCGAAATATCGTTTTCTGATCAAGTCGAACCTGCAAATGTTGCTATTCAGAATATGCTGTCCTCATTTGAAGAATATCAGAAAATTGAATGACTACTATTTGTAAATCGCCAACTTATTCCAGATTCATAAAAAATTTCTATGAGAAATTGATTTTTACTAAAAAGGTAATCGAGAATCGTAAAAGAAGCATAATTGTCCGAAGTCCACTCGTCCTTCTGACCAATTTCAACCATTGATTGTCCTGTTTCTAAAATCGGATCTTCTAATCCAATGATTGTTTTTATATCACACAATGACACTTTTTTGAATACAAATGGAAAAAAAGACTATTTGATATATTTAGAACAATTTACACAGTGTTAGTCTTTGCGAGGAACATTGAAACAAAGCTATTTCTTTTACTGATACTATATTACTCGAAGTCGATTGAGGTTCACCCTAAACTAGAAATATCAGAGTTCAGTATTGGTATAGTAATATTTAAGTAGAAGTGATCACTGTAACCTTAGGATTATTTATTTCACAAATTGCTGCATTTTGAAAGGTTCTCAAGTAATCCTTCTAACTTTGTTCAAGTAGATTTATTGGAGTAAACTAATTTTACTTATATCATCACCTGCTAAGACCAGTTAATGATTGAAGCCATCTGTTGGCATATGTCATTTCTTTTTCAATTTTAATCTTATAACCGTACCACTACACTCATAATGGTGATAGTCGTATAGTAGCAGTGGCGAACAGCAATCAGGATTAGTACTTTCGTGGAAATGAGGTTACATGGAGGTCGGTCAACATCACTTCTATGAATGTGGATGCATCCGTCATGTACGTCCAGTCTTCTGGATAACAATCATCTCCACTTTTCGGAATCGCCTTTCCTGCTCACTTTCCGTGTGTTTTCTCCTCACGATTTCCGCTCTTTTCAACTTTATCATTTTCATCACTGATCCCTAAACTGCTCCTTGTTTAGTCAATTTTCACGCTTCTACAGGAGGATTATCTCATCAAAGTATTTTTTGTTTTTTTTTATTTTCTCCCTCTCTCTCTCTCCTCTGTCTGTTCCTTCGTTTTTCTGACAGAAAGTGTACTGATATTTAATCAATTTAAACTTTCATAAGCTATTGTAATATTGCTTGAAATCCTTCAAAATTTGTTTCAAATCAATGTTTTATTTTAGAAGCATTTTCTCAGCAAACTTCTTGTAAATTTGACGGAAAATGAAGCATCAAAAAAGTTTGACTACGTAATTTTTAAAAAAAAATATTTATTACTTCTTGAAGTCGTAATAAATTGAACGAGAAAAATTATTGCTTCCATTGACTTACTTATTCACACTTTTTTCTCTCCTAAAAGATATCCACTAATTGCTTAGGTAAACATGGTACCCTGCATTTTACGCCTTATCTATACTATCCTATTTTTTGAAGAAGGATTGTGAAAAACTATATGTATCTTGTCGTAATAGCTTTGGCGAAACAGTTGAAGTAGATTGAAATGAGCTCCTCTTTTCTATTGCTTGTTTATTTTTATATGCGGAAGTTTATTTCAATTGTTTTATTTCATATGGAATCTAATTTAGACATTTGATTGTTATTTCAGCGGGAACAGATTGTTGTCTTCACGACAAAAGATTGCAAGCAAAAAGTGTAGAGATAAGAATTTGCATTCCATATAACCCCAAAAGGATTCACCTCTTCCCAGTTATGGATGAGATGGTGAATAAGTAGGTCGTCCACGGTGCCTTCCACAGGGGCACGACACTACCTGACCCGACCCACTTTCGAGCATTACATTATCGCCCTACATCTTCATGGGCGCAACAATTGCAGGGTATCTATTTTTCGAAATGGGTTGCGCATCGAATTTTGCTAACCTCTTTAATAAGGTCTATATGCATATTTCCAAAGACGTCCACTTGTTGTCAGGCAAAGGATGACCGCTGGTCAGCAGATTGGGAGAAGTCGTGACTGTAAAGGTAATAGGTCTATGGGACTGGTCGAGGTCGACAGTTGTTATCTTCTGCTGATTATATAATCAAATAAATATGTGTGTACGACCTCAATTTTTTCGCACATGCAATTGAATTTTTATTCACACTCTCAGACGCAACATTTGATCCATTACCTTCATTTTGTCACTGAATGAGTCGGTGATTCGATCTGATCTAATCTCTTCGTTATCTCTAGTTGAAATAGATGACTTCTTGAACTATCCTTTGAAGGATCACTTCCTAAACTGTGTTGTCGCATTGGTAGAAGTGACGTAACCTTTTTTATCCTTTCTTTCCTCTCAATACTTTTCAAGGCCTAGCACCATCAAGACACGTACGTTGTGGACGAGGTGTTATTTCTTTACACATTCTCAGTCCCATAGCAATTTTTAATTAAGAGCTGTGCCGTGTTTCACAACACAAGATTTATTAAGAACTGATACGGTATGAGCGAGGTGGAAACAAAAAGAGGGGTCTCGCAATATGTTGGTCACCCAATTTCCACGATCGTAGCGGGGCTCCACGCATACCTCCATCCCTTCCCTAAATCGATGTTACGCACCTCATTTTGCACACCCTTCTGACCTCCCCTACCTTAATACCACCTTCCTATCCTTTGAGCCCGATTGCGCCATCTCACGGTCGGCCTACATATCTTCCCTGCCATTGTCCTCGGAAGGTCCAGCCAGCCACGATCGACCCTTACTGATGATGGTGACAACAATAGACAACTCCACCTGTCTCATCACGATACCCCTCCAGATGCCTACTTCCCCTCCCTTTCCTCCCCTTGGATCAAACGACCGCCCCCAGATTGTGTCAGACCACAAAATTATATGCGCACCGTCACTGACAAAATTTCTTTTTTTTCTTGGGAAATTCGGCCAGAGCGTTCATCTTTGCACATGTGACCCCAAACCTTTCTTATATGTTTAGAAGTATTGCATCCGTTCACTTTTATCATCGCTCTAAAGTATGCTTCCAATCACTTATAAATTTTGCCAAAATTCAACGTTTCATAACTCTATCCAAAACTTCATAACTTTAAAATCTTGTCCGATTTTCTTTGTCTCATTATTTTTGTTCTAAACAAAAGATGAATTGATATACATATATAACTACCGACAAGTTCAATTAGAAAAAACAAACTTTCCGGGTTGAAGAGTTCTAACTGTAAAATTAAAATTTCTTGATTAACAAATACATTGGAATGCCATTATTGCCATTCCATTGTTTATAGATGTTTTTCGTAAAATTCAAAATTCCTGCAAAAAGTTTTAATGTTAAATCTGTGCGGTATATTCCTTCTTTTTGTTCTCGAGTCGAACAATTTAAATGTGTTTGTTTATTCTGCATAGAGTGTTGATGATAACAAAGTCTTTGCAAAACTGATACTGGAATTAATATTGAATTAATAGCTGGAATGAATTAATAGTTCTGAAAACTCGGATTGGAATCTCTCTCAGAAAAGTTTCCAGTAGGAAATTCGAACCACCTAGTAAAAACAGTTGAGAGAATTCTTGATAGTCCGAAGTGACAACAAAAGTGCCTCTAAATATAACTTTTCCATATTCAGTTTCCTTCATCTTTCTACGTTTTTCATCCTTCTTTTTTAACATTAGTACTAAAAACGACTTTTATTTTAATTCTTTGTTTGTGAGTCTTGTCATATGATACAATTATTGAATTTAAGAATAAACTAGGTTTTTTTTCTGATTGTACCAAATTAAGCTTCGTGACGATGCACTATTCTTTTAATGACGCATTATTCGTCAAAATTTTGATGTCTTGGATATTCGATTGTTATATTTTTCAATGAAAATCGGCTGCACAGTGTTTTCCGGCAAATGATCCAAGTGGCAAAGCAAGGAATATTTTTTGGTTTGACGAGTGTATTGTTAGAAAAAAAAATGGTCGAAATACTGATTATTCTGCTAAACGTGTCCTTTTGATATTCATCTCCTTTTCTTTCCATTTGAAGAAAGAACTAAGTTTCAATAAAAATTATAGCGAGTGATGTCCAAATTTAACTACTTAAATTACAGGTCAAGAATAAAGTGGTCAGGGAAGAAGAAGGGAGAAATAAGAATAGATCCGTTGATGAAATCATGAGTACGGAGCAGACATCAGCGTTCCGATCTCCTGTTATCACCTCGTCCACGTCTGCCAGAGTAACTCATCCTATTATTGTACATCCTCAACCTATCAAGTAAGTATCTGATTAGCAGTTATCAGATTTATGATTAAATATGCTGTCTTTTGGAAGATTTGAAAAATATTAAAACACTCTGATTTTTTTGATACTATTAGTATGTCTAATTATTTTTTCTTTTATTGTGAATTTATGTTGTTTTGAGTATTTCAGACCTTACTCACATGCAGCAGCTACCGATCCGTTTACCCTGTATAGCTATTACTTAACACACATGGGTCATGGCTTTGACCTACACCAGTTAGCACAGATCACCCAGCCATCCTTTCTTCCCAGTTCAAATTCGCTGTCTCCGAGTACAGCTTTAATCAGTAACTCGGTTCCTCCTACTGCTGTAAGAAATAGAATCGGTTGGAATCGAGAGACGAGTAAAACGAATCGGAAAGAGCAATGCAGGTCAGTGATATATAACTTGAATTATTGACTTTTCTAAATTTGTAGGAAATTTTTCGTTTTCCTCTCAGTTTTGTTCACAAAGTCAATTTTAATATTCTCACCGAAAAAAAGATCTTTAAATATTCTATCGAGAAAGTCCGATTTTCTTGGCATACTGCTATTCTCCAACTTCTCGGTACACGAAAAATGAGAAAAATCTGTTGGTAATGAGCTGATTCAATAATTTATTGACAGTTAACGTCTTCTTCCTAATCTGAATTCAGAAAATCTACTAAGAGAATCTAAAATTCTAGTTCTTGATACTTGCCTTTCTATGCTTGTCTAAAAGATAATATTTGTTGTAAAAGCTTGTAATGGATAGGTATCATGAATAATAACTGAGTTAATTTGAAAAAGTCGAAATAGATAATTTATTCCCGAGGAAGGAGTGAGGAAGATGACCTTGGTAAACTGAAAGAGTCCTATATGTCCTTGTACTGTTGCGATGATGCTTTTGATCTCTAGATTACCCAACTCAATCTATTTTTAAATAGATGAAAACTTGTTTTGAAAGGGCAGCAAGGAAAAAAGCACTGAAAGAAAAGAGCAAACTAGTAAACTAAGCACCATCTGCACTTCGACTGGAACAAGGTTTTATATCCGGATTTTCTGATATCATCTGATAGGACTGTTTTTCATCATCTCCAAAACTTAAATTTTTAAAATTTGCCAAAAAATTTAATATTTCATGAATACTTTGGTATTTACTTATTAAAAGTATGATGAAAATTTCAAATCTCAAGCTGAAAATGGAAGGTTTTGAAATGAATGAATCAGTTACAATGATTTAAAAAAAAAAAGAAGAAACGCAGTTTTGGTACATATTTAAAAAATATTTTAAGCATTTTCTTATGCATCATTGATTATTCGATTGCTTTCTAATTTTAATAATTACGCATTATTTGTAGCAGATGCATGCTGCGAAATCAAGTTGTAATAGGTAAATTTGAAATCGTTAATCTAATCTTAATATGTGATTTCATTCTTATAACACTGGTATTTGTAGTAATAATATTAGTAGGCGGTAATGTCTAAATTATAGATCCAATTTTTAACTTAATTTCGAAGTTATTTGCACAAAGTACTTAAGTCTGAAATTCTTGTATACTACAATATTGCAACTGTGTGGTTAATAACTTTGGAAATGAAAGATGAAAAAATTTTAAGCCCTGATTCACCTCAAAGTGTGGAGACATCATGCTCAAGAACGTCGCAATCTAGTACGTCACAGAAGGACCGTATAACAACGACAACAACTGGATCTGATCGTGGCTCTGATAAATTCTCCTGGTTGAGCCATTACAGCGTTGAACCAAATACGGCCATCATGAGCTCCAGTATGAGCAGTCCATCGTTGACATCAGGTTACATTGCACCAACTAAAATGTCCATTGCTATCACATGTGCAGAGCTTTACTTTGATTACTTATATTTCAAGAAACAAAGTATTATGGATAATTTAAAATTTTTATATCTTCTATATGACACTTTTTTGAAGACAATTTCATTTGCGATAAATTTTGGCTAGCAAAGAATATCAGCAGGATGGTACTCTCTCTCTATGATACTCATATTTTCTAATATTATACGACTGAGTTGTATTCTTGATATGTTGACTTATGACCACTTTTGAATCATTAAGGGAATATTAATACATTTAATTAAATTTTGGTCAGAAATTTAACTTTATTGAGTGTCTCAGAGCAATGACTCAGAAGTCTTATTTTCTTAGTATGAACAAGGTTCACCATTCCATCCCTCAAAAACACAAATATTTGCTCCTCATTTTTCTATGCAAATATTTCCGCTTGCATTCAGAAATGAAAAATAGAAGTGGAAGAAATTAGGAGTGGCTGATAAACTTGATTGATTAGTAAGTTGTGATTGGAATTCGAGATTAATTTTTAGGTCTATTTCTAATATCGAATAACTCTTCAGCTCAGTCAAATGGATCCGAAACAACGTACACGTGGAATGGACGAACAGACGGGCGTCGTTCAGGCGAATTTACCGCAGCGCTTATGACTGAATATTTAGACGACGATCCATTATTGTGTGCTATCTGTTCCGACAAATCATCAGGATTGCATTACGGCATTTATACATGTGAAGGGTAAGCATTTCTTATCAGAGCTCTTTCGATTATTCGGGGACACAGCAATAAGATTTTAAGAATTATTACGATCGTGAAATTTAAAAGTAAGCTAGTGGATTAACTAATAAATGGTATTGTTAATTGTGATGATGCGGTCTTGTTAAGATTGATTTGGAGATGTTATCAAATTATCATTTAAAGAATTTATTTTTTACGAATGAAAAAGTATCAAAGGATAAGTGAAATGTTAAACTTGATGTTTCCATCTTAATCATTTCATCGTAGTTGCAAGCGTATGATTTGAAAATATTAACAATTTTGAATAAGTTTTAACTAAAAAAGATGAAGTAGCTCATTTACCATGAATTATCAAATGATATAAATAAATTAATCATACAATCCTCATGAATGGAACTTTTATAACTTCAAAAAAGACATTTAGCAATTTCGGAATATATTTATTGGTTGTTCAATGATTTCTTGTAATAAGTGCTATATATCCAGAATAAATCTACTATATATCCCTGCTCGAAAATTCTGCCACTTATGCTTCAATGGCTGGAAAAGGTGTACGATGAAGAAAGAATGCGAAGATATTTCATTTATAGGATGTTAACTTCTTCACATGTCATATAGCGGTATAGTAGTAGTGTAATCGTAATTAGTAACGGTAGTAGTAATAGTTGTACGATTGGTACATCTCTTGTAAATGAAAACTTGCCTGATACAGAAATCGAAGCCAATATGAAATGGGTTATCAGGTTTCCGTCGAAGACAGACTTTTCATTCTTTCTTTTTCATGCTATTCATCTTCCCGTACTTTTTTGAGGCCGTCACCCTACAAACAAATTGTTTTTGTGTCCGCCTTTTTTATGCATTGAAATGCTGGAAAGTTGACAGGATGGCAGTTCATGGTGCGACGAAATCAGGCATTTGCTCATTGTTTCAAAGTGTGATTTGAATTAAGGTCAGTAGATATAGGCATATATTGGTGAACTTCATTTCTTGTCGAGAATATCCATCGTCGTTCAACATATTGCACGAGAATTCACTTATCTACATTTTGCTTTGTTCAGAGATGCATATCTGTAGTTGGAAGGAATTTTTGAAATGCCGCATTGGTTTTACTTTTTATTTTAATGCTTCCTATCCTCAACTTACTTAATCATTGCTTCCGCTTCATCGTTGACTTACTTAGTCTTTATAGTAAGATTTCTCAAACTTTCGTGTTCCGTTTTCTTTGTTGTTGTGGTTTTCAAGCGTTTCATTGATGTTCGCAAATCTACAAGAGTGTGGAAAATGTTGAAGTGCTGAAATACAACTCATAATTTTCAGGACTCCTTTGTTTGTATTCTTTTCGATAATTCGGCCTCACTGTTTTGTCGTTAATAATTCCAACACTTTACAAATAATGACTGATAAGACAGAAAAGTCTGTTAACCATAATTCTATACTATTGCAAGGTCTATCAATCATCACTAATGCACTTATTTTGAGATATATTATAATAAGCCAGATTGCAGTAATTTGAAAGTAAAATTCATCCTCTCTGTATAAAGTGCTTATGTTGTGTAAATCAGTTTTCTTTTTTTAATTTCAGAACAGAATGATTCCATAATTTCCAGAAGGCCTGCATTAGAAACTCGTTTCATAACCACCAAGTGATTTGTTAAATTATACAGTGACACTTTAGGACGTAACAAGTAAATGGCAAACAGTCAAGATTTTTTTATTCTAGGAATAAGTAGTAGAAGAAATCAATATCTATACTAATGGAATGACAAGTCAATACTTAATTTTGATCTGATATGCTATTGAAAAAGTTTAGGTACATATACGTTGGAGAGGTTGAAGGCTAACATTCAGGAGGAAATTTATAATTTCTCAGTTGTTACTAAAATGGCTTTTTTTTTAAAGGTTTTATTATTGTTACAAAAGTTTCACCTCAGTGTCTAATTTATTGTTATCCTAATCGGATCCTTTCTCTAACTTATTATTACATATTCAATTTTCCCTGCACATTTTAAATTTGACTGCATCTCCGAGGAAACAACTGTCAGGAAGATAATGAACAGTTTTTTTTTTTTTTTTTCTAGCTTTGTACACTTATCAGAAATATCTGCTAAAGTAATTTCCCACATTAGTTAAATTTATAGTTCTATCATATTTTTGCATTCTCATAAACGCACTTCTCAATATAGCTATGATCTTATATTAGATGTCTTGAGAAACTTAGCATATACATTCAAAAGCAAAATATAGAAATGGTGAAGCGGCTGTTTATATGCTTTTATCATGTCTCACTATTCCATTTAGGTATTCATTTAGAGCAACACTTAGAGTAGACATTTTAATTATAGAATATATGAAATATTGTGAAGAGCGGCAAATGAAAAAGCTTAAGACTTAATGGATACATTCAAGAACAAAATATAGAAATGGTGATTGCTTGTGTGTTATTATCATCCTTCGTTATCTTATTTAGATACTCGTTTAGGACAACACTTAGAACAGACACTTTAATTTGCACATAACGACCTAAAACGCATTCGTGTTGACCTATTTCATCGGAATCATTTCTTCTGCAGATGCCCTATAAAACCGGTCATCACGATACTTCACTCACTGAATCATTCCTTACCACTGTTTATTTTTGTACCGGTACTGGGTACCCAGCATTCAAAGCATTTACATTTACATTTACTGTCTATTGAATAATATCTTGTAAACATTAAAAACATCTACAGCTAACGTATGTTGTTAGCATTCAATAAAACTTTACAGAAAGTGGTTTTTAGAAATTTTTAAATGGTTGAATTGTTTGTCTTAGAATGAAGAAACCAATTCGTATTTGTTTTCTAACATCCTTGCCTAGGTGTCTGCGTAAAGATATTTTATTAACAAACTTTCTTTTTGCGGTTTGAGTTCTTAAAGCGGATAGAACAAAGTTTCTTCAACAAAAAATCCGGTTCTGACGCTATGCTTATGAGATTGTCTTTAGCAAAATGATAAGTTTAATTTTCAGGTGCAAAGGCTTCTTTAAGAGAACGGTGCAGAACAAACGTGTATATACATGCGTTAGTGGTACTGGAAACTGCCCGATGACAAAGGAACAAAGAAATAGATGTCAATTTTGTCGATTTCAAAAATGTTTACAGCAGGGTATGGTCCTTGAAGGTTAGGATTTCCGACATTTAATCATTCAAATATTGGTAATTGTTAAAGATAAATTGCCTATCCTCTACGTTTTCAATATTATTTATCAAACAGATTCAAAAAATGATATGTATTTAAAAAATTAATCAGAACTTAATTGAAGCGGTACGGGAAGATCGAATGCCAGGTGGTCGGAACGGAAGCGCTATTTACAATCTTTACAAATTGAAATATAAGAAGACAAGACGTTTACAAGCGCTTTGTGAAAGTATCTTACGAGAAACTGCCCCACGTTGTGGTACCCCACTAGGTGCTTCCGACAACACTTCAAGAGGTACACCTCCAGAACAACGAACAATGGAACGTACACCACTGCAAAGTTCACTCCTGGGTACATCAATAATGCCTGATGTACATCCCAACACCGAACCTCTTAATTTGTCAGCTAAAGAAAGTGTTACAAGAAGTGAAGAAATACCACCAACAAGTGGCTCTAGTAGTAGGGTAGCTGTTCAGTTTGCCTGCAGCAGATCTCCTCTTCCTACTCATAATAAGAATCTCATACAAGTAAGAGTTGAATTTTTAATTTTCTGTTCACTTCCAATATTATCTAATCGAAAATTGTGTCAATGGTTGTGTTTCTTTTTACTCCGCCGAATGAGCAGATGGAATGCGACATTAATTATAAGAGAGGCGATTGACTGTTATTAATGACAATTTCACCGTTTGTTTCGTCTACCGATAAAATTGAAACTGTTTGCTCAAGCTACAAAATAAGTCCACTTGAATCCGTCAGGAATGTAAAAAGTTGTAGCTTTGATTTGTATTTCCACTGTATTTTATTCTCACTCAGTTCCATGCTGGCACATTTTGCAACATTTGATTCGCTAATACATTTAATTAAATCAGTATTTAGTTAGTCTGGTGCAGGTCAAAAAAATCTCCTTTACATTAATTGAAGATATTTACTACCGAATTAACTTCTGATTTTCTTGAACAAATTGTTTTAATCTATTAAAGCTTTTAGACAAATATATTTTGTGATAGTTGGATGGTTGAAGTTGGATGATCTGTCTTGTGCTTACTAAATTGATATCAATTTTATGTAGGTGTCTACTTGGATTTTATTCAATGAATGGTTGTATAACTATTTACATAACTGTGTACATATTTATTGTTTTTTTTTTTTTTTTTTTTTTCATTTTTGCAAAAAACCACCAACACAAGCACCTTCTTAAAAAGTTATTTTGTAGTCACAATAAATCTGTTTGGGACAATTCAATATGATGATTTTGTTAACATCTTGGTTGCAGTAGATCTTCGATAGTCACTGAATCTTATAAATAACTCGATTAAATGTCAATTCTTTTTGGAGACTCCTCATATCATTTATTTTATGAAAACCTTTAGATGTTCTCGTATTTAAAACTAATTCATTCCCTTAATAAAGGTAGAGATCTGTTCATTAAGATTTATATGACGAGAAATAACAAGGCCATCATATCTCTTCCTGAAAAGTCGAACTAAGGTGATTTATTCAATAATAATTGAATTCTTGAAGTTTAAGATACTACTGCTCTTCATTGAATATTTACCATCCTTCTTGCTCCGATTTTGATTACCATTTCAAATCTTCTGTTATGAATTTCTTGCTTTTAGGTTTGTTAATAAAGACTGGAGAACATAGAAGTATAAATGGATTTAATATCCAGTAATTAAAAATAAAATAGAGTGATATAGAGTGTAATAATGATTTAAAGTCGAAGATGATATAATAGGATCGATATCTTAATTACAACCTTCACATTTATTATTGTTATTTCTTTATCTGTCGGATACATTCACATTTTCTCATTTCTACCATCCTTTCTATACTTAATTTCTTTCATCAATACTTAAATGGGGAATCCATTCACCATTCCTAAACTGATATGATCTAATTTTATTTGTACAAGAATTTAAGAGAATAAGAATGAAACCATAGTAATATCAACCATATCAATATTTTTTGCTACTTTGAATCCGTTTGTTAACTCATAAAATAAAAAAGAAGCAATTTTGCGAAAATCGAATGCTTCTTGTTATTTCTGATTCCAGTTTTTACAGAAATTTATACTCACAGTTCAATTGGCTACGATATTTTTGCTGATCTTACTAATATTTTCCTTATACATTCAAAAAAATAATTTTCCTCTTCCAGGAACTAATTGAAATAGATCATATCGAGAAGCTAATCAATCTAAAAGGTTTACGAATAGCGCAGCAATTGGGATCATGCAGTGACGACCCGACGATCCCCGCATGTCAGAGGTTGTCTAGAATCGGTGATGAAATTGTTGAACAACTGGTTGAATGGACCAAGATGCTACCATTTTATCACGATTTACCTGTAGAAGTGCACACTCACTTGCTAACTCAACGATGGGCTGAACTGGTCTGGAATTATTCTCGCTTACTAAATATGTGATTATGATTATTTGCCTTCCTTATTTAACTATGTCCTCAACTTAGATCACAGATTTCAGGTATTGTTGTCAGCCTGCTTTTATGCTGCTTCAACAAGAGTTTCCAATCAAGACAGTTTGCCGGTCAGTTCGACAACTACTGATGATAGCGAAGAAGTATCGTTCGTTGATTCGTCCGTCAATCTCCAACTGCTACAGAAGCGATTATGTGCTGTCATGGGGAAACATATACCATTAGAACATGTCAACAAGTTTGTTTATTTTTGAAATTAACTAGATTTGCGTTGTCGTTATTGCTATGGATGTGGTCAAAGTAAGAATGATAAACAACAACAAATTATCAAAGTGTTTATTCGTTACCATTTGTCAACAGACGCTGACATTACGATATTTGAAATAGTAGAAATGATTGAGAGTGCTTAATATTTTTGCAGTGTTATTTTTGGCAGTCGCTATCATTTTCTTAATTTGTTTTAGAGAGGCCTCACCCTTAGTTGAAAAATTTACGGCATTACTACATTCATTCAGTCGTTTGAAAATTACTTTGGAAGCGTATGTTTGCCTGAAAGCTATCACTCTACTACACTATACACCTCACAGTTGTGGTTTGTTCCATTTAAATAATTTTAATCCTGATATTTCATGTGTTATCCAAAGTTTAGAATAATGTTCCAAAAATAAGTCAAAATAGACTCAATTTATTATTTATTATTCTTGATATTTAGGTTTTTTGAAAAAGGCTTATCTTTCTTTAAAAATGGAAGGACAATAGAAAAGTCCTTACGTTTCCTTTTTTTTTTCGGATGCCACAAAAAAGAAACTTTATTCCTTTTAAAATCATTCAAAATCTACTTGAGGAACTGAAAAGATAGTGTTAACTCAGATTGTCGTGATGGTAATGATATGAAATCTGTGAAAGTATAATTCAATTTGTGAAAATGTGATAAAATGACTATGTAGAAAAGAGTTGAGAAGGATTTGTTATCTTTTTAACGACACTCTTAACTAAAACGTTTCGAGCGTTTTTAATTCTGAACAAAAGAACTCATTTTCTTTGTCATCTTTCCTTTTTTTTTTGATGCAATATAACAATTTTTGCTTGTCAGTATAATTCTAAAAACCATTATATGACTTCGGATTGACACAAATACTGAAAATAAAAGCAGAAATAAGAAATAAGATAGTCTGAGCGTTATCTGCATGATATAGACCACTTTTTGATTTTTAGATGAAACAGCTATTGATGTGAAGGAATCAATGGTGCGCAGTGTTTATGTCCGGAGAGTATCTTTAATACAGGATCAGTTCGTGAAGGCATTGCAGATACATCTTAGCCAGCATGAAAATGGCGCACGACTAACTGATATTTTAACATGGTACATTTTTATTTTAGCTATTCTGTATTGTTGGACACTGTAGAACTAATATTGGCTGTCAATTTATAGTATTCTTTAAAAAACTTCAAGAAATATAGCTTTAATTGGTTTCTAAAATATAATTTGCAGTAATGCTTTTAATTGAATATTTAAAACATTTTTAAGATCTCCATGTGATCAAAATTTTATAAAGCTTTCACGATTGTTTCACGACAGTTAACTGGTAATATATCGCTTAGTGGCCATTACAGGTTACCAATGTTACATTCTGCGTCATCGGTACTGTTACATAGCAAAATGTTTTATGTTCCTTTCTTGATCTGCAAAAATCCAAAACAAATCAACAGTGACAATCGTAGTGCAGAAGTCCGAACAATACTGTCACCATTTTCATGCCATCCTTCCGACACTATTACTGATGATGAGGAAGAATTGAATGCAACAAGCAGCTGTTAGATTCTGTTTTTCACAGTACCGGAAAATAACAGGAATAGAAATCTTACATTATAATGAGAAAATAATCTCTAACAGCCAGAAAAGTTTCGAAAAATGGAAAAGGTCTGTTCCGCGGCACTGATTATACTTATGGTTATGAACTTAATTATTTAATTGTTGTGTCGTAATTTAATTGCATAAGCTTTCGTCTTTTATTAATTATTCAGTTACTTGCATAGTCTTTAAAGACTTGCTTGTTATCTCTTCTAAAATTTGATTCACTCAGTTGTATGAAGTGCAATGATACTGCCTCACTATTTGTTCTTATTATCATTTTGATCAGCTGTACTTAAAAGTGCTCCAAAAGTCTTTCATTAACGACTTAAGCCAAACCTAAAAAATTGTCTCTCTCTATCTTTCTTCTTGTAAGCTATTAACCATTTATCTGTAACGTATATATAAGGAGCTGTAGGTTCAATATTGATATTAAGTCTTTTCTGTAGACTGTCCAGAAAAGATTTTTTAATCCATCACTGAAGGAATCTAGTGTTTAGAACAGATTTTGATAAGCTAAATTCAAAGTCGTAGGTCGTTAAGATTCACTGATATAGCGATCGCAAGACAACTGAGACTTTTTTTAACTTACGGCTCCTAGGGAGATGATATTTTTTCCATTCCAGAAACATAGGCGGTCGTTTTTTTCTTTTTTTTTTTTTTTTTGAATTTCTGAGATTTTGACTGAAAATATTACATAATTGATTTTATTGATAAAATGCGAAACTTCTGAAAAATGCTTTCCTTATATTTGAGGAATGCGCTTTTTTGAGGATTTTTAAATATGCATGGCTATATTTTTGAAAGTAAAAATCATAAAACGTATAGCTCGAATTTCCACTTTTTCAAATCTAAATTGTATATTTTGTACTATCTGAAATTTGCTGTAAGAGAATATTGGGCGTGGCTTCTGCTTATTTCCATTAGCGTATAACATTGATTGTAGTGCTTTTGCGATTTAGAAAGTAGTCGTAAATATGTTTATGTTAATTTCATTTCATTTTTAGCTCCTGTACCTCTAGTCCATATCCGGTTTCGCTGTATTTACTAATAGTTCTCTAAAAATGTGCAAACATTTCATTTTACGAAGTATCTAGAATGACTTCATTGAAGGAACTAACTGTGTATTTGCTAAAAATCCTATTTGTTTTCTTTGTCTTTTTCAACATTTATTTGCAGTCGTAAGAGTTTTTTGAGAAGTTCTTTTTGTCTTTCTACTATTATAAACCAAAAAAGAATTAAATTTATCATTGTGTATTATTTTAATAAAAAATATTCATTGTTATTTTTTGATACTGTTAACTGATCACTGATAGCTTAACAGCAGAGAAATTGTATGTTGCTGATTCCGTTGGATGATGTTTCAGGAATTTCTGCTAAATAGTAATTCAAGACTTTAGAAGTCCTGATGTCTGGATTCGAGGCATTAAAAAGAATTCAAAAAAGAAAGCTCAAATTATTATTAACAAATTTGGTAATTATGGTTTCCTTCAATACTTTCATCCAACGTACGGTGAATTAGAATGCTGAACTTAATGCAGATAAAGGATTTCGTTCCAGGAAACTTACATATTAAATTAATGCAGATTAAAGGACATATTTATAGTCTGTATTACATGTGTTCAGTGATGAACAGAATGATTCTGGTGGTAATTCGTTAAAATTCAAAATGCAGTGTAATTTTGATTAGCATAAGAAACAAATCAATAGTCTCATTCCATAAACAAATCTGATGGCAATAAAATACATGGAGGTTAAATTAAGCAATTAATCGTAAGACAAGGGGAGGAAATACTCAAACGGCAATAACTATCGGTGTGTTCAGAAACGAATGTCGAAATATAGCGATTTTAATTACTGCGTATCTTACAAAGCCATTTATTTTAATTTATAAATGATGATATAACTAGATCATTACAGTAACTATTGCAGGTAAATTGTTTTCTTGGCGTCGCGATTAGTTGATATAACATTCCGATTTCCGTTGTCCATTAGGTCAATCTCAAAATGTGAACTTTGAATTGGGAAAGAAAAGAACTTGGACAGTTTTCTGAAAGCTTCATAGTATTGAACTCTTTCTGGTTATCTGTATAAATTATTCAATTTCATGCATAAATATTCTTGAATGTTAAAGTTTTACTTTGTGTTATTAGAATTTAAGAAGTGCGCTATCATTCATTTGATGTTTTCAATTATTGTATTTCAAGGTGTCATGAATAATAGTTTTCTAAGTTGATGTATCCATACTTAACTGTTCAACAAAATATAAGAGCGAGTTTGCAGAAATTTGGTCTTGAAAGTTTACAATATATTACAAATTATTTTGTTAATTTCAAGAGTTTGAAAAATCGCAAAAAATTTATGATTATTTGAACCAAAAATGAATGCATCACTTAATTGAATATAAGTGGTCTGTCTTTCCTTTGTATGCTGAAATTACGCTCAAAATTCTTCTAATTTGTTGAAAAAACAGCATTTTATATAAAAGAACTCTATTATTACTAAACTCACAGCTTTAAGCGATTTGCCGAGTTCGAACAGATTGGTGTAGGGATCATATTTGCCGGATGACCAGAAACTTTTTCCTGTTCTGAATAAAGCCCCACGTAAAGCGTTTGTTGCAGTGAACAATGCCAAGCCAACAAACACACCTGAAATACTGCTTAATTATTATTGCTGAGAAAAAGTTTCTAAACTTATGATTAGCAAAGATTAATTAGCAGTGAACGGAGTCAGATTCCAAGGACAAATCAGCAAACGCTCAATTTAAATATTATCTTATGAACTTAACTACCAACTTGTCAGAGAATACATAAACTTCTGAGCAACAAAATAATTCTTAAAGATGAAAAATTAAAAGTTTTAAAATTAAAATTAAAAATACTTGGATATTCAGTTTAAATTTTAACTCTCACATGTGATTCCATAAGTTGCAGACATTTGAGCAGAAAGAGATAACGCTCCTGGTGGATTTAGTTGCACTGAAATGGCAAATCTTGAAATCTCTGAAGAAGGCGTGTGACTTGAAAGCATGAAAAATTTTCCATATGGCAGTAGCTATTGCTATTAGAGTCGAAAAAAAGCAACGAAAGCGAAGTAATTTAATTGGAAGTGTATTTAATCAGAAAATATCAACCATATCCCTTAATTTAGTTTCCGTTTTCAACGAGATAAAGTGATTTTTGATTCGATTTTCGCAACATAAATCTGTTATACTTTTCTATGCACTCAGCTTATAATAAATTATTGAAGAGTTCAAATACTGTCTTTGGATAGCATGATGCGTCATTTAGTTAGAAATCATTTGAAAACTTTTCAAACTGTTTTAGAAAGGTTTCCAGTCCTAGCATAGTACACTTCAAGAATTCATAGTTTTTTTCATTTTTTTCATGACAATAAACCGAGCTTTTCTCGCTCGAATTAATTTGCATCACAGGAATTGAAATCATTGAAAATGCTTGAATTCTCTTCGAGATTGTTCCACAAACCTAATTCATGCTAGAAGTTTAAATGTTGATATTACAGGTGGCATAAAACAGTTGCAACAAAACATATCTCTAATGAAGGATTTCATTTTGCCATTTCTAAGTTGTTAGTTATTCGGACCAGAATATTTTGTTGACATGTAAACATGGCTTACTCTATGTTTTGAAAGATTTTTCAAAGCTTTCTGTATAACTGAGCAAGTTATTCAGTCATTCTCTTGTATTCTATCTTTCAAGTAACAGCGGTCTGGAATGCATTTACTTGCTTAAGTAGAAGCTGTTTGAATGATTGTTCGTGGAGTAGATGCAGTAGATATATTTACATTTACGTGATATGCTGATCCTACATGCTAAGATCTCTGTTATATTCCATCTATTTTTTTTTTATTATCAAAGACTGGAAATTTTAGGAAATTTGTTTTTATTGCCATGCAACAAAGCAAGAAAGAAAGGTTGAAGAAAAGTGGAAGTTTTTATTCAATTCATTTTTTTTTACGTCTAGTAATACAATCACAAAAGTAATAAAAATCAAATGCGATCCAATCTGATCCCATCCGATTTCCCATTTACCAGGTACCTGTACCAATGTGGGTAATAGTGAGGATGACTGAAAAAGAGTACTTATGCTAAGCAATCACTGAAGATAGTTACAACTGAACTGGTCTTCTCAATCATCAACATTTCTCTGGCTATTCAAGAGCTTTTGATTTACCATCGAGACACCTACTTCCATTCACCTGTAACAAAATCATCGGTTCTATTCCTAACTTACCCGTCATCGCAATCTCAATGTAAGCTAACATTCTTAGTCATTATCAAATAGAGTGAAGTAGAAAGCACGTAGCAAGTTCTGCTTAGCATCACTTAACTAACAGTTACCAGTAAAAACAAACTTCGATCCAGTTGAATACTACTGCTTTCAGTTCAAGAACTATTGACATCTCTGCATATCAGTCAACGATCATGGAGGCTCGTTTTATATTATATTTTCAGTGATAATATTGATAATTCCTACCATTAATACTGTTATTATTTTATAATCATAATTATTTCTCTGTTTTTAGAACTCTTTGGATCAAGAACAATTTCCTTTCTACTCTTTGAGTAACAAATTGTTTTTTACTGTATTATCTATTACCTCTGTTAACAATTAAGTATTCATTATAAGGAAGGTTCAACTTTATGTTATTACTTTTATCCATCGCATCTAATTCTTATCTTTCTTTACCTGTTTCTTGTATGATTTAAGTAGCATTTTTTAGCTTCTTTTCCGTTCGTTTAACCTAATTTGGACATTACTTGTGGCTTTATGCTTACCTAAATTTGCAATTCGAGATTTATGCTATCTACTAGAACGTTTCAAACTCTCTTGATTCATCACGACAGCTCTTTTTTTATGCTTTTTATTTCATTCTTTTTGTGTTCTCAACCAATCTTTTTTTGTTTCAATTTCCAGTATTTTTCCAGCTTTTCACAATTTTGTCTAAGTCCTTCGAACAATGATTGAAATTCATTCAAGAACTGAAATTCACTATTTCACTCAAATTTACATATATATATATGTGTCTTATTTGCTACATTTCCTTTTACTGACAAGTTCAGCTGATTTCAATCTTTCCACTATGTGATATTACTTGACTTCCATTTGCAATGATATCTTTTTGTAGCACCGTTTTCAAACTTGGCAATCCTTTTTTTACTTTTTTCTGTGTTCCGAATTTATGTCTGTTAGATCCCTTTATTTGCATTTCATCTCTTTTCTTCATTTCCATCAAATTTAACTTTAGTAAACTATGTGTTATTGTCCCGTGCTAATTATTGCTAATTATTGGTCGTCCTGCCACGACCGCTCAAACAAAGTTAGAGGTCTTATAACCTATTTAATATAAAATGTCTGATTTGGATACATCTTCATGTGTAACGAGATACTGAATAGACAAGCTAAGGCTGTCAGAAGCATATAAAATTTCACATCCATTTTGCCAAATTGGTGAAATGTTTACGAAAAATTTCCACTCAAATTTTTGAGATTCGGATACTGGATAAAATTTGGGACGTAGAGAGTAGCAAGAATAAAACAAAACATGGCATAACGTTTAGAAGAGAATTAAAAAAAAAAAGTGAAGACTGCAAATAAAAATAGAATCAAATTTTCTGAAATAGTAATTGTAATTCTTGACTGATCTAACTTCAAATGTATCTTCACTCCAGGACAACGTAGAAAATGAGCAGAAGCCAACGAAGCGAAAGTGGAATTTGGAACAACTTCGAGCCGGTGATACTTTTCTGTCAGTGCAAGCTGCTACAAATAAATATGATTCGCAAAAAGGTATGACTGCGCCAGGCATGCCACGATGGAACATAGTGAAGGACAAGCATCTCGGGTTCCAATTTCTTTTTTGAAAAACTTAAAAAGCAATTTGACTGGGAAAGTTACCTGAAAGACATAATGACGATGAAAAGACACTCACTACTCAGAACTTATGAAACATAAGCCAATACAGAGTAATCACTAGGGTAATTTTTGAAGATAATTTAAAGTTAAAGCAAGTAAGGTGATGTTTGTGACTGTAGAAGCAAATAATGCCTTGATGGAAGAAAAGTAGCTGATTGTTTCAGCTTTATAAATCCTGACCGGAAAGGTGAAGAATTACTGAGAGCACAGTATGGCAGCAATCAGTATGCATCACAAAAGGGTATAGTTTAAAATTTCGCTCATAAAAAGTTTCATTTGTAGAACTGAAAGAATTGATTTCTCCGCGGTATCATGTTTGCATTAGTTTTAATTTTGAATCATAATTAGTAATAGAAATATCTTAACTTTTGCGTAATTATACCATATTCCTATGTTACTCCAATATATTCAATAACTCTTCTTCCAGGTTTAACACCGATTGGTGCATCAAGAAATCAGGTATTAAAAGTAAAATATAAAAAAGACTGGGAGGTAATACTTGATAAACAAAGTGAAAAAGTTATACCTAAACAATCCGGTGATTACGGGATGGCTACGCAATCTGGCGAGGTACTTTTATAATATTTTTATGGCACTTATTTTATAAGCTTTTTTAATGACCAAAATTTTTAGCGTTCGATGGGCTCTCAGCGTAATCAAGTGCCTATTATTAGAGGACGTTTACCACGAGATCGACGCACGAATGGTATATTATGTTATCAATATGGTACCAACATATTTGCTTCTCAGCAAGGAATGAATGCACCACCCGGTATCGGTGCAGTTCGACAAGCTACCATGGAAATCGAAGGACTTGGTTTTACGTTAGCTCTATAAAAAGCACTTCATCTGTAGTTTATTGCTACCACTGTCATCATGTTAAAAAAAATTCTGCTAAAACAGTTTTGTAAAGTAAGCCACATAAGCATTTTTTTTTTTCTTTTTCACAGGGAGGATGGTTTACGAAAGGGTAGTGCATTTACGCCATGGTATTCGGGACAAAACAAATTTGCCAGCCAATCAGGTACTGGTGGCTTTTTGAAAGTACGCGATGTACTACCAAATTCGAAGGTATTTTCTATTAACCCAGTTAAAAAAGTCTTAGGCTAGATTCGATACAGCTTTAATCATTTTAATATTACCCCAGTATATTTGCGTTTTAAAAGTACATGTGATAAGGCCAGAAATGTTAATATATATAGCCATATATATATAGCCAAAACAAGTTGTAACACAGCCAGAAATGATAACATTCATAGAGTAATTATAGAAAGTTGTGTTAGAGAGTTGCTTATTTTTGATTTTAGATTTTGTTACAATTATTATGTGAAGGGAATTAGAGTAAGAACTTTGTTGTGAATAAAAATAATCTGTAGCTATTTCAATGATTGGTACCACATTCTTGATTTCATCCTGTGGCGGTTATTGAAGTAATGTTTTAGGGTGGTAAAGAAATTGACGAAGTGCTGAAAATTAAATCGGAGGGTATAGTACCACTTCAGGCCGGTACCAACAAATTTGCATCTCAAAAAGGCATGGCAGGCTTTGGAACACGAAGAAACGTTCTATTAAAGCAAGGATGGAAGAAAGAATGGTTAATAATTTGTTAAAACCAGTAAAGTTGTAATATTTTATTTATAGCTATGACATCAAATTTTCACAACACTTTCGAGAATCCAGAGTTTTTTTCTGAAATAAGTTTCAACTTGATATACGTCAGGATTAACGAGTATGAGCAGGCGCTGCGTGAATTTGAGGAAACTCGTCCACCTGGTTTGGCGTCTGTTGTTCATTCATCTCATTACAAACAGGAATTGAAAGGAAGGAGAGAAGTTAGAATCTATTGAAATTTCAAATGACTATTAACAAGATCAGTCTTAATTGGAAATGCACGGCTAAAAGAAGTTTTGGTACTCTAATTAGTCAATAAAAGTTCTAGAATCAAAAGGTCAAACTGATTTTTTTAGCAAAATTTGCTTTGGATTCTAATGAAGTTTTCAAGGTCTGAGGCATTTTAAAATTGATTAAGAAAGTTTTCTAATATAATACTTGATAAACATCAAGTGAATTCAGAAGGTAAATAGAAAATTATAAGACAGGGCAAACACAGCACTGCTGCTAGTAGCGGTAAAAATCTTGTCAAAATTAAAAAAAAATTTTAGAAATGACGATGCTTTTAAAGCACATGAAAGATACTTCATCTTTTAACACAAAGTTTTTTTCATTAATGACCTAAATACAGAAATTTGGAACCAGAATTATTTTGCTGAGGTATTAAACATAAATACGAGAAAATTGAACTGATATGTGCTTATTTTCCAGCAAGTATAAAAGTCGTTAAAGTTCAAAGTGGTACTTAAAGTGATAAGGAGAACACACAGCACAGAAGGGTTATAATAATCAGTGATAAATATGATAGTAAAGACGAATTCATTGTGAAACTTCAAAATACTCTTAATATTGCGTTGTAGTAATATCAAGTTAGGCTTTTTTTCATAGGAAACAGTTTTCGCTAATAATGGAGAGAAATTTTTAAGAAAATTCATAAATCTGATGGGTGAGTGTATTCAGTATGTGATAAAACTGTGATGTTCTTTAGTACTGGTGGAAAAATATGCTATAGAGCAGTATTATGATTAGTGCAGTTAGGCTTTGATAATGATTTCCAGAAAGATTTGGATTCTAACGATGAACCTAAGCTTTCAGACGGAAGAAATCGAGACCGAACAGGAAGTGGAAGAGAAGAAAAACAATGTGGGAGAGGGAACGGTTCGTTTATTTTGTAAGAATTATTAGAAATCAGATAAGGATGGATAGTGAAACAGAGAGAGTTTATTACAGATGAAAAAATCAATAGAAGATGAAGAGGAGGAGAAAGAAAATGAAAAGGAGGAAGATGAAGGGGATGAAGACGAAGAAGATGAAGAAGAGGAAGAAAATGATAATGATGAAAGAACAGAGGAAGATGAAGAGGAATGACCTATATTAATGTTCCCTTAATTCTTATATATTTGAAGTTGTACTTTCCAGGTGAAACAACTCAGCTAATGCCTTTAATAAAGTAGGAAAGAGTGGTGTCGGAAATATCATTCTCAATAAAAGACTAATATATTCGGAATTATTCTGCACTGACGACTAGACCCATTACTATTTTCACTTTGATTTTCATGTCTTGATACCAAATCTCTCATGGAATAAATTACGTAGTTTTCAGAGTCTGAATGTCTGCATGAAGTAGTTAGGTGACTGTTTTCGGGAACATGACTGCCTTATTTCTTCAATCTCATTAATAAAATGTCAATTATTTTTGAGTTAAACTATCATTTAACTTTTTATAGCTTCTTAGAGTGGTAGTACTGAAGCGAGTGGAGCATTTAATTATGTTTAAGTGATGGAAAAAAGGGCTTCAAACTTCGCAGTTTGTTCTGCTCTAAAGATCAGGAAAAGAGAATGCGAAGATGGAAGACCATTTGTTAGTATGCTTCTTTTGTGTTCATAGATCCCTGTTTTGCAGGATCACCTGAAAGATCCGGCAAATCCTCTGAGTTCATCTAAATCTCACGTAGGAAAAATATTCAAGTAACTGCCTCAAATTATGGGTTGCAGTGGTAGCTGATGTAGCACAACGTATTCTGTAGCACATAGTCGAAATGAAAACCAAATTGTGTACATACTTCCATCATTTCTGTAAAACTTTACAAAAAAAAACCATGCAGTCATTACCCAACCTTAACAAATTGAATGCTGTCAACTTTTCATAATATCATCAAAGTCATAGAAATTCCCTATACGGGAATCAGGGATGAAAGAACATAGAGACAGTAGTCCTTTCACGTAAGCATACTTCTGGGACTCTGGAAAACACTGTTACAAAAATGTTACGAACCAAGCGACTAAAGTCTCCCGAAACCCGCCTACTGCTGGTCTATATAACAAAGCATTCTTTTGATGATCCAACTAGAGATTTCAAATTGTAATTTATACTTCGAGAAATGATGGGCAACCTGATTCAGCGAGGTATAATGAGATAGATATCAAAACATCCTTTGGTGAAATCAAACCGATTACCTATCCGTATATATAAAAACCTTGTTCTTGGATGAACCGTTCATTTAAATGGCGAGAAACCTTCAAATTGAAAACCTTCAATTGTGAATAATACCACATACAGAGTGCAATGAAACACTCATGTAAAACAATCAGAAGCATATTTACTCTATTCAGTCAACAAATGATATGGAAACAAGAATTAAGACAAAATTATGCTTTTACAGCATATTTCCTCATAGGGTACTTGCGAAGTTTGGCAAGCTGCTTCTTTGTTTTCAAATTCGCCTCATGCTTAGTCAGTGCTCGACGCATCGCTCGTGTTTTCTTCGGTCGAATATCCAATGGTTTGAAATGCTTCCCCTTAAATTTGAATTATTCAACTTAAAATCACATTAGAATTACTAGTTCAAGTTTTATCCTAGTTTTGACAGAAATTAAAGCGAATACATAAAAGAAATAAAATAAAATAGAATAAAAGGAAGCTTGGCAAGCTGCTTCCTTATTTCCAAATTCGCTCGTATTTAGTCAGTGCAGAAGCATCGCTTGTGCGCACTATCACGTCATTTTCAACTATTTGTACAATTTTTTCTTAAACTAAGCTGACGGAAAGTAATAAACCTAAGCTACCAAAAATCTTTGGAAAATACACAACTACGAGAATAACTTGCTGGTTAAAAAAAAAAGCATATGCAGAAATCAAGCCTAAACACATCATGATTGGTTTCGTAATTACTGATGATAAGTACGACATAATAACCTAAGAAACTAAGGTCTGGCATGTTTTCTATTGACTCGGGCGGTACAACTTACAGTCACGAAGATTAACTGATGAATGTGCTAAAAACTAAATGCATCAATATCAGACCCTCAGACTCAAAAAAGAAAAAAAAAATGCCTATGTAAGCTATTAAAAGAACCTTATAGAACTTCCTCAGTTCTTGCTTCTGTGTTTGATTGATGACTGTCAAAATGCGTGCGATGTTCTTACGAACAGTACGGATCTTTGAAAGTTTCGAAGCGCCTCCACCGACTACTTTTGATACCTGCAACAAACAACAATGAGGACCGAACCAAAAAACGAACTTGAAGTGTAACAAATACCCTGACTAAGCCATAACCCTATGCAAGTAAAATACAAAACGAGCGCTGGAATATACAGCATCAAAATGTTAACTTTCAAACAAGTGGTTGTAACGACTACTTCTAGATAATTAGAACATGGGATGAACTAGTGCTTTCACGATAAGACCGAACCAAGAAATGAACCTGAAGTGAAGCAAGTTCCGTCTTTTGTTCATCAAGCTGTTTCGTTAGCTCTTCCTTCTTTTTTCCTCTTAAATCTCGTGCCTTAACCTTGGTCATTCTTTCTTTCTGCTGAAAATAAATACATCACATCCCCGAATTACTAATTAAATCATAAACTGTATATCTGCAACACAGGCAAGTGATGATAGCAAAAACGATTGAGAGAGTATGGAGTAACTGTTGTTTTTTATTGTGACACACGTCTGACCTATTTGTGTCACTTGTGGCAATATTGCCGCATATGTCACCAGCATTATTACTGATTTCGATTAGAAATTATAAAAAGGCGACAAACTAATTGGCAACACAAACTTAACCAACGAAGCTAACATCCCTTCTACTCCGACCCAAAGCGACTTCAGTTCCCTCAACTTCTGCTGACCCTATTAACAGCAAACCAACAGCGTGGCACAAGGAATGAAAATTCTGTCCCACCAACCATCCTAATTTGCTTTGGTCGATAAGCAAGTGCGCCGGGTTGATAATGTTGTAGGGGAGGAATGGCAGATTGCGTATATTACCTGGTGGGGTGGGTAAGTGCGAGAGGTGGGCAAGTCACCCGGATTGTCATGTACGTTCTCTGTTAGTTCCATCACGGTTTTGTGAATCTGCTCGACAGTGGTTATGTACTTGCCATTGCGAATGTTTGACGGATTTTAGGTTGGTGGGAAAGAAGAAGCTCCGTTTATAGGGTTTTCTGTTTGTTTACAAATTCTTTCCAATATCATTTCGGGGAATGTTGGTTTAGAAGTTTTGTATGGTTTCCTTAATAGTGTCTTTTATAATTATGGGGAAGAAAGTTGTATGTAGAGACTCCCAAACAGTCATGAAATTCAGTGCTCGGTAAGTTATTGGTCATCAGTGATATTTTTCAGTAAATTTTTCCCCCTTTTCTTTCTTTATTAGTAGTAGAGACGCGACCTATTTAAATGCTTACAGGCATGTGGGCTATGAATAAGATTCGGATGGAAAGTACTGTTCGACTATTGAGAAAATGTAAAATCTTTAGGCAATAATCTCCTTTCCATATTTCAATAGCATAGTAACCTATTATCTATATTCACATTACATTTTGTCGTCCAAAATCAAAATGCAGTTTTATAATTTTTTGAATAGTTGTCAATCGGTTAACTGTTAGCATATGTTGACATATAATTCTACACTTGTTTAGTGAATATGACGAAAGTAGGCGTTGAAAAAGACGATGGTGCCAATGATTTGCGGTTAACGAATCAAACTGTTGTTGCACCTGAAAATTTGCTGGTTGAATTACTGGAATCGGATCGTGCTGTGCAAGCAGAATATTTTCTTGAAGCTTACTCGAGCGAAAGTTGGTTTTCTGTATTATTAATTAATGACTAAGTTTCTCTTTTGGAACAAAAAATTATAAATTTTAGCAGCATTACTTCCGTAATGATGTATCCTTCTCATTTTCCTTTGCCATTACATTATACGAAGAAGTTTCATCCGGTAAGCTGAAATGGTAAATAATTTTGTTGTGAAATTGCAGTTGATTATGCAGTTTCCTCTTTTTTAATAAAGTCAGAAACTAGGGATGTAAGAAACGTTGTTGCGTGTTTTTTTCTTTTATGAGATGATTTATTGTCTATCAAAATATTCGTCACTCGTCAACAACCAGTAGTCGGTAATAAAATATAGTATTTACTTTCTTTTGCTTTTAAACAGACTGATTTATCTTTTTATCATATGTTGTGCTGCAGACTGTTTAGGTAAAACTGTACATTTATTTTGAGAGACTGTATCTATTAAGACTAGAAGCACTAATAATTGAACTTTAGAAGGCAGGATTACTAACAGTGCAAACGCTGTTGTTGGTAATGGTTGTGAATCGAGCGATAACAGGGACGAGGTTTTTTTTTTGCCATCCAGTTAGACTGTAGTTTTTTTGTGTGGTTTTTTATAAGTTGACCAAATAAACATTAATATCTTAGTAGATCGTTTAACAGTTGACCAATAAACATTAATATCTTAGTAGATCGTTTTTTTGTTATACGCTATTTTACTTTCTAGTAGGTGTATTAATCGAAAATTCTTTATCTTTGAAATTCTCCAAATTCTGAAACTTGTTATACAGATTGAAAAGTCAGCTTTTAATTGCTTGATTCTCTTTTTTTTGTTATCGGATTTCCTTTAACTGCATTTTGACGCTCAAGTTCCTATTACTTTGCATGTATTCATTACTAAGTCCACGTTTGCATATTAATTTTATTAATTTTATGTATGATTCAGTTTAGAACTTTTATTTAGGAGTTCGAAATATTATAAATGAGAGCAGCTACTTCATTACTGTGTTTTAGACTATAGGAAATGACAACGAGATGGAACAGCATAAACTGAAAATTTCTGATGTTTCTAAGAAAGCAGAAGCGATTTCAACAGCAATGAATAAGGAAGAGAAAGTATGTTTGTTATTATCTTGACTTTTGTTCAAACAAATCGAGATAGCAAATATATGATATTACAAAAGAGAATGTTGTAAATACTGTTCAATTATCACATGATACGGTATTAAATTGTAAAATGTATATAGTTCAAATAAATTGCTGGTGCATGCATTTTTTTTTTTTGACTGACCATAATATTTACTTTGCATTAAAACACTTGCAGATTTTCCTTTGCTCACTTAATTTTTGGAGAAATTGCAGAATGATGGTGATGGCAGTGACGAAAATGAAGAGGGAATTACGGTGACAGGTCATAATGAGAAAAACGGCAATTCAGAAAATAATAGTGGTGCTGTTGGTGTGGACAGTGGTGTTGAGAAAGACAGGGACAGCGAAGATGACGAATATGTGGTGGAAAAAATTCTTGATAAACGATATAATCGACGAAAGAAAAGAATCGAATATTTGATCAAATGGGCAGGATATGACAGTGAAAGCGAGAATACATGGGAATCTGCAGAAAATTGTGTATGTCTCTTAATTTAACCCTTTCATTCATTTCTTCACACACACATTTGCAGTTAAATTTCATTCATCACATTTGTTAATTGATTCACACCTCTACATACTAGGAAGATTTTTTATATTAACCCAAGGGATGGGCATTCATCTGATTCGCTGCTAAAAATTTGAAACATTGAAAAAACATAACTTTTTATAACATTTTTATTGAGTAAATATATGTAAGGAATCCGCTCCTGATGCAATTCGTGAATATGAGGAAAGTCAGAAGAAAAATACGACGAAATATCCGTTACGAAGTAGATCAATAAAAGAGGTTACTTTTATTTTTTGTGGTTAAGTGCTGTTTATTTTGTTTATTATTTCGTCTCTTCTCTTTCCGTATTTCTCAAAAACTATGAGTCTTCAGGAAAGTGGTTCAAATGATGATGGAAAAAAACTATCAAAATCCATAAAAAGGAAAACAGATGAATTCAAAGAGGAACTATTTTCAGAAGGTTAATGTTTCTAAAATTTCTCCTAAATGCACTCTACGATTGGTTATTAAATACTGAATTTCGCTTTTCGATAAGCTTCAGAAAGTAGCGATAATGGCAGCGAAGAAATTGCGTCGAAACGTACTAAGGTTGACTGCATTCTTGGTGTTAAAAAGGAACATAATGAAATTCTGGCAGTAGTGCGTTTTGAGAACGGACACCATGATGTTATATCAACTCGAGTGTTGGCCAGCAAATGTCCAAAAGTAATTTTTATGCATCCTTTGGAATTCGATATTGACGGAATCTATGTTTTTTGATGGACATATTGTTTATTTTGTTTTGATAAGTTGGAGAGCATTTATTTAATGAACTATGCAAATTTAGTAAACCTGTTTATGAAACAAATCAAACAATAGATCTAAGACCCTAATTCTATCATTTTTATAAGCAGTTACAGTGGTGTAATTTCAGAAGCTGGTGAATTATTATGAGAGATCATTAAAGTTCATCTGATCATGAGCGATTTGCAGCATTATATTTCCCGAGAAATATTTTTTATTTTCTTTGCATTGTTTATAAATGATTCTTTCCGTGCTTTTTAGTTAACCTAGTTTGTTCTACTGTGGGAAGCGATTTATCATGTTGAGGCCCACTTAATAAAGGATGTAATTTATAAATTTTTTGGTGCAAATGGGAATGTTCTTCATAATTTGTTCTGAAAATATGTCTGTTATTTTTTCATATTGATATTATTTTATTATATCCACTTCATACAATAAAATTTAGTGGATTTTGTTTTTTAGTTGTACCTTTGATTTCCAGTAATCAGCCAGATGTATTTTCCGCATTTGCTTTAAGAGTATTTTTATTCAAACTTTATTCTAATAGCCTTCTCGATCTGGCCTTAACCAAAAATTATATTGAATTGCATCTTCGCAAAAGCATGACGCAGGTATTTAGACTTTGGAGTTGCTGAAGTTTCTTTTTACTGTATTTTTTCAATGTTCTGTTTACTAGTTTATAGTCATTTATCTACTCTACTGGTTTTCTTTGGTCTGTAGTAAATATTTTGCATTGAAAATTCGCTGTGCTAAATGTTTACTTATAATTGCCACTTAAATATGGAGTTAATGGATTTTGCATTGGGTGACAGTATTTTGGTCTTTTTATAAATGTCACAATTGATATCTGCAGATCGAGTTTAAAACCTTTGGGGTGTAAAGTATTTCCACTTATAGTTGAGATTAATGTCGAATATTATTGGAACTAGAACCAGTCAAATCAGTAGTGATCTGGCATTGGCGAATCCCAAAACGACGAAGGAGCTGAAGAAGGAGGCAGCGAAAGCAGCGAAGATAGCAAAATTTCATGAGAAAGTGAAGAAAACGGAAGTGCAAGCATGTCAAGCAAAACAAATGGTAAGGGTCCATTGAATGCATTTATAGTTTTTCCCTTGATTCCGGAACTTCCCCGTTTATTTTAATCTCGATGTCTGTCGATTCATCAGCAACGTTTTCAGACAGTGGAAACAAAGAGGAGGGAGGTTTGTGAATACACTGCTAATACGAAACCTGGAGAGAAGAAGAACACCATTATTGATTTGCCAAATGCTTATAGTCCAAGATATGTGGAAGCAGCTTGGTATGAATGGTGGCAGAAATCAGGCTTTTTTCGACCTGAATATAAATGTGACTTAAGGTTTGATGATTATTGATAGAATAAAGCGGATGACACTACTGATGAAAAAGAAGTTTCATTATAGAAATCACTCAGAACTGACTGGTTATACTATGCTGTATTTATCTCAATAATGCAGTCTCAAGTGAAACATCTCAAATACCTTCGTGAATCATAAACGCTAATGAGTGCTTCTCTTTGAGTTATTTTTCAAAGTCTTGAGGTTTCGTTCAGAATTACAATTTTTTTGTTAAAGAGATTTTTTGCAGTAAGCCGAATCCGAAAGGGATTTTTACTGTAGTTATTCCACCACCGAATGTCACCGGAACATTGCATTTGGGACATGCTTTGGCTACTTCTGTAGAAGATGCTGTATGTAGATGGTAATCCGCAAAAGGAATTTATTTTCAATGACATTTTTTTTGCAGTATTTAAGTAAGATCTCAGACTTGTGGGTGCTTATATATATGAAACAGACATTGTTCTGTTAGGTTTCGTCTTTGTGTTAGGTAACATTCTCTTGTAATTTTTGCGCTTTTATTAAAAAAACACGGTTTTAGTAATTTTTTACTGCACCAATATATATATGAACATGATTAGTTTTTTAGGCACCGTATGAAAGGCAAGACAGTTTTGTTCAATCCAGGCTGTGATCACGCTGGAATTGCTACGCAAGTTGTGGTAGAAAAACGTTTGAAACGTGAATTAGGTTTAACAAGGCATGATCTGGGTCGTGAGAGGTTTGTAGAAGAAGTGTGGAAATGGAAAAATGAGTACGCTTTTTCTCGATTCCATTTGTAAAGAGTACTGTAGTTATCATCTACATTTGAAATTACTAGATAAAAAGCAATGTAGATGAAATCCTCATTTTATTTTTCTATTACAACCTGATTCATTTTCCATATATGAGTTTTCATGTTTCATGGATTTTTCACAATAATTCGTAATATTTTGTTTCACAATGCATTTCGAGTTTCTAACTGAAGTATGAAGTCTCACCCTCCTTTACATTAGGTTTATCTTTTTTCTTTTTCATCTTGTTACAGAAAAGGAGAAGTGATTTATAACCAGTTGCGAAAAATGGGTGCAGGAGTTGACTGGGATCGAGCCTGTTTCATGATGGATCCAAAAATAACACGTGCTGTAACACATGCCTTTATCGTAATGCATGAAAAAGGTATCATATATCGAAGTAATCGGCTGGTGAATTGGTGTTGCGTTTTGAGATCTGCAATTTCCGATATTGAAGTATTATTTTCAACTTTCTGCATCACTCTTTGTTATGTTCCTAGCACTGACCACAAAAAGTGCGAGTAATTTGCATTTTAAGCAGTAAATTATTAACTTAAGGTTACCACCAGTATATTGCTACATTATAAAAAAAGACAAAAAGAATGATTCATGTCTTTTAAGTTATACTGGCATCATATCACTTTCTTCAATATTACCTTTAGGTTGATAAAGTGGAGTTAAACGGACGTACATTCCTCTCTGTTCCTGGATATTTGAGGAAAATTGAGTTTGGTACATTGACATCTTTTGCTTACCCCATCGAAAATTCAGGTTTTGTACAGTTCCAACATTGTCTTTTCCTTTTTATTCAGAATTTGGCTGACGCTTTTTTGCACATAGGCAATGTTTTCAAGCTTTATTTCATTTAGATGAAGAAGTCGTGGTGGCAACTACTCGAGTTGAAACCATGTTAGGCGATACCGCTATTGCTGTACATCCAAAAGATAACCGATACAAACACCTTATTGGCAAGGTTCTTTTGTCTTTTACATTCGGAATAATGGTTAAATACTAAACACTGATTTGCGTTACATAAACTCATTGGTTTAGTTTGCTTGATGTGCGGGAATTTACAAAGGTTTAAGAATCTAAGAAAGAGAATAACTCAATGTATTCGATAAGATTGCGTCATAGCTTTTTGTTATAATATCTTATTTATTCTAGAATTGCTTGCATCCATTTCTTCAAAGAAAACTTCCAATTATAGCAGATTCGTTTGTTGACATGGAATTTGCAACAGGTGGTTTTAGTTTTTTTTTGCTAAACATAACCATCACAATCCAAAGCTGTGTTGTTTCTTGTTTTCCTGTTTTTCATCAATCGCTTCTAATATTTATTTAAAATTTATGCGTTACTCCTCATTTTTACCATTTTGATGTGGAAAAAGTGGCCAATTGAAAAATCGGCCGCTTTTTTGATTGAAACTGGAACGTTTTGTTCAGGAATAGTTAAAATAACTCCTGCTCACGATCATAACGATTATGAAGTAGGACTCCGTCACAATTTGCCATTCATTACTTGCTTCACAGATGATGGCAACATGAGCGAACAATGTGGCGAATTCAAGGTTTTCTTTTATTCTTTACTTGCAAAGAGTGGAAAATTATCAAAATTTAAGAATTAAATAAGGAGATCAGATATATACATTTTACTAGCATGTTCATGAAACTCAGATATTTTTTGCTCCCATTTTCTTATGTGCTTCAGAACATGAAACGATTTGACGCAAGGGACGCTGTTTTAGAGGCGCTTAAGAAAAAAGGTCTTTTCAGGGGGCAAAGTGATAATCCAATGGTTGTTCCTTTGTGCAGGTGGGTTAGAAATCATAACTTTTCATCAAGAATCCTTTTGCGAATTAAGTAGTTTCAAAGTTTTGCCATCCAATTCCAAAAAAATTTCAGTCGTTCGAAGGATATTGTTGAGCCAATTTTGAAATCACAATGGTATGTAAAATGTGATCAAATGGCACAACGAGCTATTGAGGCTGTGGAGGAAGGCCATTTAAAAATTATACCAGATTTTCATGCTGTAACTTGGCGAAAATGGTTGGAGAATATTAGGTACACTTAATTTTCTTAGTTTTTAATGCAAGGTATAGAAGAATGCAAAAATTATTTTACGCTCCCTCATTTCGTAAATAACCTTTCTGCCTCGATGCTTTATCGTAATTGCTCTTAATAATGTCTTAAACTACATAAAGTATTAGAATGTAAAACGAAAACTACCGCCTGAACTTTCTTATAAATTTGGCTTTTTAGAGATTGGTGCATATCACGGCAGCTGTGGTGGGGTCATCGCATACCTGCTTACTTCGTCACCGTCGATGACCCTAAAGTTTCTGCTGGAACTTCTGATAACAATGATTATTGGGTGAGTGCACATAATGAAGCTGAAGCATTGGAAAAAGCTGCTCGAAAGTTTGACGTTTCAGAAGAGAAAGTTTCTGTGAAAAGAGGTAGTTTTCACATTTACATATTTTTTAGATGAATCCGTAAGAGGATCTTCTTTTTCTTTTCACTTTCTGGTTAATTTAGTGTTAAAATTATGTTTCGTTTTCAATACTATATCATTTCTTCGTTATCATTCTTATATATCGAATAAATTGTTGTTTGTCTTATTTAAACAAGCAACAACATGATTTACAGATGAAGATGTTCTGGATACTTGGTTTTCTTCTGGAATGTGGCCATTTGAAGTTTTTGGATGGCCTGAAAAAACTGCTGATTTGGATAAATTTTTTCCGAGTACACTGTTGGAAACAGGACATGATATACTTTTCTTCTGGGTAGCACGTATGGTTTTTATGTCGCAAGAGCTTACTGGGAAGTTGCCATTTCAAGAAGTTAGTTTATTAACTTTCTTTGCTAGAGAAGAAACATTGTAACAATAAAAAGTTTGTGTTCTGGATGTTAGGTTTTCTTTTAAAATGTGGTCGTTCAAAATTCTCATATGCCTTGCTAAAACTACTCATCTGTTTAAAATTTGGGGAGCTACTAAAAATTTTCTCGAGACAAAAAGGAAACGACGAAATAATTTTTAAGTCTGCTTAAATATTTCAGTAATGAATCCATTTGACAATATTAAACCTTCCGTTTTTCTTCCGTAGGTGTATTTGCATGCCATGATTCGGGATGCTCATGGACGTAAAATGAGCAAATCGTTAGGTAATGTAATCGATCCGTTGAATGTGATATATGGTGCATCATTGACGCAGCTCACCAAAATACTGGAATCTGGAAACCTTGACCCGAAGTAAGCACTTTAGTCAAAGGTGAACTACGACCAATATTAGAGAATGCTTTCGGGAACCCTTTTATGATTTTTATATCATAATGGTGTGTGCTTCTTTTGCCGTATTGACTTTTTCTGATTTTATCGTACTTCAGTATATTTTAGGAAGAGTCTTATATAACACAATGCTTGACTCTGTTATGACAGTACAGAACTGTGTTCAGTTTAAAGAAATAAACAGCCATTTGCATTTGTTTTTCTTTTTTTTTACTGCTACTGGATCTTTTATGACTTTTATCTTGTTTTACTGTTTACTTTATTATCATTGCAGAGAACTAAAAAGAGCGAAAGAAGGGCAAGCACACGATTACCCGAATGGTATACCAGAATGTGGCACTGATGCATTAAGGTTTGCATTGTTGAATTATACTAGTCAGTGCCGAGATATCAATCTTGATGTGCTTCGAATTCAGGGATATAGGTTCTTCTGCAATAAAATCTGGCAAGCATCAAGATTCACACTGATGCAGTTACGCAACAATTTCGCACCTGCGGAAAAATTTGTTGTTAGTTTTTTTCGACGTCATGGATTTTAGCACATAGGAATGCTGTGTTAAATTGGGTCTCACAATCTCAATTCTCGCTTAAAATATAGATCTAGAAGGTTCTAAAGATGTTAAGCTTTGTTTTGAGTTGTATGATGAGAAAAAATTTTCCTTTCAGTTGCCAGAAGAGAGTAGTACTCTGGATCGTTGGATTTTGTCACGACTGTCGTATGCTGTTGAATCATCCAATAGTGGGATGTCTAGCTATCAATTTAATCGCGTTACGACTACATTATATAATTTTTGGCTATATGAATTTTGTGATATATATATTGAAGGGTGCAAACCAGTACTTGCTGGAAGTGGTTAGTTCTTTGAGTATGTTCTTCACGAATTTGACTTTTAAAATATGTTTTTAAAAATATGCATGCCTTTCTTTTTCGTACTGTTTTTCTTTAAAATCATTTATATGCTGTCGGGTTATTGTTTTGTAATTCTGTTCGTTTATAAAAATACCATTAATATGTAGGAAATCCTAATGGTGCAGAAATTGTACGAAAGGTGCTCTTTGAATGTGTTGAAACAGGTTTGCGACTGTTATCACCATTCATGCCCTTTATTACTGAAGAGCTTTGGCAGCGGTTACCGTCACGTATATCAAGAGAAGAATCAGAAAGCATCTGTGTTGTTGCATATCCAGAAGCAAAGCAGGTTTGTGCTTTAGTGATATGCTCTTTATTTGAGCTATTTTAAAATAAAGCAAATAGCTTTTCACAAAATAATTCCTTTGCAGTATGCATTTCGAGATGAAACACTGGAAAATCAGGTGGCACATGCAATGCACATTGTGAAAACTGTTCGTTCTCTTCGTTCCGATTATGGACTAACAGCTAAAATGAAAACTGAACGTGAGTTTCATCTAGATAGTTCCAGTCGGATATTCATGTTTAAATGTATTTAATGTTTAATGCCAAATTATTATTTGTGATCAGTAATATTTCTTTGAATTAATCTTATATTTAATGTCTTCACAGGTCACTGGTTTGCCAAATTAACTATTTCAGTTTACATCGCTTTTGAAAACAGCTCAGAAGTAATAGAAATGGAAGATCTTGTACCCTTAATAACTACTTTAACTTCCTCATCCAAGGCTTGCTTTTTTCTCTTAATTCCTTGCGTACCTTTTTGGCGATTTTTCATCGCATTTAATAGATATGATCAAATTGCATTTACATTTTAATACTAGAAAAACACATCTAAAAATTGAATTAGACATTAAGGCTACGTTCTTACATCCGTTATTCTGCCACCTTTCAGGTTTTCCTGCTGACTGCGGATAAAGTAGAGCAATTGCCACCGGACACTGTCCAGCTTGTTGTTTCGGCAACTTGCAAGATTTCACTTCCTCTTGAGGTTTTGATTTCTTTAATTTGAAAAACTGATCTCTCTCATCTAATGTCTTGTCGCAATGTATCACACACAAGTTCATGTTTACTGTTCAAGTCGATGTGATGATTACTGCGCAATTTTAGGGTATAATTAACGTTCCTAAGGAAATTGCGAAACTGACGGACAGGGAGGAGAAAGTGATAGCTCAATTACAGAAATTAGACGAAACACTGTCTAGTCCAGCTTACAACAAAGTGCCTCTTGGAATACGTAATAATAATGTAGAAAAGGTGAAGTATTTTGTTTACTTCAAATTATGAAGTGTTCGCGGAAACTGTTCAAGCTATTTAATGAGTCCTTTCAACTTCTAATTAGAATTTCCATTTCAAGTTATCCGTTATTAAATTAATATTATTGCTATTTTTTGGTTCAGAAGTTTTTTCATCCTGTCCCTAAAAATGAAGTAAAGTGGAAGCCTCCAGGGCAAACGAAAAAGATTTGTAGAGTTTCAAACCATCAAATGGTATTTTAAAAATAAAAATTTTACGTGGTTTTTTCATATATTTGTTTTCAGCTTTTTTTTTTTTTTGTTTACAGAGAGCGTTGCTGTTGGCAGAATCAAAGCATCTGAAGGAAGCTATAATCGCCCTCAAAAACTCTTTGGCATGAATTATTGTCGGCTTATTTTCCTTTTTTTTGTAGCAGTTTAATTTTAATGTTGTTATTTCCAGTTATTTCCTATAAGTTATTTTCATAAGAATATTCATCTGATTTTTTCTCACTGCTTACATTTCACGTTGTATTGTTGACTCCTGAAAATATTTTTGTTTGATAAAAAAATATTTTTGTTCAATTTGCAACTTTTTGTGTAGCCAGTCAGGTGTAATATTTTTCTGACGTTACATCAGAGAAGAAATTAGTGGTTACATGTTGGCTTCTGGTATTTTTTACTAAGTTAAGTGAGGTGGAAGGAAATCAAGTATTTTTTAGTAAGTTAAGTGAGGTGGAAGGAAATCAAGTATTTTTTAGTAAGTTAAGTGAGGTGGAAGGAAATCAAGAATGTTGACATGAGTTTGAGAGCGGAAGAAGTCATGGTTGTTTGGCTTAAAGTTACAGGTTTTGCCAAGTGCTTCTTAGAAATACAGTCTGAGATAAAACTTTTTCTTTTTAATGCAAGTTTACTTAAATATTTTTAGGTATTTTTTGAACAAGTTTACATTAGTTGCTTTTATTCTGATTCAAGAGCTGTTAATGCATGAATGAGGATTTAGATGGATGTTATGAAATACATAGAAATTTTAAAGCAACCCAGCAGCACGCTTCATATGGCTGAAATAGAACAGCTGAAATCAATTTATGGGCAGGTGGTGGTTTCATTGTTCTCCAAGCATATGAGGTTGAAACCTCTGCCTACCGATGAATCATCTAATACTGAAACGAATGAGGAGCTGATGTCTCAGTTGTGGGATCTGTCCAACTGTTTAAATGAACTGAGGGTATGTTTCTCTTACACAGCATGATATGGATTTAAGATAGGCCTCTTCGAGCATTCATTAAAAGTTTTCATTTTTCCTGCAAGAATTTTGGATATTCGGATCTCGGTCTTGTGTTAAATTTCGAAATTCTTTGTTTTGAAAAAAATGGAATTGTTATTTATATTTTTAGAAAACGATCCCGAGTGATCATATAGACGATTGGCGAAGACATACTTCATTTACGCATCCACTGCGTTCCTTTATCCGTAAACATGCGAAGAGTGCCTATAGTACGGAATACAGTACACAAGCTTTCTTCAAATTTTACGAAATCTTAGTACGCTTCTCTCATCTTTGCTTTCCCTGCAGTGATGCAAAACACATTATTAGGTATAATGTTTTTTTGGGGAAGCAAGATGTTGAAAATTTGACGGGATCGTTGAAGTAAGAAAGGTGGTTGCGATAATGATCAGTGTTGATTTTAAGCAGTTTGCAACTATAACATTTTCAAAGTGGTAACATGATTGCATTTCAGAAGTTTCCATTTATGCGAATCACCCGGTGCCTTCATTTCTGCTCTAAACGTTTATTTAATATTACAGAAAAATAAGCTTTCTTGGCAGTGGAACGCAAACAGGCATGCTTTTTTTTGCTTTGAGTCTTAATTTATAATTGATTTTAAGCTTTTACTTATAAATTAAAGCTACTTCCTTAAAAGTAGAGCTGATATGAATAACATCGAGAAGTTTTCTAGGCTTCAATACGTTTGCTCCATACAAAAATTTGTAACAATTTTTCTAGGATTGAAAGAGAATATGAACAAGAGGGAAAGAGTAGATAGAAGATGCAAAACAAGGGAGAGAATGATAGTAAATTGAGAATGGAAGTTCTGAAAACTGGTTTATGACTGCTGAAGGAAATATAGAACAGAGCGAAAATCTAAAGTTGAAAATTTAAGTTTGAACCCACATTATGAATGGAATTCACCGTTTGACATGTTCTTGGATGATGAATTGATCACAAGTACATCTTCGAACTGGTTGTTTGGTCCTGACAACAGTGGTGATATACTGAAATGGACCAATGAATACATCAATGATATTGCTAAAAAAGTTGGCAAATTCTCTTTAATAACTGCAGATGGAAGCGTATACTGTCAGGTAATCTTGCTTACTTTTTATTGAAATATTGAAAGTATTTTAGAAATGTTGTAAACATGAGGAGGAATTATTGTACCGTTTTGTCTTTCTTTTCGAACCTTTTTTTTTTTTAGAACTGTTTTTTATCCAAAATTTCCTGTGCAAGTTGCATAGGATTCTTATATGTATGTTATTAAATTTCTATTCTGTTGAAAAGTTGAAAGCCTAGATCATTATCTGCATTTTTGAAATTCTAAATCTTTAACTGTTTGTTGAAAACTTCGGATGAATAACTATCTTTTCAGGACAATCCGGCAGAGCAAGAACGCATCATCTTTCCATTATTACAGAAAGAAATTGATATATCGTTGTCACTACTCCAAACAAATGGCACATTTATTGTAAAAATGTATACTGCATTTCTTAACGATACTGTAACACTGTTGAATCGTTTGCTTATGTGCTTCCATGAAGTACATGTCATAAAACCTTCCTGCAGTAAACCGGGGAATTCTGAGGTTAATATCAAATTTCGATTATTGAATTTTTGATTTCTTTCTCTTTATAACTTTTTCTTTTCGGAAAGTTTTATTAAGCAGTTTATTGTGATGAACGATATTATTTTAGGTTTACCTGCTGTGCGCAAGTTATACACCATGCGAACAACATAAAGAAGGAATAGAACTATTTACATCTTACCGAAAGGTTCTGGTGTTGTAGGAATTTCTTATCAAAATTCTAAAAATGTCCATGTATTAGCCATTTTATTTTCAGATTTTGTTGGAATGTTCAAAGTTCTTTGTGGAACATCAGATGCAAATGATTTGGTTCAACATCACAACTTTTGGTAAAATTGGGGTATTTTTTTCAATTTTTTTTTCTGAAATAACATTTTATTTTTTCATATCCCTTCATCCTTTCTTTTTTTCATCCTGTTATTGTTTGTTTTTATTTTCGTTTAACCTATTTCAGAATGATTTGAAAAAATTCATTGAACAGAAGAAAATTCAAGCAGCAGGAATCTATGAGCAGATGATGACTACATCAAATTTTGAAAAGTTTGCTGCCGAACTTTTTTCATCTTCTTTTACTCTCCTTAAAAGGTAATTTTTCGCTATGATCACCATCAAAATACTTAGCATACTCCTAACATTTTAGTCATTCTAAAAGTTTTATTATAAATTTGATAGCTTTTTCAAATCATTTATGTGCTTCAGACCCAATCCATGGAAATTTTCAAAGTTTGGTGGTTTCATCGAAGGACTGCGAAACATCACCACTGAAGAGGCACATATTTTAATTGAAAATATGGTAAGTTAAAGGCAGTAATATTATTTTCAAATTGTTTTTGGGCTATATCATTGTGTAAGTAGACAATCTCAGATACTTAAATCCCGAGGCGTTTTTGTTTTTAAAATGTATGGCTTCTGAAAATGAGGTTTTTCAGATGATTTGCGATTTCATGAACGGAAATAATGTTGCAGCAGAACAGAAATTTAACATATCGCTTTGTTGGATGTGCGACTCATGTCAGTGGGCCGGTGATTTTTGCACTAACAAATGCAATTTAGAAGAGATCCTGAAAATAGGCGATGCGCCATCAGAAACGAACATAAAACATACACTTTTTTTAGAACCGAAGATTTTGGCATTGTTAAAATGCGCTTCTCTGGTAAAGTTTAATCTCTTTGATTCCTTACTGTTCGAATTTGTGTGCTTAGATTGAAAATATGGTAAATTAAAGTCAGTAATACTGAGAAATCTTGAGTAAAAAAAAAAATGTTTTAATTCATTTACAATCGATACGTATGCTTTTTCTTGATCTTCTGCTTGCTTAACTGAGTATTTGAGCTATATGCTTTTTTATTTTCAGAAAATCAAAACAATTGATTTTCAGGAAATTCTAGATATCTGTTCTATTGTTTCTTCCTCTGCAGTTAATGTAAGTCTTGAAAGACAGGAAATGATGCTACAGCGCAACTCAGAGCTTGAAATCAGTTCTTCCATACTCAGATCTCAGTTTGATTGGATATCAATCCTTGAAGAAATGTTTTTTCATGCATCGAATTATCAGGTCACGCTACTTGTTGCGAATTGATTTTTCTATATAGAAATAGGAAACAATATTGTGTATAAGCAGTCTTTCTTTTAATAATTCTCAATCCTTTCTGTGAGGGGACAGATAATTTTAATATCTAACTAGCTTTTTATTTTCGATCATGACACGAAATGGTTAAAAATCAAATCCTTAATTGGGGAAAATAAACTTTTGAAATTGAGGATGCTGCTGTAAAAAAGTAAAGGAATTGTTAAGAGGATACACAACTTTTATACCCATGGTAAAAGTGATGGATTAGAAGGAAAATGGCTGTTATTTTACAGGACTTAAAGGTGCAAATAAAAATTCCTTTTTCGTCTTTAATGCTGACTCGCTTCACCGTCTCATTTATGGCATTCTGCTGTTTGTGTTATGAAAGTGTTGTATTGTTGTGTCCTGATGAGAATTCTCAATTGCCATCTAATCAGCTAATATGCTGTAGCGCAGTAAGCCTTCTTTATCCATCATGTAGACAGTAAGCCTTCTTTATCCATCATGTAGACAGGTCCTTGATTTTCTTTGAAATAGGTAGATTCATATTGCTTTGTAAAAAATGATTAGTGTGGCTGAGAGACAAAATCGATTTTCCGATTAATGTTTTATATGTTCAAAAGTGTTGCTTTTTAAAACAATATTTCTTCAATCTTTAGCGAAAGGATGTTGACAGATGCACACAGCTTCTTCGTTATTTATCGGTGATCAGGGCGAGGTTATTAGGTTAGTCATCATCTGTCAGATGTTTCAAATCAGTTTCTAGAGAAAATCGAGAGGGTTTGGTAATAATTGTCTGTTAAGAATTGTGTTTTTAAAGTGCAGAAAATGATGATGCATTTTCATGTTCAAATTAAGCTTTGGCTATATAGGAGTGACATATCTAACTTCAAATGCTTAAGCTTTAATACTTTTGCATATTAGCATATTTAAATGGCTCTTGAAATTTTGATAATTCATTCTAGATGTTATTCAAGACGGGTCGCGTATTTATCGATTTGTGCCAGAATGTCAGTTCAGATGTGAACACTTTTACGCATCGATATTGCGTTACAATTCTTTTATAGCACGAAGAATGTTTACAAAGTGCAAGTTTTAATCGATTGTAATCATTTTCCACTTTTTTTTTTCATTGCAAAATTTTTCATTTTTCATTTTTTTTTTTTTTCATTACTTGTTTCTATATTTCAGCAATAAAGATTTGGAACAAATGTAATTAAATTTTACTCATTTTTAAAAGACATTCGGAGAGTGCAGTGCTACTGAATGTCCTGATATTTATACTCTCTTCCAGTAGATCATGTATATGAATTATTAAAATTTGGTGAGAATTAGAAAGAACAAGCTCTGTTTTAATTCCGTTCTGTTTTCTTCTTAGAAAATTTAAAAAAGGTGAATCAGGCGCTTAAATTTCTTTATTCTGGAAGTATTTTTGTCTTGGAGCAGGGATGCTGGAAGCCGACACTTTTTCTGTCAAATATCTTAGAAAGTTGTACAAAGCATAAATTCGTTATCAAAATTACAGATTTTGAAGAAATCAACAATTCGGAAATCGAAATTCACCAAGAAATTAAAATCTTTAAGATAGGAGCTGATGGTCTGAAGTAATTGCCTTTTAGTCAGAGGATCTTTTCAGTAGAAATAGAAATATTCCATGGAATTAGTATCTAAAAAATTCAAGTCCACTGTATTCAAGTCCAGATCGGAAGAAAAAAGTAGAGGACAAAAGTGAAAGTTGTTTCTTTTGATTTTTGCTGTCCCAGACTGTTTGTTGAGGTCGCTGTCATGTCTCCATGAAGTGCTAGTCGCGTCGATGGGATTACAATTTCGTCCTTCTGTCTACGGACGGCTATCTTTGAAATGTTGTGGCTCCTATGTTCATAAGTACAATGTAAGGTGTAGTCTGCCTTGAGAAAAGATAAATGAATTTCTTGTTTTCGGAAGCATCTCAAACGAGATAATTCAAAAAGAGAAATAGATCAGCTCTGATAAATTAAAGATCACAATGCAGAATGCCATACAGTTCGGACCTCGTTTATTAGCCTTTCCAATGCTTCTATTCTGGACTTCACACATTAACAAGGGTGATCGGTAATTCTTTTTACGTCACGCTACGGTTTATCTTGGATCACTTCCAACTCCACTGCTTCTTCCTGAGGAGCTTGTGGCAAGTCAGCATTCCGTACATGGTCGAAATATTTACGGCACTGATTGAATACGAAAAGTTGGTAAATGAAATAAAGACCAACAAGTATTATTGCAGTCTTGATCATTAAGACTATCAAAAATCTTACAATGAATTGTTGTTGATGGCCTGAAACTGCATCTCAATGGTATGGAAAGTTAAGCTGTAATGGCATTTAAATTTTGCTTAGTGTTTTGTTTGCGAAATATTGATTAATGGTTGTGAACTGTAATTATTTAAGCTCCCCTCAAGATGTTTGAAGTTTGGTAGGATTAAAAGATTGTAGAAGATATTTTTCGATGAGTCTTTTTTTCTTTTAATAGCAATAAGGACAGAAGATTACTAAAAAATTCGTATTTGATTAGGAGCAGAAACGAGTAAGTAAGATTAAGTGAAACTGAACTTTGAAAATGTCAAAAGGTGCATTTCCATTATAATACAGTAGCATAATCTATTATTAGAAAAAGAAATAAAAAATAGGACCAATCTAGATATTTAGTAGCACTTCATTTTCTTGTTGGCTATCGGTTTCTGATTGTCTTTTATAGAATATGCAAAAATAAACCTTGTCCAAATGTATCCAGAAATGTCTGCGTGCTAAATAACGCTGTTGTAAACAGAACGACTGTTCCAGATAACCAAATTAATATTGCTAAAGCCTAAAAAGGAAATCATTTTCTAGTTTATCCTTTCTTTCGAATTATCATTTTTCCGCAAATAAAACGTAAATATTTCAAGGAATCGGGACTTCATTACTTCTAAAACAAATCATAAACGATTTTGTTTGAATTTTAAAGGAAATTATGTGATTTCAAATTACCGAATGTATGATAGCTGGCCATAGACAGGTAGCTTGTTTTTGTTGGAGAGCATAAATTGTTAACAAAAAATACAATATTGCTATCCAAACGATCATTATGCTCCATGGAAACAAAATGCCAAGTATGATCAACCAACAACTCATGCTGAGCATAAACATGAATTTTGCAACAGGCTATAAAATGACTATTAGGCATTTGAGATGATTTCGATTGTTTGATTGGAAAAAATTTTTTAAATAAGGAACGTGATTTTGAAAAAATAAATTCGAAAAAAAGGAATGAGACTAAATTTCTTTATTTAGTTATTTAGTTCCTTTATAATGAGACTAAATAAGAAAATTTTTCTTTCCTTATTTTTCATTCCTTTCCTTATTTCATCTCCTTCTAACTAGACTGAAATCTTCGTTGCACATGTATTTGTTACGGTGATAAGTGAAGCGGATGATAAAAGTTATAATTTTTTGTATAGTTCATGCTACTTTTAAAAAAAAATGAAAATCTGTGGTAAGAATGAAATCGGAAACTCGTATAAAAGTATAAAAACGAACATAAACATGAAATTTATTATTGAAACATCGGAATGCTGGATTATTTGGTTCAACTTCGACTTTCTTAGACACTAGATTTGTGAAATATTCTTTAATTGGTATGCCGTGAATTTTCTTGTTCATCATTTTAATTAACTGCTACACATTTATTAACTGGCATTTGAAAACCTGCAATCATTAAAGTGTGATAGGTTCACATTTTTGTCATAAACAGATTTAATTCATGGGACTGAGGAAAAAATGGAATCTTTTTGTCTGATGGAAAACGTTAAACACGAGCTATCCCAAAATTTAGTTTATTAGAGAAATTATAATTTAATATGAAATAGCACGAAGAAATTTTACCATCCACTTGAAAACATGGGTTCTAGACGACCCTGAAATTTCAGAAAAAACGAAATATTATGCCCAATTTTGATAGATAAATGCTATGCAATAATGAGTATATCGAAATAGATGGAGAAATAATGATAAAAGTAAATAGAAAGTAAAAACCAGAAATACACTCTGCGAAATTTAAACTTCATTTAAAAAATGAAAACAGTAGTGGACGATTTCCTCCCGTCATCGATCGACTTTAGAAAGAGAAGTTTTGATAGCAATCGCAAAATAGCAAAAAATGTTAATGAATCAACGGTATACTTGTGATGAAATTGAAATTCCTTTCTCGCTTATTTATGTCCAACCCATGTGATCTATCTAAATCAAGTTTCTTATTCTTTGTGAAAGTTGCGATAATTAGATCACGTAATTTAGACTGAAGGACATTCTTTTTTCTCTCCTAATTATTTTTTATTTCCTGACTAAAAAAGCTAAAACAGGCAATGAAAGCACTGCAATAATAAGAAACTGTTCAAGGTTCTCATCGATATACAAGTTTAAAAATTTCAAATCTGCTGCCATTCAAAATTCAAGATTAAGTTAATAAATCCTAAAATTTGATAAAGTCTGAAAGTTAGAATGGATAAAAAATAAAAATTACAGCTAAAAATTGCAATTTCAATGCGATAAGATGGTTTAATTTTAACATCTTCACATCACATGTACACATTTCTAATGATTTATAGGTAGCATGAGCCACGTGAAAATGCGGCTGACAAAGACAGAATGTATTGTGTATAACTGTCGATACTGATAACTGAAGAAATTATCATGTTGTTAACGGAATTATCAGTCAAGCAATGTGTTTTCCATGAAAAAGGTATAACAGTAGAATAAGCAGTGCATATTCTGAAAAATTTTAGAAGCATTTGCTTGTCTTTATTCTGCACTATGGCTAGAAGGTACAACTTTTTGCGTTATCTTTGACGTAAAATAACCGGTTCTTAGCCTCGATTTCTACCTATACCCTGATCTACCTGTCTTATTAGTTCTATTCTTCATTACCATCTCAAAATATTTCTGTCGGATAAACGAGTGAAGAAAGAAGACGCAGAGTGTTTTCTATGTTTTTCTTGTTGGTGTGAAAAATCTCTAAATTTTCCTTATTATTTGTTAACTCGCATTATTTGTAGCACTTTTAGCATTAGCCTTTCCATTTTAATCTTATTAACTTCGAAGTTAAAGTTTGATGATTGAAGCAGTCTGAGATTTAAAAATGTGTAGTATGCTTCAGCAGAAAATTATGTCACAAAGCGCAAAAATATTAGAATTATGCATATAGATAGATGTTCATATACATCCTAGTATAATTAACATTGCATCTGTGGTGGTATGATTAGGCTTGCACTTATCGATGTACATAGAAAAGTCGGAAAATCAGCCAATATTATCTAAAGCAATGTGAGGTATAATAGGTAAATAATATCTCTGTCATAGTTGTATTCCTGAAATGTACCTGTAGATAAATTCGTTAACAGGCTGTACCTTCCATACTCTTTCCTATTCTACTAACCGAATTGACTCTTACTCTCCAAACTAGTAATGATGTCCGTCATCGTTGCAGACATCTGTAAAATATCAGTCAAAAAGAGAAGAGAAAGTTTAAACGTGACTTTAAAAAATATAAATTTTATAATGATTTTATTCGGTCCGAAGATAGAATTATATAATTTTGGTATATTTGATAAAATTTTTTCTGCTTTTAAATAAGCAGGCATTTTTTAAGATTGGAAAGAAGCCATAAAAGAAGTATATATATATATATATATATAAAATAACTGATATCATGGTAAGCAGTAAACAATCAGCAGCTTATCAAAAACAAATACAATAACATGAGAACGCTGGAAATCGAAAACATCATTGTGACATGTCGTCCGGTATGATTACTGAGCGCTTTCTTACCACTGACTTTGTTAGCACCGTTCTCTTCTTTCTCGCAAATCTGAAAAACATTTAAAATCTTAGAAATAGTAATATCAAAATATATTTAGTACTTAAACAAATTTGTTACTCGGAGCAGTTCGAACTCAACATTTTGAAAAGCTATTTTCCATCTTGAGAATCTTAGTGAGTGAAAATCAATGTGTGCGCAAAACTCAATAAACTTGACTTGCACTTAAGCTTTTATTAAGGGGTACAAAAGAAGTTGATCTGATCTTAATACAAAAGTGTCAAAAATACTGAGCAGAACTTTTAGATTTTTTTTTGTTACAAAAGCCGAATATAATAAAAATACGAATTCAAAAATTTCTTAGATTATAAAAAAAAAAAGTTTTTTTCAGATCGTTTCTTTTTGATTGAAGTATACTTGGGGGTAATTAATTAGTTAAGCCATTTACCTTATTCAAATCATCCACCGAATCCAAAATAGTAGGTGCACTTAGTTTAATTAATTGATTCAGTTTACATGGTACTGAGCAATTTGGTACGAACAGTTCGTAAGCATTTGCATTTTCTGTCTCGTTTTTATATAAAATCTGAAGTTGTAGCGCATTGTTTAGATAAAAAAGGCCTTTTATTTTATTTCTTATCTATGTTTTCTAAATTAATTAATTCAATCTGGTAAAAAGCGAATTAAATTAAGATTTCATTAAATTAACCTTTATTATTTTAATCTTTTCCTATTCATTTGATCATTGCTAGATAATACGCAACGTGTTTTCTGTTAATCAGTATTGCAAGAGGGCTGACATATGAGTCAGTGAAGTCTGGATTATGTTGGTACAACATTTCGACTTTATCTTCCATCTTAAGTTTATTTCTTAGTAGAAGTTAATGTGTTCACAAAACTGTTGGCATTGGCTTACACTTAAGCTTTTATTAAAGGATACAAAGGAGGATGTTCGATCTGAACTTGATAAGAAGATGCCAAAGGATGCTGGACAGATATATTTAACATTGGTCAATTTGTGCATTGCTTCATTACTGTTAATATCCCGATAAAATTAATCATGTTATGATGAAATAATTCAGTTGTCTGCAAGGCATCATAATTGTTTAATAGTTTCTGCAGAGGAAATGACTTGTTGTAATACTTCGGTCATAAAGATTTCTGTCAATCAAATAAAAAAATATAACGCCACTTCACGTTTGTAATAACAGAAACTTCGGAGGAATAATGACTTCGAATCGTTCATCGAGAGAATTTAGTGATTTAAAGGAAGATTTTCAATGTAGTAAAACTTATTCAGTTCGAAATTTGATATGATTGGAAAGAAATAGTGAAACTAACTTTTAGTGTTGTTTCATTCTCCGTTTTATACAGTTCCATAATTAAGCATGCCGAATACGGCACTAGTAAACCGTTGCTTATGTTCAGTGCATGCTGCAGTGATAATAATGTCGAGTCATGCTGAAATTATCATGAAAATTATCATAGAATCAATCCAATGATTGTCTCATTTTTATTACAGTAAATGATACGAAAAACAAGTGCGTTTTTGGCAAGCTTTGCTATATTTTTTTATTCGCGAATATTATTCAAATTGAACGATTTGCATCCATGAGTAGGACATTTCACCCAGTACTAGAAAATGCTTAAAATTATGAGGAAGAATTTACCGCAGAGTAAAGAAACATTTTACGTGCTTCTACTTTAGTCCCAACGGAAATATTGTGAAACCGATGCAGTATATCACCAAGCAACAAGCCACCTTTAAATTTTGCCTTTTCAAAAGTATTATACTTTGAAATTTGATTGATACGCTTGAATTCCGTAATTATGTCAATAGTACTCATATTCTGGAACTGTGGCCATTTTTGGTAAACCCATTCCGGCTGCGGAAGTTGGTGCAATATCTATAATTCCTGATAAAATGGAAGGTGCAATAAAATCATGAAAAAATATTGTAATATGATAAAGATTTGCTTTAAAAAAACCTTTTCTCTATCTTTTCACTTAAAAGTTGTAAAATAAACTAGCCAAAATGAAGATCTTCAAAGAGTTGTTTCTAAAAGCAAAAAAAAAATGAAAATAAATAGTTTAGAAATTTGAAATTCAAATCGAAATGTTCTGCAAGGAAAGAAAGTCTCTTATTCATCCAGAAATGAGTACGACTAATCTAATCTACAGCCAAATGTTTTTCGAAGTCGCATCACAAAACAAATTATATATGAATTAGAAATATTCATGCATACCTCTCGTTGAATATCAATGAGTGCTGCTGTCCGGTCAAAGCTCAGTTCTTCACCAATTCCGGTTACATTTGCAAGTAGATGAACAACGTCGGCATATCTCTCCATCATCTCATCAGCAATCACAGCTGTTTCATTCTTCATAAGCTGATTATAGTGTGAACAAGTGTGTAGGGTAGAGTGAAGAAGCTGAAATGATATAGTATTAAATCAAATTGTTCCAGTAATTCTCTATAAGGGAAATTACGAATTGCAGTAATTAAATAGCATGAGGAATGTTCCGGAAAAGCACCAACAGGTGCATTCCGTTCAATGCTTTCGCTATGAAAGGAAATCGGTTGCCATAGCTCATCTTTTAGCCACTGCATTGCAATGTTATCAACCGGAAAGAATCCACGCAACATAGCCTGAGCACTCACGATCGCACGATCTGATCTGGATGTTAAGATTCGTATCTAAAATTGCTGCCATTATATGTGATGATTATTTAAATTTAATCATAATAAGTAATGAGACTATTTTTCTAGCTTATAATTTCTGAAATATTTGAAATTTCACTTTTCATAACATAATTGCATGCTTTTTTGCATTTCGATAATTAAATTTCAAAAATAAAAAAAGTAATGAAAAGGAATTGGTGAAGTGGAACATCACAACGGCAAAATAATTACATCAGCCGGATTGAATTCTTTAATATATCCATTATATCGTTTCCGGAAGAATAGACCCAATTCATACAGTTGTTTTATCCCCATCTATAGAAAGAAATCAGTTAGTGAAATCACATTAGTCAGATAGCAAAAGTAAATCAAAGCTTCATCAATTCAAAATTTTTAGAATAAACTAAAATCTAATTAAAAGTTTGGTAGATAAAAGATTACTAAATGGATAGATTAGGTAGGTCCATTTTGTATATTCGTGAAGAAAGTCATAAAAAAGTTTCCAGATAAAGTAACACTCTGCTTACAAAAACTTGCCCAACAATTGAGTTATAATGAAACTAAATTCGAACTCCTGAATAATCCAAGTTGTTAAAAAACACTTTGAATTTAAATTCATATTCATAAGCTTAATGGGTATTTGAAGAGATTAATGTCACAGGAACTTATGCTTTTAATTTTAATCCTGAAGTATTTCTAAAATCGAAGCCACTATTTGTTGAAGGGACATTTACTTGCCCAATTTTTTGGAAAAAATTGAATCAAACATTTGTTAGCTGAGACCATCCTCTTGGCCAAGAGCTTTCATCATTCAAATCTCTTGGATAAGGTAACTGATGAGGTGCGCGATCACCATGCCGCCAGATGGCTTGTACATAAATGAGGTGTTCTGTCTTCTCATCTGTTGTTCTCAATATGAATGCATTATTAGACGCGCAATTAAATAGTAGGAGAAATAAATGAGGTAAGGTTAGCATAAAATATCTGAAGATAATAAGGATTATTGAAGTTTCATGAAATGCTCGCTGCAATTTTTGTTTTACAAATTAACGTGCCCTAGTAACGCATAATCAATAATGTTATGAGTGAAGTAGGCACCACGGTGTTGGGGTCCTGTAAACAAATTGAGTGACGTCAGCATTAGTGACATTGTTCTGGTCACTGTACATAAGTTTATAAAATGAAATGAAGAAAAAAAAAACACATACAAAGCCAATGAATTTTCATTTGAAAACGTTTTGGTACTAGACGCGAGTTCTTAGTTACGAGAGCGCAGTTGTCATACACACATGAAGAATGTATACATGTGTACAGTTGTTAGTTGAACTATTCAAATATGTTTGATCACAGTATGTGCAAGTGTTTTATTCAATAATTGGAACGTTTAACATAGCTTTGGAAAGTTTAAGAATGCGAAATTCATCTAACATAAAACAGTCTTCTATTAAAATATTAATTAGACATTTAAGAATTATAAGACCTGGTTGATATTGAAAATAGAAATATCAAATTGAAAAACTAAAAGATGAATATGAATATTTGTATTATCGTAACACCAGTTTTGAGTCCCAAGAATTTTTTTTATATTATTGTACTAATGTTTAATTTGTCAATTCTTGTAATAACTCTTTTATATTTAATTCTCAAATGTAGGGTTGGGCTTAAAGTAGTGAAAAGGAAATGAAAAATAACGAATCTAGTTTCCTCTTCTCTCGCAAAAATTGCTCCCAATCACAAAAATTGTTTTTCTGTTTTCAACAACCCTATCTCCATTACTTTCTTCTTTCTTTCTAGTACCGACCTAAATAAACTCAACAAATTATGAGCAGTATTTGATATATTGCCTACCAATCGTATAACCTTGTACCTCACCTTTAATACTGCAGTACTTTTCAGTGGGAAAGTAGAAATTCTGAGGAAATCATTTCCACCTAAACTCAGTTGATAAATAATGCTAACAAGGAGCATACGGTGAAGCAAGACCAAAAATTATTGTCCAATGCTGATATAAAACATCATTACCACAGAAATTTTTATCGGTCCACTGCAGGCAGCGCTAATTTCCATTTCCACTTATCTATTATCATTTATTTCGATCAACGACACTTATGACCTTGCAAAGACGAGTATTTCAAAGAAATATTGAACGTCTCAAATGTAATCTTGAGCAAGCTAAGTTTTTAATTTATTTTTTTCCTGAAGTGATTACATATTTTACTCTTCAAATTTGAAATGGGAATACTTCTGTTCATGATACTATGTCAAATGCATACATTCCAAGTAAGGAAAAAAGATCTTTTTAATAGCAGCTTCAAAAGATTCTGTGAAATTTGTGCATTTTAAATATCAATGACTTATTAAAAGTGTCAGCGAAACTTTTTGGTTCAGTTTGGTTTCACCGGTCAAGTTAATCCAATACGGTTGACATATGTAGTGGAAGCAAAAAATGTTTTTGGAAACAAACCTTTATGATTTGGTTAAATTGTTATTCGGGGGAGAAGTTTGATGTCAGGGAGATGTGTTGGATGCCAGCTAAATATTTGGGCAACAATTGAATAAAACTGATTCGGAGGATTGGATGATTTAAAAACAGATCTAATTGACAATAGTATGGTTATAAATCTACATTGATGTTAGACAATGATCCAAACAAAGGAGAGGAGGTGCTTGCATGGGCACCAGTTGCTAATAAAGAGCTTATTAGATAACCGCATGATTATGATAGCAAACAAAGAACAATGTAGATATCCTCATGATTGTAAGGATTGCTAACAAAGAACAATGTAGATATCCTCATGATTGTAAGGATTGCTAACAAGGAAAAATGTAGATATCCTCATGATTGTAAGGATTGCTAACAAAGAACGATGTAAATTGTTTCAATATGTAGAAGCATAAATTTGGAAACAAAGAGTCCGAAGTATAAGCATTATTTGCGGAAATTACGTGGATATCTTTACTACAATTTGCAACTCATATTTTTAGATCGCGATATTAAAATCCGCGACACTCCCGACCGAAGGAGCTAAATGCTTTAGTTCGTTGGACAGCTTTGGTTGATTGCTTCGCCTTATAGCGCTTCTAGTTCGTAGAGCAATTGGTTCTTGTTCATTGACATTTTGCACTGATTTGTTAAACATTGTTGGTTGAGGGTCAATTTCCTCACCTTTGACTTCCAGTGGGTATAACATATTCACCGGTCTGTTGAGTATTTTTCCTTTCGGTAATTCTATCGAGACACTTCTCACTTCTCCATCCTTTCCTGTTTTGATTTCTCTTATTCTGGCTAGTTTCCACATGCCACGGGGAATTTCTGGTTCATTTAGTAACACAATCTCTCCCTCGTGGGGAGTTCTTTTTACTACATCTCTCGGAGAAGAGTGTTCCCTTTGTGCTCTTTCTTTAAGAGTATTTAAATATTCCTCTTTCCATATTTCCCAGAAGGCATCGAGGGCCTTTAGTGTATTTGACCAGTATTGAATGAGTTTTTCTCTCGAATCCAATTTATGAGGGATAAAATCATCCATTTCATTCTTGTTTTTAGCAGGCATGATTAGATGCGCATTCGGTAGTATAAAGTCAATTGGACGCAATATGATACAATCATCAAAATTTACGTAAGTTAGTGGTCGAGTATTCAAAATACTTTCCACTTCCGCTACTAGCGTAATCAATTCCCGTTCCCATAATAACTTTCTGCCGATGGCTCTTTTCATTGCCCTTTTTGTTAACCCAATAAGTCGCTCATATACTCCTCCGTTCCAAGGCGCCTTTGGTATTATATTTTTCCAGATCATTTTCCTTTCCGCTAGGAATTCATTTAATTGTTGTTTCACAATGATTTTAAAAATTAACTGGAATTGACCAGCGTTGTCGCTTAAGATTAATTCTGGAAAGCCTCGTCTTGCTGTAAATCTTCTGAAAACATGTAAAAAGCTTTCGGCTGAAAGAGTTTCTACTACTTCTAGATGTACAGCTCTTGTTGTGAAACATGTGAATAGTGCTACCCATCTTTTTGTTGGCCCATTATCACTCCTGATATTCACAGGACCTAAATAGTCTAGTCCTACTCGCGCAAAGGGTCTTGATCTTGTGGTCCGAGATGCTGGAAGATCAGCCATAGTTGGTAATTTGAATGGTTTAGTTGTCCAGCGTCTGCACTTCATGCACTTATTCAAGATTCGTTTGACTTCCGTTCTACCTTTTGGGATCCATATCGTCGATCTCAGATTTGAGAGTGTATGAGCAATTCCAGCATGATACAGTTGTTCATGTCGTTGCTGAATAAAGAGTTCAGTTATGGTGTTGTGTCTCGGGAGATATATTGGGTGTAAGTTACTCTCTTTCATTTCAGAGTTAACTACGCGGCTTTTGTATCTCCATAGTTCGTTATCATAGAACAAATTCCATTTGATTATTTCATCTTTGGTAACTCCTTCTGACTGTGCTTGTTTGAATAGCACAATTTCTGACAACTCGTAATCCTGTGTTGTCAATATATTCTTTTCTTTCGTTGCCATCTTTAGCCAAGGAATTTCCCTTTTCATTGTTAATCTTATGAATTTCAGAACCCAACCAGTTGTTCTTATTAATCTTGACCATTTGCTAAAACGACTAGCATCTAAGATTCCGAAATGTTTGTTTATGATAATTGGTTCTGTGATGTGGGCCACAATTTCTTCATCCTGGTAATCCTCATTGTAATTGTATTTCCACTGTGGCCATTTTGATTCGTTTTCTGTTAACCACTTTGGTCCTTTCCACCAAAGATCATATCCTTTTAGTTTATTCGGAGAGATTCCTTTTGTAGCTATATCAGCTGGGTTTTGTTCACTTGGGATATATCTAAAATGGATTTTCGCCTTTCGTATTTCTTCTACCCTATTTTGTATGAACGTTGGTAGTAAACGGGAACTATTGTGAACCCAATGAAGCGCACATTGAGAATCGGACCATAAAATTGTTATCACGTCCTCAAGTTCTTTTTGTTTTAATACGAATTGTACCATTCTCACTCCGATGAGTATTGCCAGTAATTCTAATCGAGGTATTGACATTCCTTTAATTGGCGCAATTCGGGATTTAGCAAACACTAAGAATACTTCTCTTTCTTGAGTTCGAATGTATAAAGCTGCTGAGTATGCAGCAGTTGATGCGTCAGTAAAAACATGAAATTGTACTTGCTTGGAACAATTTGTTGTGAATCTTGGTAGATCCTTTAGTTTCTTTGGCCATTCGTTCGTGAGTAATTTCCACGTGGTTTCATCTTCCTCACTTATAGTTTGATCCCATGAAAGGTTCTTTTTCCACAAAGTTTGGAGAAACAATTTGAATCTTATCAGTATAGGAACTATGAATCCTAGTGGGTCATATTGTGAGGCTACGAATTGCAATATAATTCTTTTAGTTAATTTCTTACCAAACCATGGTTTTAACGTTACTTGAATGATATCTTGTTTGTGGTACCAATTGAGACCTAGAATTTTTTTAATTGAACTTACCTCTGCTCGATCTTGTACCGGAAGTTTTTCATTGACTTCTTGGTCGTTAGAGAGAAATTCCCGTACATTCATTGATGCTTCATTGAATATAATTTTAATTTCCTTATAATTGGAAAGAGCTTCGTTGGTTCCTTTGGTTGGTATTATAATGTTATCGACATAGAGATTTTTCCTTAACTCGAGTGCGATTTTGCTTTTACAAGTTTCCAAATGATAATTGAGTGTAGCGGACAATAAAAATGGAGATGATACAATTCCAAATGGAACTCGTTGGAAACGGTAACAACTTACGTTTTCTTCGTTAACTGGACTTCGAATGTCTTTCAACCAAAGAAATCGAGTGCAGTTTCTATCTGTTGGATGCAATTCTATTTGCAAGAACGCCTTTTCTACGTCTGCTATTATTACATTTTTCATTGTACGGAAACGTAGCAAAACTCCAACCAAATCAGGGAGTGTTATTGGTCCCCGATATAAAACATCATTTAAACTTTTCATTCCTTTACAATGAGCTGATGCATCATAAACTATCCTCAGATTTGTCGTGGTTTTATTTGGTGTTATTACTTCGTGATGAGGCAGATAATGAATAATACCAACTTCATTCATTTCCGATGACACTTTCTCAATTATATTGGAATTGAGTTGTTCTTCAATAGTTTGATTGTATCGACTTAGTAATTGAGGTTTCATTTGAAGCCTCCTAATTAACGACTTTAATCTTCCAAGGCAAAGTCCGAAATTATCGCTTAGTTTGTTCTTTGAATCTTTCCAAGGCCAACAAACTTGATATCTTCCCTTGTCCCTAGTGATAGTTTGTTTAAATTGCTGCAATGCTTTTTCATCATTGTCAGAGTTTATTTTGTCTTGTATACCCATTAATTCCAGTTTCCAAAAGTGATCTAAGTCTGGAATATTGACGGCATTGACTTGAGAAATCGGACTTACTGATGTGGTTTCTGAAATACTGTCGTGTATTTCATTTATATACCCACTTCCAGCTATTATAGGTCCAACCTTTGTATGGATCAATGAAAATCCTGATTTTAAGTTCTCTGCTTGGTCAAACTGGATAAACTTGAAGAAGTGATCCGCACCTATGAGTATGTCCGGTTGTTTCCATTTGTTTTTGAAATTACTAAACTGATTTCGTTTGTCTATCATCAACAATTCCTTTTTGTTTAGATTAACTACTTGCAATTCATTCGTCAAGTGGTTAACTGTTATTACATCTAATCGGATTATTTCTTTATTTCCAATTTTTACTCCGATTTCAGTTTTAGTAGTGATACACGTTTTTGGCGTCTTATCACCAAATGAAGCAATTTTTATTTCCATCTCGTTAGTTTCTTGTAGATTCAATCGATAAGCCAAATCCTTTGATATGAACGATAATTGAGAACCAATATCGAATAGAATTAAAGCCTTTTGTTGGATTTTTGGGCGATTTGGATTGGTTACATTTATTTCCTTACATAACAGTAAGGTTCGCTTTTTCCATTGATTTCCTTTTTCGGTAATGGAGTTAGCGATTGTGACTGAACCCAACCTTTCTTTGTTGGAATCCACTGCTTGCGTGAGTTCCTTGTAGTTGTTGGGACACAGTGCTGTATTGTGTGGACTTTTACAATGGAAACACAAAGGTTTCCCTTTTTTACAATCACTTGTTGCATGTCCTTTTCGTAAACATTTGAAACATGCAGTGATTTCTCTCAAACGTTCCATCCGGAGTTTGAGAGTGGGATAGATGTTACATTCATTGTTCCAGTGGTCCTTATTGCAAAATACGCATGGATTCCTTTTCCCATTTATAGAAATTTTTCCTGGAACCTTTTTTGATTTGATTGTATTATCTCTCTTTGTTTGGTTGATTGTGGCGAAAGCTGACGTTTCGCCTCTAACATTATTTTTGTTTGTTTTCTTCTCCCTTGTGTCTGCTTGACTTCTAGCAACTTCTTCATTTCTTAGAACTAGTTTTGTCAGGTACTGCCGGATATCCTTAACTGACCAAGTCGTCGAATCCTCTTTCAATTGGTATAATTTATCAATTATCCACGCTGGTAGTTTATTTTCAATTGTAATTTCGATGCTTGAATGCTCTAAATTTTCACCTATAGCTTCCAGTTGTCGAAATGTTCTCTCCATGGCTTCTATGGTTGCTTTCCACTCTCGGTCATTTTTTTTGATGGTATTCAACTCGTTGTAGAGTGATTTCTTTATAAGGAAAGGTTTACCATATTTCTCTTTTAGTAAACCTATTATAACATCGTAGTTTTCTGGCGCTATATCATAACCTCTTACAGATAACAAAGCATCTCCTTTAAGACATGATATCAGATAGTTTAACTTTTGAATATCTGGGATGCTTTGCTCATGGACTGCTGCCTTGAAACTACACCAAAATTGCCTCCACAATTTTGGATCCCCACTAAACGTTATTAGTGGTAATTGAGGAAGTTTTATTTCTGCTGGATTTGTGTGAATCATACTATTCTTTGGAAATGATTCTTTGACCTCTTCTTGTTTTAAATGTTGTAGTACCGAGCAATATTCATCAGTATGTATTTTAAGGGTAATAATAGTTTCTCTTGTTCTAGTGATTAAACTTAAAATACCTTGTGGATCGTCAACCATATTGGCGTATTTCGTCTCCTCTTCCTTTCTCCTCGTTGCTATTGTCAAGCTCTGAATATTATCCAGCCAATTTTGATTAGCTGTTTCGAGTAACCCAGCATAATATTCGAGATGTGCGATCTTCTCCTTGACGATTCGCAATTTAATTTCGTATTGATGCTGAAGTTCCCCTCGTGATAGTGTTTGAGACGGGGAGGTCAGATCGAGTTCACTTGCTTCTTTAAGAAGTTCTAGAGTTCTCGACTTCGATAATTCGCTTCCTTTTCTTATACTGTCGGACATGTCCCGGCTCGTGGCACCAAAATTGTACTGGAAGCAAAAAATGTTTTTGGAAACAAACCTTTATGATTTGGTTAAATTGTTATTCGGGGGAGAAGTTTGATGTCAGGGAGATGTGTTGGATGCCAGCTAAATATTTGGGCAACAATTGAATAAAACTGATTCGGAGGATTGGATGATTTAAAAACAGATCTAATTGACAATAGTATGGTTATAAATCTACATTGATGTTAGACAATGATCCAAACAAAGGAGAGGAGGTGCTTGCATGGGCACCAGTTGCTAATAAAGAGCTTATTAGATAACCGCATGATTATGATAGCAAACAAAGAACAATGTAGATATCCTCATGATTGTAAGGATTGCTAACAAAGAACAATGTAGATATCCTCATGATTGTAAGGATTGCTAACAAGGAAAAATGTAGATATCCTCATGATTGTAAGGATTGCTAACAAAGAACGATGTAAATTGTTTCAATATGTAGAAGCATAAATTTGGAAACAAAGAGTCCGAAGTATAAGCATTATTTGCGGAAATTACGTGGATATCTTTACTACAATTTGCAACTCATATTTTTAGATCGCGATATTAAAATCCGCGACAACATATCCACATGCAAGTTCTATATTAAATAAGTTGTTTTTGTTTAGCATGATATCAAAATCATTCTTCGACCACACCATCACAATGATTGACCCAAATATTTACGGATCACTTATCAAAGCATATTATTCTAATTCGAACTCTAGCATATTGTTTACTTCACTTTTACAGCGCACTGCCACATTTATACACTTCACGGATGTCATCTTTACAAAAGTTGTATCGACCTATCATTGTAACATTAGCCACCCCTTTTATAGTTGGTGTACCAAAGAAATATTAATTGAATTTGTTTGCATTGGATATTATATTGGACACTAGAGGACTTCTATTTAATTCTTCATATTAACTAGACGACTTAAATCAATTTAATTCTATTTTAAAATAAAAATTTTTATTTAAATTTACATATCGTATTACTCAACCAGAGTTAGATCCAAAAGTTCACGAAGTGCAAAAAACATTGCAAAACAGCTTCGAATGGCAGTTGCAGAAGCGCAGCAACAGTTTCGTGTCACACTATGTGTTTGACAAAATACATTGGCCCGACGCTCCCATGGAGTGTTAAACTGTAAAAGCGTCTGAAGTTATTAACTATATCGTGCATCACTTCTAAATAGTTCTTTTTCTTCTCTTCGCGAGATTTATCATCCTAAGGACAGATTTGAAGGTCTTTCAGCAGTCCAGCTTTTGATTTGGAATTGAAATCAAATTGTTGTTTAATTTATTCTGTCTGCAGTACTTTGCTTGAACCCGTACCTTATCTAATATACGATATTACTGTGCCCCGTAGAGTTTTACAGCAACCTCAAATGGCTGTCTTTTTCCAAAAATATCCATCCATAACTTGTATTCCAAATTAGGTGTACCGTTAGCGTATTCGGCAAGAGCATCAACCACAGCATCAGCATACCAGAAGCGATCTTCTGTTGTCGGAAAACCTGGAACTGGAACATTCATAAGCATGATATTTAAATTAAGTATTAATGCTCATCAATATTTTGTTGATCTGATTAAGAAATGTTTGGGGGAAAATGTGCAAAGGAAGCTGCTAGTAATTCGATAATTAAAGGTAAATATAGATTCAAACTTTATTCCTTAACTAATAATTTTCTGAAGGCATAAAAGACTTTATTCTAATAAGTTTAAGAAATGATACACTGAGTGGTTGCCAAGGTTTCTTAATTTATTTGAAAAATTTCAAAATTTGAACTAGTTTAACATGATAACACTGAAATTAGTGCATCTTTAATTTTTTTATTATTTTTGATGTGGTGATTAGCAATGGAAAGTTCATGGAATATTTCCGAAGGTGGAATTAAAAAGTTCACAGTTTTTAGGTATTATTTCAAAGCATTTTGCAATAAACTGATTTTAGATGCAATTTATGCTTAAAGAACTGAATTTTCTGAGCTACTAAAAAATAAAAGACTTCCGAATTCAAATCGAAATTGAGAAAATTTCAGATGATGCGAAATTTGTAGGACTGATAAGAGAATCAATGTGCTCATACCTAATCAGAAATCATTATGAATATATTCAGATATCATTTTCAAATATCAGATATCTTTTATTTAACTGAATTTCTTAAAATGAGCACAAGCAGTCAAAAGTGAAACGAATACGTTTTTTGTGTTGCCTAGCCTGTTCGAAGGGTATGAATAGTGATTTATTACCATCGTAGGAAAGTCTCTGCGCTTTTTTAAGATATTCCAGACTTGCGCGTACTTTTTCGTACTCGTGATTCAAGCAAACCAACCAACGGCGTCCTTCTTTGTTAGCCACAAAAATTGGTTGTGTTTGCTGTGGACATTTGGATCCATAATAATGACTGTCAGCATATCCTATTCAAGACGAAGGATTAGAATGATAATTGTAGTAGTATTCCGACACAGCTGACTATTCCGTGAGTTCTGTTATTTTTAAGAATGGTAGAATGTATTTTGTTTTGATTTAAAATATAGAATTAATGAACAACATTGTGAAGATGAAGTAGTTCGTGATTGATTTCCAGGGAGAATGAAAAAAAGTGATCGAAAGGATCTCTGCTTTTGAAAATCAAATAACTTTTAGAAATACCTCTGGTGAACTTTCCTCGTCTTTCTTTGCTGTGATATGCTGTGTCTGAAAGAAGAACAGAGTTCCTTTGGATTTAGATTAGTGATTATCAGATTATGCCATATCATTCAACTTTTGTTAATTATTAGTACCAGAAATTCTGATTCATTTGAATAATTAGAAGCTATTTACCAAAATAATTAAATAACTTTCATTTTAATATAGTCACTGCTTAAATTGCTCACATGTTCGACTGCTGCAACCGTTACCACTGCTGACAATACCGCCTTGAGGCCGTTTTCGATTGTGGGTGTAGTTACCATTACTACAATTGTAAGGGACTACCAGAGCCTGTTGTTCCTATGAAAAAATTTTTGGATTGTTTTATTATGTAGTCTGTTTAATTAGGATGATATTTTGAATTCCCAGCTTACCACGTCACTGTCGAATTCAGCAATTCCATCACGATATAATCCAACAAAAACGCCTTGATAATGAGCAATGGTTGGTTCACAGCGACCCAAAATTTCTTTCAAACACTACAATATTTCAAGATAGATTTCAACTGCTGCTAAGCTGAATTTAATCCATCCATATATTGCTGAATCGTCAGATTCTTCCTCAAAAAGTGCTCGAAGGCAACGCAATAACAAATATTTCTGATAGGTCATTTCAAACAAAGTATTGAATTAAATAAACTGAATGAAGTTCCGATTTTATTCTCTTTTATTTGCAAGATGTTTTTAAAAAGACGAGTTTATTGCACTAATTAATCTATTTGGATGTTGCGACTTATTTAAAAATGATGATTGGATACTTTTGAACTGCATACATTGCACATCGTAGATGCAATACGAAATAAAATAAAATAAAATAAAAGCACCGAGTTTTGAGTTGGAACTTTGAAAGTTCTTCCACCAAACATGTCTAAATGGATTTGATGTGTTTCATTTGCATGAAATTCAGCTCTTCGTCGTTGTATCTCATTGTTCAAACGCCACGGTCCAATTATCGACGTGTACTGTAAAGGGTTGTTTACTGATAAAGCTTTCACTCACATATGTTAATCTACTGACGATCTTGTTTGTGAATATTTTATACATAATTCATCCACATTCGATTCACGGAAAAATTATCTATTACTTAGTTCATTACATTTTGAGCTATATTTTTAGAATCTCTTTTGACATTTATATAAGAATTAATACGACATTGTTTTGAAGTTAATTAGCTTTGATGCTGGCAAAGTATCTAAGAGTGAATTATATTGCTCCTTTCATGATCTTTTGGATCACTGATAACATGACCTTATAATCGTTGATGATATCTCTCTCTTCTTATCATCATGTGTGCACTACTATTCTAGAAGAATTCAGTATTCTTCAAAATGGTATTCGGCCGCGTATTCGTCAATTAGAAAATTTGCATACCTTATCAATAATGCCGTGCTTCAGATTGAATTCACAGATCGCGATTTCAGCAGGAATGCATATGCCATCTACGTTACCATATGTTTGCACCGAAATAAACAAAAATCGAGCTCGCTGAAATATTTTCAAAATATTTCAGTAACCTTAGAAAGTTCAAAATAGTACTGGCAAATCAGTAGTCCAATGTAATTATATCCCTGTTCTGTTGTTTACCACTGGTATGTGTGAAAAAGAAACCGGAAAAATAAGAACTTCTAATATTAACTCGAATTTCATCCAATCCATTAAGAGTGCGCAGAAATACAAGCACTCGTTTTTTGTCTTTTTCGTATTTCTCTTGGTAAGTACTCCGACTGATACCATTTGCTGTAACTTTTGAATTTAGAATTTTAAATCACAATTATTTCAGTGAGTTCATTTTTCCAATGTAATTGATTTGAGCAAGAGATATTGCTATGGAAAACAACTACTCTTTCCTCTTATCGCTTTTATCCGCTTTTATTTTTTTCATATAGATATTCCTATTTAATGTACCTTCTGAATCATAATCTTTTTGATTTAACGGTACACCGATCATTGAATCTTCCGGATAATCATTTTCATCAAATTCATTAAGCTTCTCATTTTTTGCTCTGTTCCCAGCTTCAGTCTTTGCACTGCAATTATTTTTATTATACCTTTAACAACTAAGAAACAAACAGACAAATTTTTACGTCGCAACCGCTCAATTCTTTTTTTTTTTTACTTTTTTCTATATATGTTCATTTAATCTCGAAATAGTTTTGAGGGGAATGACAAGAAAGATGTAAAACTTACTCTTTCATCTCATGTTCGCGTTTCTTTCGTTTTACCAGCATTCTTGGCTGATGCATTAAAGCGAAATACTCCTCGATATGACGTTTCATTTTTGCCCGATCTTTCCATACCTATTTTAAAAACTGCTGAACTATATATATAACTGTTTAATATACCTTCGTGCTCATAACCAAATTTTAGGAATTGTTTATTGTGATATCGTCTAAATATAATCCTTGTAAATGTTGCAGACGATAAGTAGAAAGTTACGATCACTGAGAATTTACACTCTTGAATTAAAAGGATATCTTTGCGCTTGAGATTTCTTTAACTTCACCTTAGCTCAACATTTTGAGTAGGTTGCAGGGCACTCACTGTAAGTGGATGCGTTTCATTATAAATAATTGTTTAATATGCTTCAGATTAATCAATTTATCAGGAAAAGGATATAAATTAAAGATTGAAATATCATTCAGCCTCATGAATTTATTAGGTATAAGACCTTTTTTTCTTCACTAGTAAGTCGTTCCCATAGTGGTGTCACGATACGGACCAAATAAGGTGAAATTATATCGTCCTGACAGCAATATCTACGTCCTGCTATTTTGATTTGCAATTCTTGTGCAAACAAGCAAAAACCATTTATGGAGGTAGCTGACATTACTTCGGCTTTAAACTTTTCTTTATCAAATATACCAGTTTTCTGCAGTATACTATCCAGAGATTTGAATTAATTTAAAATAAATTCATTCTTAGAACAAAGAACATAGAGAAAAGATTCAGAGGGGGAAATTTTGTGAAATGGAACTTCTTAGAGATCAAATTTCTTAAAAGTTTGTGTTAATGTCTCACTGTCGAGAAATTAGAGCTTGTTTGATTATGAATAATATCTATTTGCTTATCATGTGACTTTGGAAGAAAACATGAAGATGAGGCAGAATAAATTGAGTAAGCCCCAATCACCATATAAGAAAGTAAGTGATTCGGACCAGTAACATACCGGTCGACAACTGACAACTGTTCACAATGGAACAGTGAGTCAAATTTTATTCTAATCCTTTCATCCATTATGCAAATTTATTCACATATGAGTCAACATGGACTATTCGATGACCCAAATGACAATATTTTACAGATTTGCCAAGGTGATATGCAGAAAGATTATATTTTCAAATTTGCATGAAGCAAAGGCTTTTTTTTCTTTTTTGTTTTGATTTCTTTGCATTTGACTTAGCTTTCTCTTTATGGTATTTTACTTCAATTTGATCACGAAATTTGAGCTCAGTACTTGATAAGCAGTAACTGCAGCAGAAAGTATTAAGTAATGTTGAGGCACAAAAGAGCAAATTTGCAGAAGTTTAGGTAGATGTATGAAATATCACACAGTATGGGATGGTTAAGTTGCTAGTTCCAACTATCAGCAACGAATTGATCTACTGATAAAATAAATTTTTTTTTTATTAAATAATGTTTTGTGATCTCCCAAAAGGCCATTCAAGATCTGTTCCGTAGCTCCATTTTCAGAAGCACTGATGTGTTAATATTTCATTTAAGTTATTGTTTTGGTGCAAATGTCTTCTTTGCGTAAAAATGACAAAAGCTGACAAAGCTTTACTTCTTTGCAATTCTTTTCACGATGAAATATCTACAAAACAGCGAGAGAGCACGAATGTTTCAACGATGTTATGAAGACTTGTCGAAACATGTAGAAAGAAGTTTCCATAGTCCCTTCAACGACTGCTGACGAAGACAATTCCGATGCCTTGTAATGGTAGTTGTATGTAACCGTTGAAGCTTTTGTACTCGCCGACATTCAAGTAGGTGTTCATCGATTAGCTGGAAACCAATTAATTTCAAAAAAGAGTTTGGTAACTTAGAATTTGTGACTGAGAATAATTATTGAAATAACTGAGCAATACCAATAATAATAAAAATGCCAACTTATCATCGGATTAAGACACAATTCGCCAACTATTGGAAAGGCAAAAATCTAGATACGTTAAAAAAATCACAATAGATTGGGAAAGGAAATTAGTAGATGATGAGAGATACATTAAGTCTAATATTCATTGTTAGTTGTCCCTCATCCTCAACTTCGTTTAATTTCTCCCAAGTGACAGGGGAAATAGCGGCTGCAGCTGCAGTTCGAGCACGAGCAGCTTCAATCATGCAAATGGTGATCATTGCTTCGTCGCTTACATCTGAATAGAGGAAGCAGAGAAAAGCCAAATCATCTATCAAGTCCACTCGTTCACTTTCGTCACTCTCCCAATGCTGCAAACTTCTCACTTCAAGTTTATTAAATAAAATTAAAACAATGTGAAGAATATATCTTGAATATCCTTCACATTGCTTAAAACTCACTAAGTCACTAAGGAGTAAGTTTCATTTCTTCTCTTTTTTTCTCCTAATTCCTTTATAATGAACTCTAAACATTAAGATCACCACCTTAGCAATCTTCGAAATTCAGTAAAACATCCGATGAATCATATAAAAAGCTTTCTACCTTGTCAAAGAATGATAAAGATATAGCTAAATATACTGAACTTTTGTATGAAATTTCTTAGTTTTAGGAATGAATTGAATGAGTTCTTGGATTAAATTTCGAGAAGTTTCATGTCAAGTCACTGTCCAGTATCGATGAACTCAATTATTTGTTCAACTTAATGTTGATAGGAAAGTGATGATATCTTTACCTTGGCTGCACATCTCATCAGATCACTATATATCACTTGTATCAGTTTCCAAATGTCCCATCGTGTTACTGCTGTTGTGTCCTGACTATTTTCCTGGGATGACACCAGAAGATTTAGCTGGTAAAATATGTGCAAATATGCATCGATATAAAGAAGTATTGATTGCTTACTGATGCTCCTGCAAGATTAAGAAATATGTCTCCAATGTCTGTTTTTCGGCTCACATATTCACTTGATTATGACTGAATGAATTATTCTGTAACTAGAAATCATCGAGATTTAATTTAAATAACTGCGAACGATGCAAGCAGTACTCATCATCGATGAATTCGCGCAGTTGTTTTGCGCAACATAGCAGAGCTGCACGTCGTACCGCTTTTGTTGAGTTTTTCTTGCCCACTGCTCTCATGGCTTCTTCTACTACTTCCATTCTTTTTTCACTTCCGTTGTACGACTTACGATCGAAAGCAACTACCAACACCGCTGCAATTGCTTCTGCCGCTGACCGATCATCGGAAGTGCTATTGCAGAGTGTGATACGTGTTTGACGGTCCAGAGAAGGAAGTGACGAGTGGGACACTGAAACCGGATAGTATTTGTTTAGTTCCTATTTGCCTTTCACTTCGAAGACTGGTGGACTGAAGGATTTCGCATAGCGCAGATGTCCCTCATCGACTTTCTTATCTTTCGTTGCATAACTTTATGTATGAATGCTGTCTAAATAATAACTGCTTGAAATTTAGTCAACTTTTTATGTGGCTGCTATAGGCTATTCCACTAGCTTTTAACTATTTACATCTATTTTAAGAGGCAGCATAATAAATAGCTGCGTTAAAAAAATTTGAATAAGCACCTCCGATATTAAGAGAAACCAATCACTCACTTTGTTGTACCAACGCTATTGCTTTTTTTTTCTGTTTTGAAGTTTCCACTTTTGTTATTAGGATTAAATTCAGTTTCTCAAATTCAAGGATAAATTAGGTGCCACATGTATTTAGTTAATTTAAAAAAATAAAATATACTGACTTGAAGTGCCCACTTTAATGCTTCGATTATAACGTTCTTTGATTGATTGGTTAAATTTCTGAAAATTTGCATCGGGTCTTAGATGTTTTCTGAAATATCGTCACTCTTTTCTAAACGAATTATTAGAAGCTGAATAGAAGATTGCGGTGTATACAGACCGCTGTTGAATTCAACCTGTACTTCTTACGCCTCTACGAATATTTCAACAGAAACCTCAATAAAATGTAATAATTTATGCAATCTGGCGCTGTTGTGATATTGATGCTGCCTCATTCTCTGCAGAGCTGTAGGCGACAACGGTGTTGTGCCAGCGTTTTCTAAAACTGACAGGGCAAATCTCATATCAGCTTCACATTCATTCCGAAGGTTCTGCAAATACTCTGATTAAATATATTATGTAAAGAAGTTAAGGTGTGGAACAAGTTAAAAAATTACTTACTGGTAAAAAAATAATTCTCCTCTCTTCTTTGAGAATTTTCAAATCCAAATTTGACATAATGTGAGACTGTGCATGAATTACGAAAGGATAAATACGACAAGTGGATTTATTCATCCATCAGTCAATCTAATCATAAACTCTTAAACATACTTGTTTAGCCTTACACAATGCAATACAATCTGTTGCAGATATCATAGAATCTTCAGTGAGTACTTTTAAACTGATTTCTATCCATTTGTTTGTTTTCTAAAATCCAGAAAATTTTTCATTATTACTGTATAATATTTGCAATTCATAATAGAAACAATCAAATTCTAGCTTGTTTCTAGTTCATTCCACTGAAACCATTTAAAGCTGATTATGAGTAAAATGAAACCTGAATGCTTTGTTGTAAACTACGCAGGTCATTAATTAGTTTTTGATGTTCATTTTCGAGCTCACTCAGAGTTACCAATTTGTGACCATTGTGTCGATCTACACAACATTTTAGACATATCACACGCTGAAAACATTTCATAACATTTTATGTAAAATAGGGCTGTACAGCTTCTGGAAGTGAACTGACAATTCTTGGTGTAGATGTCTTTTGCTATTTGGAGAAAAAAGGCATTCATCGCTACTAGAAGTGCTTCATCTGCCAAATTTATAATCCAATATAGCAGAAACAAAAGATTATATATAATTGATTTCGCTTTCTTTAAAATCAATGATAATTTACCAAGCAATCGTCGTCATCTTTTTTAGTGTTAAAACAGCCTTCACAAAATCGAACTTCTTTTCGACATTTCTTCTCATTCATTTTTCGAGAACAATCAGTACATTGCATCAGTTGACATCTTTTGGGATTAGAAAGTGATCTCGGATTTCGTTGCCAGGAGTGTAGTCTGGCTGACCTGTTTCTTGTTGAACAGTTATTGTCAGAGACATGAATGACAGTTATATTAGCATCATTCGTGGTTCCCACTTGCTGCTGTTGTACTGTCTCCAATAATTCTGAGTTGTAATAAAATCAAAGTTATTGAAGTGGAAATATGTTACTGGGCTGTGAATAACCGAACTAATGAGCAATAGACCAAAGGGTAGGAACTGATAATGGAATGTGAAAGATACTAAATAAAGGAAATTAATGCTGTAATGAATAAATTATAACTAATATTCATTGATAAGAACTTTTACTCAGGTAGCTCAGCTCAACTGCTCACTGCCATTGAAATTTACAAATAAATGATTAAATCATAATTTGTAACAGATTACTTACGGCATAAACGATAGTTAGTAGTAGCAGCAAGGGCTGCTGAGGTATTGAATTCGGTACGGCACGTGGGACAGTTAATTGAATCCAATAAATAATACTGAAATTTTACACCTCATACTCTGAGATAATCACATGGTTGTCACCATAATTTCTTTACATTCTAAAAGTTGACGAAAAATAATTTAATTACTTTGACTCTTAAAATCAAAAAATAAGTGGATATGGTACTGTCCAAAAGATTACCTGCTGATGACAACAAAGCGAGAAAATGCATTGCTCACAAAAGTTGTGCTCACAAGGTAACAGCTTTGGTAGTCTTTTTCTGATGTGAAATGGTTGAAAACAAATTTCACAACGTATAGAAAATCTATCCTTTTCGACATTAGTAACACTAGCAGTTTTAGTCATTCTCCTGAAACTCTTCAAATTGTTTTCAACCATATAGTCTATAAACTACAGTTTAAAGTCTTTTAATTTCCCCGATTAAAAATTTCAATAATGGAGATGAAGATGTCAATAGTTTAAAAGATAATTTCAGAGTATTTTGAAATCTCAGATAAACATGATTTTAGTCTGACCAGAAGATGTTTACATAAGGTTCCAAAAAATTAGATTCAGAACTTTTCTAAGAAAAAAAGAAAATGAGGTGGGATTAAAAAATAATTTCAATATTAAATTCACAATGGAAATAGTCGAAGTTATGAATTATCTTTCTTTTATGAAATAGAATTGTACCGCTGTTTTCCTTTTTCTGATAATAAATATAAACATGAGTTTTATTCAATGAAGACTGAAAGACGTCTAACGAAAAGCAATTAATTATAACACAAAATAGAGTAATTAACTTTGCTTTTTATTCCCCATAATTTCGAGAATGCAAAGTCAAATATGTCATTAAACAAAAGTTCAGAATAACCGCAGTGAGTTTTCGACTGGATCTGTCATTAATGTTACCTTAAATCTCAACAATTATAGAGTTCGTTAAGCAATTCCGGACATGTGATATTGCTAAGATGATGAGACTAACTGTAATGACAAGTAACGCTTAATAGTTTCATAATTCAATATCTGATATCTATTCATCTGCTACTCAGTAATTAGGTATTTACATAACTGATACAAATGCAATATAAATGTGATATGTGTAAATGCATGTCGTATATCATAGCATATGTATTAGGTCAATATGCTTTTTAACAAAATGATGAGCTGATGTGATCAATTTCATTTTCAGACTTAAATTTTGTTTACCATAGCCATTGAGAGTATCTTTGCAAATATCATGGATTCGGATTAAAGATAGAGAAAAACTATAAAGCTTCTCCTAATTGTTCAATGATGATTGGTGGCTTTGTGAGAGCAGTTTCTTATTCTTTTTTCATGATTATTTTTCAAGTACTGCTAAAGCCAAAGCACAAAGATCACTTATATTCGTTAGGTCACATCAGGAAGAATTCTTCTTGTCTCCTGTTTTACGGGTTCCACTTGAATTTATTCAAACCTGTATAACAAAAGAACTGAATAATTTCTTTAAATGATGTTATTGAAAAATGATAAGAGGAAAAGAATGGATGATAGGAAATAAGAAAGATTTCCTGAAGAAAAAATAGTGTCAGTGCTGAGGAAAACTTTTCTAAGAAAAAGTTTCAGAAGTATCTAAAGGAAAGTTAGTACCATTTGCTCGATGTAATTTTATGAATCATTATTGTTATCAATTGTCTGCACAATAATATTAATATATGAAGCGCCAGGTTCTATTTTTTAGACATTCGAATTGTTCATTCCATTCAGAAAAAGAAGAAAGACAGCAGTATCATTTGATGTAGTCATCTGAATGGAGAAAAGTATCAAATAACCATCAGAATAATGGTTATTATAGAGAAATTATAAGTTGTATAAACGCGAAATGATATGCAATTTGAAGTTAATAGAAGGAAAAAGATGTGATAAAGATCGATGAATTCGTCTTTTGCATATAATACTTTGTCTCTATAATAGCACATTCGAAATTTTGTATTTCTCCGGTACAGCTTCTTTGCTTTGGTTTCTGTTTTACTGACATGAACTAAAGTGGCTCACTAAAACAGTCAACTTTCTTAGATCAATTTTAAATTACAGTAATAATGACAATGATGTTATTGTTTGTGGATGAAAGGCTGATATGAAACTTGCTGATAAATCAAATAGATTCTGGAAGCTTTCAAACAAAGACAGCAAACACCACAAGAACAGTATAGAACACTTCGTGCATATACCGGGGGAATGCTTTCGTGTCCTCAGCTAGGACCGGAAATGAAGCATCAAAATCTCATCCGAAAACATCCGATTAGTTCTGAAAAAAAAAATATATATATATATATATATATAATATATATTCACCGTAATGGCTGCAATAGAATTGAAAAATACAATGTGCATGACTACAACGTTAACTATCCTAATAATTTTGAAATTACATCCGATCAGTAGATATTCTTCCTGAAAATTTGGTATTAGTAGCACTAAAATATTTTATCTGTTTTCTAAATTGAAAAGTTAAAAGAGACTGTTTGGTATAATTATTTGGTGCTTTATTGTTAGAATAAATTAAAACGAAATGAAAAGATAGTTAAAAAGAAGTCGGAAACAATCAAAGGAATAATAGGAAGGCAAACAGTTTAAGAACTAAAAATGAAACACAGAAAAATCAAATAATGAAAATAACGATCATTAATTTTCTCTTTTCTCAGAAGATATGTTAGAGGATAACCGTGAGAGCGTTTTCGGCTCTAGTTCTTAGAACCGTGAAATTTTATAAGAGCAGCCTTTTGTTTCGAGGTCATTTATTGTCTTTCCATTACTTTGCTTTCGATTTTGAGAGAAAATGAATTTCTTTTATAGGTGCCCCTATCATAGATGGCTTAGTAGATCTTCATCTAAAGTCGGTAAAGTTTGTTTGTAATCTTAATTGATTAATGACTTTCGATAACTCCATCAGTTAGCGCTTGACAAATTTCTGGGGCTGAGAATAGTCGTATTAATTAACAAGTTCTCTGTTTAATGATTATTGTGGCTGTATATTCTATAGACTCGATAGTAAAAGTAGTTAAGTTTTTCTTCTCTTAGAAGCACATGACGCGTGCTGGACTGTTATAATTAAGTCATTAAAAATGCGATCAGCTGGCTCGTCCTCACTTTCTATACTCCGCTGTTTACCGTTTCGTATAAGACACTCATGACACCTTAAAAGTGGCATAAAAACTTATCAATAAAATTTAAAAAGTGAAAAAAAAATAAGAAAAAGGATCGAAAAAATCAAAAACTGAGTTTTATCGGAGGTTATTAATCGCAGAAGCGAAAAAAAGCATAAATTTCTTTAAATCCAAGAAAATTTCCGAAGATTTTGAGTTTTCAATCTCAAAACATGTAACTTATGTAAATTGTAAAGAAAATAATTAATAAAAAATTAAACTGAGCTGGCAAAAAAGAGACAAATCAAATTTATCGAATTTCTGCGCAACATACAAATTGGATTTTAGTTGATTTAAATTAAAGTAGAATGGAACAGAGTGAACGGAAATCTTAACCTTTCGATTCGCCCTTTCATTTTAGAAGAGTGCAGCTAGTGGAATAATTCCGCTGATGTTGACAATTTTTAGGTTACTCAAATTGTTGTCATATGAAAATGAGTATTTCAATTTAGGAATATTTATATTCCTAAATTGAAATACTCACATCTGTGTAACAAAGCAAAAAATGTACTAAAAAGCAGATTTTCGAATGATTAAAGTCCATATCATATGTATATTATACGTTGTGATACTTACCAATTAATCAACTAAACAATTAATTTCACTTCAATTATGTTGAACTGATAAAGGCCTTTCACAAAATAACAAAAATGACCAATAACTTCAACGACCATATTTTAGAGATACGGCCAGTCGTTCGATTTAGAATCAACCTACGGTACCGCATCAGGAAACTTCTTATTTGATAACACACTGAATTGAAGTGGCATATTTAAAAAGTAAGTGCATTTCCTCTGCAGAGTAAGTAATCTATCGAATATTTTGTAGCAATAGTGACGATGATGCACCAATTCCCTTCATTTTCAATTAGATTCCTCTTTCTTAAATTAAAAGTGGAAATAATTTTGCAGACAATACAAATTTGCTAATGTTTTCCTTCCTAAATGACGTAATACTTAGTAATCAGTGTTGCACAACAGAGGATATTAGTATCTTGATTATATATTTTATGTAGACAGCTACTGCAGCTACTACAAGACACAGTTTTTTGTTGACGTTTCGAATTAGAATGGATAGTTCACAACAAAAGATAATATTTCTCCAAGATAAAAATATTGAAAATCTATGAAATTATATCACTGTTCGTTTTAAAACAAGTTAACATAACGATATCATTTATTATTTTTCATTCCAATGACAATGGAAAAGATGTCATTGTAATAAAAATGACTAGCAGGATGCCATTCATAATCCAATTTTAACAATTTGTTGTCAAACGTATAAATAAATAAAAAGTTATAAATAATGGACGAACGCAATTCAAATTTGAATTTATTATAGCTAACCACAATGCATAAACAGCTTTACGAATGAATAGGTTTGAAGAAAAGAATAAATTAATTTGAAATTTGACCATTAATTTATTGACATTTGAAAACCGGGTAGCTTGAGGTGAAAATAGACAATGGGCGAACTGGGTTCGAATGTGACAATCCAATGGATTGGAGCGGCGACGGGCAGTTGTCCACAGTAGAACTTCCTATCAATCATATTGAAGTTTAAAAGGAGTGAATTAATGACAACATTTTTGTATTTTGTGCTCACAAACCTATATTGTATACTTGATTGATTGCTCATTGAATCTTAATTTCAAAGTTGCTAGAAATTTCTGAAGTCTAACATGCCGAAAGAAGAAAATTAGTGATATCTGTTGAAATATGTCTATGAAGTTGTAGTCAAAGCATATTATTTGTTTTATCTTTTTTTATCTATGGTCTTTCCATCTCTCCGAATAACTTCACAGTAAAAACCCTTTGTCAAGCATGTAATTTATAAGGAAAAAATTATCAGTAAACTTTTTTAATAAAATGGTGATAGGATAAGTGAGTGATACAAAAATGATATCATGAAAGTTCTAGGCAACAATTTAGATTAATAAAACTATTCACATTTTATGCCTTATTTTTTCGTCACGAGCATACAAGTAAAAATTGCAGCCAACGTCAACCACTTATGATTTATGATATAGCTCTGCCTAATTAGTCATTGTCTAGTTATCATTTCCTTAGCGCTTCTGCCACGATGAAATTATCTAAATAAGATTATGTGGTTAACAAATTAATCATTGATATATTGTCGAAAATTTCAATTTTTAGTAAGGACTTAAAAGTTTTTTTTGGAGAAGCACGCTATTTATTTGTTCACATGCCATGCAGTATATTGCAATAATTTATGAATTGGACCAAAATTGAATATTGTTATTACAGAATGGTATTATAATATTTTATTTCTCAGTAGCCATTTTAATGAATGAATGCTAATTAGCTTAAAACGATTTACGTGGAGATAAACGAATCAATGGTATTTGTAGAGAATCAATGGTAACGAACCGTGATGTACTTTTTTTTTATTATATGTTTGAAACCAAAAAAAAAGTTGAAATGGAAATGTGAACTTTCGATATCTTCATGAATAAGTCCGAGAATGTAATGAAATGAATTACATTCATAGTCCCGTATTATTTAACATTTATTTTGTGGGTGAGGCTTTATAACCAAAAACTCTTAATTGATCTTCAGAAACGAAAATCATTTCCGGAAAGCAGAAAGGCAGAAAATTTGAAATTTTTCACAATTATTTTTTATTACATACCTTCAGAAATCTAATGACTTCACTCTTGAGTGATTACCACTTAAATTAAAGCTAATGCTTGAGAATTGCAAATATAATTAAAGTTCCTGAGTGTTAAGATCCATTCAAGCTAATAAATGCGGTCAGTATTAGTGTAAACGTGGTCAGTGAATTCTAAATAATACCTAAAGAAAAGATGTGATTCTAAGCACATAAAATTCAACAGCCTTTAATATAACCAAATTCAATGTTTCATTAGCCATATATACGAAATAGGCATAAAGAAATGAGAGATATCGGACTATCCAAATCGAAACATTGGTAAGTCACCCACATGACGGATCTGATAGCGTGCTTCATCTCCTGAACCAGTATTCCGTGTAAGTCGTCGGAATGGTAAATATGGAATATGATCATTATGAGTATTTTCGAAAACATCGGACCAACTCTCTGCAAATTTGATTTATGTTTAAATGAGATAGTTCTGAGATTGATTTATTCTGCATTCTGAACTCGATGAGTTTATGATTTCAATTTTCTGCTTTCAACTAGTTTAATTTTGATTACTACCTCACACTACAAAATTTTTTACCACATTTATTTCTAAACATATATATATATAATTAAATAAATCAATGGCATATTGATAGACATGATCAATATCAGTGCGAACGTGGTCAGTGGATTCCTGAATAACACCTAAAATGAGAATGATAGGAGTTAACCAGTGAGACAGACCATTTTAACATTTCATTAGTTTATTTGAGAATTTTAAATTAGTCTAATTTTTTGAAATCTGAATTGATTTTAAAGAGTAAACTTTCAACTTCAAAACTGCTTACCATACTCACCTCGAGATAGTAGACCTTCTTGGGGTATATAAGTTAACAAAAACTCATCCGCTGAAAAAATTAAATATTGTTAACTTGTCAACGATCATTCCAAGAACATGCATAGAAATTATATACAAATTCACTTCAAAATCATAACAGATGAAACTTTTCTTGACTAATCTTCTTCTTTCAAAATAGTACAACTTTTTTAAAAACGATAACGACAAGATTAGTAGAATAATGAGACCAGTGTCTTCTTGAAAAGTCAGTAGATAAATTATTGAAGATAAAATGGCGGCTGAGTTTGACCATTTATTTGCCAACAATTCTATTAATGCGGAATTTTATAGAAATGTCGTTAAGCAACGGAACAAGGAGCAAAGACAGTTATTCAAATGTTTGCTAGATTCGATAATATATAAAAAAATTTCGGAAGAAAAATAAAGTTTATCTGAAAGAAATTGATGGTGATCAAATGATTTTCAGGTTCGGTTTTAAAAAGATAAAGCTTACGCCGTAGTGTCAATTTCCTGGAATAGAAGATTGGAATGGCAATGGTGGACTGTAGAAGGATTAGCAAAGCGAAGCATATTGTAAAATGGTACGAGATGCATACTACTTCTCTTGACATATTAATAATCTAAAATAAATATGGTTGGGCAAAGATTAGTTTTCCGGAACTTGCATCGAAGACAGTAAGTGGATATTCCTGTCTGAAAGCATGAAGCTAATAAAAACTACTATAATGATTTATTATATTGTCGAAATATACTTCAATGCATTTTTGTAGAAGTCTAATATTTATTGAAAATCATTTGAGAATGCGTTGTAAATGGGACAGTTTGGTCTGCATCAGTTTTTTTTCCCTTAATTTTGATCATTTCTGATCGCTTTTTATACTCAAAAAAGCTTTTTTTTTTCTACATTTGCCGTGATGATAGGAAGAGCAAGCAAAAATATATTAAACACTGTGTCTCAATCAATTTGTCGCTTGTACTTGTTTTCGGTGAAATGATAGCATATCACTCATTAACTAATTTCTGGGAGAAGATGAACAATTTGTCAGATTTAAACAAATTAAAATAAAAAATTGCCTTAATTAATAAATACTATTTAGTCTCTTATCTTTCATTATACCTTGTAGTAATCAAAATTATCATTACTTCAGATTTAATGTTTGAAACTTACCATCGAACTAGTTGCAGAATTCCTTTTCAACTTTTTGAGTCTTTTGGAAAATGAAGATAGTCTATCACATGTCTCATCTATTTTATAGTAATTGGCAAATAAATATTCTAATTGCAACATAATTTCAATGGAAAAATAGTAATCACAATTGAATACATAGCTGTGAAGCAGATAAATATATAAGCGATCTTTGAAAGACTTCGTTATCCGATCATTTTAATTATAAAGTGGTTCACGGAAAATAAAAGTAAAATTTGGGAAGGAGTCCCAAAAAATGGCTACCCATTTTCGTTTCTAATTTATAATATTTTTGACATGCATAAGTTTTCAATGCTTTATCGCTAATTAATCAGCCAATCATTCTGGAAATCTAAATTCATTGGTTGATAAAGTCGATAAATATGTTTTAGGAATTAAGATATAACAGATGAAGCTTAAACATAATATTTGTTGTAACGCAGATAAAGACGAGCAGAAAATTATTGAGTAAATCCTCGGGCATACCACTGCAATGTTATGTTTAGAATCAAATTTATTTTTTAAGGCTTCAAATAGATGATGTGAAGTGAGTTTGGCTTCAAATCAAATTCCTATAAATAACTGTCCCACAAACATGGATAGAAACAATTATCTCCAAAGCTCTATTTGCGATAACAAAGTTCCAATTACCTTTGCTCACTGTTGTTCATTTTATTCGGATTACAACTAAATCGAAATAATTTAACATTTAAATGAAGAAATGCAAGATTCATGTACAGAATCGTTTAATTTCCTCATTAGAGGAAAAAGTTTTTATAGGAAACATTTATATAATGTTAGGATCGCCAAACTGATGGAGTTGCCGTACTATAAATATAAATATTGAAAGTAATTGTTTCATTTAACGAATATGAAAAAAGCAGTGGATCAAATGATTTGCACATCAAAAATTCAAGTTTTCGTTATCAGCTTATAAATAACTAACAGTGATTCGTACAGCTTGTTATGATGTCGTTAATTATTTATAAAGCTTCGTTGAATTTTAATTTGCTGTATTTTCAAATTTTCTTACAGAAAAAACTCTAAATAATTCGTAAATGAAAGGGTAATGGCATAATTATAAAGGAAAGAAAGGCTCAATTTTTTTTTGAAAATTTGCGTTAACATAAGGTGAAGAACTTGATTAGATCTATGTCAGGTTTTTTACTTTTCATTTATAGTGATCAACCCTCAGATATTACTTAACTTTGTAAAATGAAACAGATTGAAGCCTCAAAAACATTGGATATGCGGTTAAGTTCATAACATTAGATCAGGAAAATTCATATCCTTGTTGTTAATTAAATTTTATATGGAAAGAAATTCAATTAATGCATTCAATATATTTTCAGTATAGGAAAGAGAAGAGGAAGAAATGAAATTCCTTCTAACAGGTAGTTCATATGTTCTTAATTACTTCACTATAATAATTACTTCTTGGTTGAAAAACAAAACTGATGAAGTTTAACCTAAAATTATAAGTTTTTCTATTGAGTAATTCTCCTCAATTACGTTGACTAAAATCACAACTGCAAACAATAATTAGAATCGAAGCTATCATTCAATCTCGATGAATTAAATGAGTCCGATTTTTCTGTTGTCATCCTGGACAGCGATTACATCTCTTTACTAAATGTTAGGAAAACAGTGTCAGAGTGCTTAACTCTTTTTAGCTGATACTACCTTCCTGCATAACAGGCTGTTTTGGAATTTTTTATAGGTTGGTGACAAAGGTGTCCTTATACTCTATAATAAAGGTGTGGAATGACTAAAGCGAGAAATATTTGAAGCACATTAGGAAAGGTCCTTATTAGGCATTGGATCAGTGATTTTCTACTGCTAAACATGATTCGGTTCATCGGATCTTATACCATTCCAAAAATTGGTTACAAACTGCTAGTATGTAATAAGTTATTTTAAACTTAGCATTCTTCTAATATTTTTGAAGTTGTAAACAAATAGGATTTTAATAATCAAAAAAAGATTAGAAATAGATTATCTTTTTTCTCCATACTTCTCATCCTACTAAGGCATAATCTATTTCCCCTATACTTCTCCGTTTGTTTGAACTATCTAAAAATCACTGGTAAAAGATTTTCGCAGAGTCGTAATTATGCTGATGAAAAGGACGTAAGGATCAATTGTAATAAGTGTTCATCGACAAAAACTTTCTACAAAACCTCTACCAAGCCTTTTTTGCTGTTAAGAAATTTCGAAGTAATTTGAATAATTCAATATTAGTCACTCGTCAGAACTAATAACAAACTTAACTGCTCTCTATAAAGAATTACTATCAAACTTGTATCCTTCCAAACTGAATGTTCGATGTGCAGAGTCTCTGCCGATGTATACATGGTTTTGAATCCAAATGGAATATTTAAGACTACTACTTATTTCTGTTCCCCTAAAGGACTATTATACTCCGAGTAGACGAACCCTAAAAAAAATTTTATTGAAGGCAAAGCTCACCAACATCAGTGCTATTCCCAAACATTTTCCCGAACACAGTTATCGTAATGAAAGGATTGTGTGACTCGTTCCACTTTCATAACATTCCAAAACTTTAGCTTTATAGCTAATCAACTCATGCATAAGTAAGTTCTCACAAAGTTACCGACTTATTGAGATTGGCAGTGCTACCGTTCAGCAAAGTGCTATGTCAACGACTTTCTGGACACCTGGTATCTAGAGGCATGAAATCGTCATTAAGATATATATAGCCCACAACGACATATGCACTAAGAGTTTCAATAATCCTAGGAACAAACGAATTCAGATGACAAAGTAAAAAGCTAGTTTTATCATATGATGCAAAACTACAATATGGGAAAGAAAACCTTTAGAAACAGTTACCGCAGTAGAAGTCACTCACTACAAATGAAAACAAGAGGAATCAATGCTTCAAGGTATCCAGTGACTAGTGCCTTTGTAAAAATGGTTATTTTATCTTGTCTTCTATATTTTGGGTTTTGTAGATTGCCGAAAATAAACTCACTGAGTTAGTAATTTTAGATGATAAAGAGATAGGCAAGAAATGCAAACATTTAGAATGTTATCATTGCAGCTAACGATACTTTAGGTCCCATAGTTATATGAATACGGTTAAAAGTTTCCCATATCTGTCTCATAAGAACTGGACAATAAAAGATTGGTACTGATAATGCTACCAGCTCTATTTTTGTTTTTCTTCTCGGTTGAATTAAGTTTTACTAAGTATTGCTCAAAATAGGAACTTTTTTCGAGTTTGAAAACTTAGAGTTATATATTGGGAAATTATACTACTGTGGAATGTCGATAGAACTGTAACGCTAATAGTAATTAAAACAACAAAACTGTAAGTTGCTATCATTTTAATATTGCTATAGCTGCCAATAACATGTCTCCAATTCATTTTCGTCATTTCGGTAATCTAATTAAAATTGTACTAGTTTTATTGTCGCTTATATTTACTCATAAATGTACTAATTTAGTTCCTCTTAATGTCATATATTCTTGCTTTCCTATTCTAATGATTCTTATACAGGTAATTTTAAATTCTAATAAAGTATATCTACTAAAGTGGTCGATGGATAAAAAAGTCAAGCGATCAGCAGGTTGATTGCGCTTTACCAATATAGTAGACAATGTTCCGCTATTAGAATTTAATGCAGAATTCAAATATTTGTAATAAAAACTAGCTTATTTCCTCGGTAATTCCAATTTGTCTGAAAGAAAATTGCAATTTGCAATTTTCCATGTTCATGTATGGGAGTAGATATTGATGATATTGAAAATGGCATCCATCCTTGCTTGCTAAAGGAAGAATGCTTTATTGCAAATGACCATTTTAGATCTAACTCAGAAACCGATTGGATAATTCTTAAAATAAGTTTCGAAACTTTAAATCAACTGATATGTGAAATCCACAAGAAATACTAAAATAAATCACTAAATTTTTATAGCAAGCAGGAATAACCAATTTGAGATCAGAATGATTTAAATTGAAAAAATGGATAGACTTACAAAAATAAAAATAAAACTTGTAAACATGAGAGATTTAGAGTTTTCGCTAAATAATGTTCCTTTCAATACAGTACGAAATCTCAATTCGAAACTACTTTGTCTTGTCGTAAGATAGTCAAAAATCAAGAACATTAGGAAAAATCCTCGCACCCAATATACCAAGTGACAACATGAGCCACCATATTAAGTAGTAAAGTTGCAATCTTTTGTATCATCCATAAATAATTATTTTAATTTGTGACGCCTACATCTTCCATATTATTTCAATCAAGTTCGTATACAATCTTAACTTCGAAACACTCCACCGACACCTTTAAACCATACCCTTTGCTCGTGTAGAACTTTATTATTAACTCCCTATGTGCTCAACTCAAAACACCTCCCCCAAGCAGCATTATGCTTCTCAACTCAAAAGCCAACAACACTTATCAACAGAAAAAGACTACAAACTGTTAGGAATGTTCCTAAAGCAAATTCAAAACGATCGCAAACTAATTCGTTGTAATGTGCTACATAAGGGAGAATCGTCCTTTTCACTTTAGTTCAATTTATAACATGAGAGTATGTAGTTCCTTCAAAGAAAATCTAGTGAATTACTGTACAATACGAACTGCATAGAGCTATTGCTCCTCGTATTACTCGGAAATTTTTGCTACAGTACATCAAATCATGCAGCGTATCGGCTGTGTTCTTCTTTAATCCAATATCATTTAAATTTTATCGCAATTTTTATATCATATACAAAGAATGTAAATGACTTAGAGCGCAGAGCACATGACGTGAAAGACAATAACAATGAATAAAAGCATTACTGTTTGTGCAAGCTATTTTTGCTACTTTGAATTCTAAATTAAAATTAAGTCTTGTTTCTATGTGGAATAATATCGTAATGAACCAATTGAACAAATCGTCAGACGAGCTCTAAGCATGGGATACAATACGCCTGAAAATGCATTTGAAATATTTATTCAAATGAATATAAGATTATGAAAAGTTATTACAAGAAACAAGAAAAAAGCCAAGACTTGCAATGCGGTTCTTATGACGAGAAATCAATAAGAAAATCACGAATTTCGATACCCATTGTCCTGAAAAGAAATCGAATGATTTCCGAAAACCCTACAGCAAATACGCCGCATTAGCTGCTTATTAAGCGTATCAGGTTTCTTTTCATTCGTTTTAAATTATTTCACTTTAATATATGAACGCCTTATCTTCAAGAAAATATTCAATAAGGCGACATAAATTTGAAAACACAAATGAAATTAACCAACCTGGCCAACTGCTCCGAAAATTCAAAAGTTGCAATGCAACGATACTTTGGAGTATCAAGATTTCCATCAGCAGAAACCCGGTTCAAAAAACCCATTGCACACAGCTCTGCAACCTAAAAAAACTGTTCTACATTTTATACTCTCTGCAGAATTGTAATGCAAAATATGAATCTATTTCATCATAACATGCAGTTTATTTTTTTAAACACCATATCACTGTATAATAACAAGAGTATTTAAAAATAGACTTTTAGTGGTTTATTAAACAAACTTGTGCATGGATATCAGCAGCGCAGTGGTTTCTCATGTCATGCTTTTCAAGCATAGCAAGATAGATGAAAAGCAATCTTTGCACCGGGAACGGTTTCGGACCAGTCTCATGAGCTGATTCTAAGTTGTTCCGCAATCCTTTTGTTGTCGGTACACGACGTCTCTGTTTCCCATGATTCTGCACTTTTTTTGTTCAAATCATTCACAAAAAATTAGAGCTGTTTCTTTTTTGCAAATTATCAACGCGATTTTTACCGAAAGGTAGGAAGATAATGCCTCTAATTCCTTAAATGAGAGACATCCCAGGAGGTTTTATTTTTTGAAACAAATATTAGCAGCTTAAATTATGGTCGCTCCATTCACAGGAAATAGATCTCAAGAACTAAAATGTAATAGGAAAGAGACTAATACATGGATAGCTTACGATCAGCAAATTCAACTACCAGAAGCCAAACAAGAAACTTTAGTTAACAAATACGCAAGTTACCAGGTATCTTTGCTAATATTCTCTTGAAAAAATTGTGGTTAACAAAAAGAAGAACTAGACAAGCAAAAATACTGGAAATAAAAAGATCTACTTTATCTATGTTATGGACACAAAAAAAAATTCAGTCAAATGTACACTAAAATTTACTGAGAATGAAAAAAATTTACTGAGAATGAAACAGCAGCTTAAATCATAGCATTTCCACGAAATTGTAATCGATGTCACTAACAACAATGCGGTAAATCTCACCAAATTTACCTATCAAAGCTGTTTTACATAATCGATACTACACTTTCTTTTTTCATTGTATCACAAATCCCTGGGCAATATACAACAATATATAAAATTAAGCGTGATTCACCATATGATTACCTTAGTAAAAAAGCGACGATCACTATTAGGAGGATTATAACTTGCACAGTAAGCTGCGATAAGTAAATACTTCGCACTTGTTGACAGACAAAATGTTTGTGCATCTTCCTGCAACGAAATATTAAATATGAATAGGTTCTTTATATGCCTTCATCAAAATACGCTGTTGCAAAATGAAGGGTGTAAGTGTACCACAGGTCTTTTCTCGCTACGATAGAACAACTCATCGGTTCTATTTTGTCCTCTAGCTGTATAGCATGTCTTCAGTTTATTTGATGCTGCACTATTTGCCCAATTCTCATCACTCGTTCCTGTGTCCCACAGTTTTTCGATCTAAAAAATCCAATAGAAGTCAAGAACACATTGCAAAGACAAAAGAGATCATGCTAGTTCTGCTATAAATTCTGCTTATAAAGTACTTTTAAATTAAATTACCGTAGCTTCATGAAAACAAAAATTTGGAATATGATCAGTTTAAGAAATTAATTCATACAATGTATGACAACTGGTTCAGGTCACGACACACAGAATAAACCATATCTAGCATACATCGAACAAAATTGTTGTCAAAATTGAGCCTTGCTGACAGTGCCTCCTGAACCTCACCTTTAACGGAGGAATTTAACAACGAATACATATTATAACATCTACAGAATTTTACTCATAAAATTCATTTAAATACGACTCCCGGTAATTCAAAACAAAAAATTGTTAAATCATTTTCTTTCTATCATCAAGACATTTGATCAGGTTTTACCGGACTTGACGTAATATTTATAATGTTTTTCTTTGAAAAAAACTTTCGCATAAGAGCATAAGTTAGACCACCAAAATATCATATTCAAGAATCGGTCAAATTAAATGGCACCTTTCGATAACGCTTCAAAAGCAAATTGCACGGGTGACGATATATGTTCGGTAATTTCAAACCTTGTCCACGGTAGTCGAGCAACCGACACCAACTTAACTGTGCCACCATACTAATATGTAAAAATGCATTAAATAAGCGAGTATTGAACTGTAACAAATAAGGGAATATAGCTTTAAGATTTTACAACAGAGAATAGACTGCAAATGCAGATTAAACGAACCAAAAGTCTTCCACAAATCTGAAATTTGAGATTTCTACCGCTAACCCGCCCCTTTTAGTTTTGATTTTCGAGCAAAAGCATTGGAACAAAGTACCCCCTCGGTCAACATCCAAGAACAAATGCAGTACCTTTTTAGGAATGGAAAAGAGTGCCTGCAAAAAGCTCGGTGGAAAGTTGAGCAACATTTCGGAGTTATTCAAAACGATAACCATAACGACCGACTTCACATATTGCAGTTCCGCCTTACACTCCTCAAATACACTTTCCAGATTTTCAATCTTTTTTCCAGATTTTGAATGTGGCAACAAATTATATAGGCCTTGGCAAAACAACTTGTGAGATCTGTGATTCACGTAACAGTTCACGCGCAGAACCATAACCTAAATTAATCGCATAAAGTAGAAAAAGTTAACACAGCTTGGTAGCTAAAAGTCAAGTTCACCGATCATGCAAGGCCTCAGCTAACATACGACTAAACTATTCTCAACAGTACTTTTAGCAGTTTCTGTTTGCACTGATTTCAGCATAATATCGCTTCAATGGGAGGCAACTCTTTTACTTTCCCTATACCTGTACCTTTCTCCCTACCAAGCTTCGTCGCTATAACATACTAAGATTCGAGACAAATTATTTACACGCAAGTCTAATTTATCTAATTTATAACTTCCCGCTGCAAATTTAACTCTTGTATGAAAAGCTTTATGCAATACCAAGCAAAAAACAAACTTCATCATTCTCCTTTACTTCTTCAATAACTTTCTGCATCACTTCATCTCTTGGACCAGCAGTTGTTCCATATACGTGCAGATGGGTAATACTCGAATTACGGCATCTTAACACGGAAACGATTTGCCAAAGTTTCTTTGAACATGTCGCTTCCATGCCCGACATCACTGTCGCTAACACAAACAGAACCTTTTTCAATCCTAACCTAGAATATTTTTAAAACGTTCTGACTGTAATATTCTCCACGGATAACTTTAATAGATAAACGGAAATGACAAAATTACTAAACATTCAATATATTATTCAATTATATGCAATGTCTAATCACTCCTATTACCTACTGCTTTATTTCCAAGAAAACATTTTATTTCAAAAACTATTTAACAAACTGCACTTTCCACTAGCTCATGTAATGACCCACTTCCCCCTCTCTCTCTCTCCCTTAATCACATTCTTGCAGAAGCAGTTAATAGACAGTAAAACAACCCATCACGACTCTGAAAGCAATGATACACCTGGCAATACAAAATGGTAACAACTGTAAGTAAAAATTATTGGTTTTAAGGGAAGGTAAACAAGCAGTCTGAATAATACTGCATGAATATGAATTTTTGTTCCTTCTTGTTTAACTGAAACACCGAAATTCAAGGATGGCAAAAATATATTGATTCAAATAAGTTCTAAGAATAAATTGACGGGTTGAACCGATTTACAAGCAGTAAGAGACAACGACAGCATCGTGCGACACCTTATTGGCAAAAAATTTTTTCTGAAAGTTACGAAACAGAAATACAACTTCGTGAATCAGATAAACTGCAAGGAAAATAATGAATAGGAAATCATGCAACATCTGACAGAAAATTCTTAAACAGAAAAGAGGAAAGATTCGAAACACAATTAGGTAAAAAAAACCACAAGTCAAACGAAATACATTTTATCAAAATGTCTATTACAAATAATTATGATTAACGTTCGATCTAGATAATGGCTCTTTCTCCTGTACTTCCAACAAGCAACTGTAATGTCATTTCAAGGTGTGTAAATGGCTAATAAATAAAGCTATGCAGTGTTCGCAAATAATAAGCACAACTAATTTCGTGACACACATCCTCGAAGAAAGCCAAATAAACTGATTTTGCACATTTTCAAATATAAATAACCTTCGGTATTTTCGATTTTAAGACTTCACAATATATCACAACTTCTCTGAAACTACATACGCACAAGCATACCCTTGACAATTAATGATTTATTATCATGAGCTGTTTGTTCAACGAAGCGTTGGATGTATCTTCTACGTGACGAAATGCCAATTTACAAGCCTTAAACATTATGGGAAAAATAAATAGAAAATACAGTAGAAAACCATACTAGCTATTTCCTACTATTGTTGTTGCTGCTGCTATTTATAAGTCGATGTAAAAAAGTGCGAAAAAAAAGAAAATTTGTAGGAAAACATTATGAACAAATAAATGATTGTAGATAATTTGAAAACATATCTCAGAATTACAAAGATTAACATATTATAACCATACAATGCAACAGCACGATTAACGATATAGCATAACTAATCATAAATGAAAAAAAGTGGTAAGAATGAAAAAGTGCTGTAAAGTGCGAATTCAGAAAGTTATTTAATATCCATCAGTTGATAACTTTATTGACGTATTACCTGGTCAGTGGTAACTCTATACCGAAAGTCTTTCTGTTCCAACTACAATTTCTCAAAATATTCAAAAGCAAAATGTCAGAAACATATCTTGCTGATAATTTTGTAACAAACTTTGAAAAGGTTACAGACAGTAAATCCTTTCTCAGCGAACATTAACACTTTATGGTCGGAAGAACATTTTTCGTAGATAAGCTGACGAAATTCTCAGTGAGAAAAAGACAGAAGGATGGACATATAAATGCAAAGTAACCAAATAAGAAAACATTTGTAAGAAATCGATTTCAGTTTCCAGCTCCCCTTTTTGCAGTAACGGAAAAAAGAAAACATGGCCAAACAGCAATGCACTTTAGGGGAGCAACAATAGTATATAAACTGGAAACTGTTACCTAGCATACTCAAAATTCATTGTTTTCAACTTTTACTTGGAAGGAAACATTTAAACTTTAGCTGTTTTTTGTCGATTTGAACTATCCAATGATTCAGTTGTAGGGCCGGGAGCCGAAACACTAGACACAGAACTTGCACGAACACTTTCTTCCGGTGTCGGGCCACGAGTACTGTTCACGTGTGCCCCTTGAAAGCGATCAATATTTCCATGAATAACTGTATCACTACCGTCTTTACTAGCATTCTGATGCTAAAAGTAAAAGAAGCTTATCCAGACTTTACTCAAACAATATTTTTTCCATTCAGAAAGCTGAGGAATGTTCCTTATTAAAAATAAGTTGCATAAAATCAAAGAAATGCCAAATTTAGTGAAGAAATTAGATGAACTGCATGATTAAATTTGCTATGCTTAAATTTTATTAAATGATCCGTAGTCACTCACGAGCAAGCCTAGGGAATTTAGTAAAGCAAGAAAAACCTGATAATTTTGTGCACCGTGGTACTGCACTGAAAGGCTTACTGGAACTGTCCAACGATCCGATGACTGATAACGTGATAGCGCAGTACGATTTGCTGGAAGAACAGCACCTAAATAAGAAATTTCACCAGAAAAATTATATAGTGCTTGCTCCTACGACAAAATTTGCTATAAAAAGAAATCTCCTTATCTAAAATTAAGAATATTAAATTCTAAAAAACATACCATTTGTATATTTGAAAGGAAGTGCAGGAGCTCTTGTCCAAGCAGCTGTCATAATGCCATTCGCATCATTACTGGCAAGTTGTGGAACAGCCGGATAGCGTATTGGTGGTGGTGGAGCTGTGAATGCATGAAGTTGTGGTGCCTGATTAAAAGTAGCAGCAGCCGACATAGAGTAACCAGTTTGGGACGCTTGAGAAAAGTTTAAAGGCTGAAAAGTAAACAGTCATCAAATAATGCAGTGAGAGTTATTACAGAAAGGAAAAAAAAACCTGGCAAATCAAAACAGATCCCCCATTTTTGGAAAATTTTGCTTCATACCAAGATTTTTTGCCTCAATTTAGCATTGTTTTTTGTCTTTAAATTTTATACACTTGAAATATTAACTTTTATACAAGAAATATTAGCAGAATCAAAATTTATACAATGTACAAGAATGTCTATTTTTATACCAAAATTGGCAATGTTGACGTAAATCAAGATGCGAAGAACTATTTTTATACAAAAATTGGCGAAGCACGTTTCAGTAAGATCCATATAGCACATTTTTACCTGCTGCAAGTGCGGAATTTGTCCCATAGTATTCGTATTTCTGGCCAATGGATTATTAATTGTACTCTGAGTTTCGCCACTGCGTTGACTACCTACAGCACCCAAACTAGTGCCTTGTAAAGAAACAAAATCTGGAGGAGGAGCCATGAAATTATGTGGAGGGTGTAGTGGTGGAGGAACCTGATGATGAGGCGGTGGTCGTCCCAGATGTGGGATTTTAGCATTACTGCTCAAAACCGACGGCACTGGACCAAATGCGGAAGCAGACCGAGGCTGAAAGCACTATGCTTTACACCTCAGTGTTAGAAAAGAAAAACAGGTAATTAAAAAATGTTTGAAAGTCACACGTTCGAAGTATTTCAAATGAATTCAAAACTGGGCAGGACCTATAAAATATCGTAATATAAATTTTCCACATAGCTAATGAACAGTGTTAGAGTGAATGCTAGATTGAAAAAAAAAAAAAGTGATAGAACTAAAAAAATGATGAAACGAAAATACTAACCGAACTAACTTGGAAACGTTGCACAGTACTGACGGACTGCGATGCAAGCGAAGGTGTGGCGTTGATTCCGGCCAGTAACTCAATTTGCGGATTAGCATTCGACCAGGTCATACTATTCCCCGCTGCACCATTGGGAGGAGGATGAATGAAGAGCTGCGACTGCTCGACAAATGAACCAGGTCGCGAGCGTGTTGTTTGAGTTTGATTTGATGGGATGGCATTACCAATTAGCGTCTGCAACAAAACAGTGAATGCTGTATTGGTGTAACAATGAATGTAACATCGAGAAGATCGTAACTGTAAAAACAATATTAAATTTAAATAGTAAAAGATAACGCAACACTGTGGGAAATTATTCACCTGACCAGAAGTAGTCGACGAATTAGGGTTATATGGTTCGCTAAATACCATTGAATAATGAGGAAATGGTGCCGGTGGTGGAACTTGCGTAAGAGACTGCAGATAAGCTCCTGTAATTATTCTTTTGGTCAACTGAAATGCAAATAGGCAGAAAATTACACCAATATACGCCCCTGAAACACTATACCTATAAAATATACATATTTTCAGTTCTCATATACTTCCAAGAATCGTCCATAAATTTTTAATGAATTTGATTTACCTGGTGGTAAGCATGCAATAGGAGAAGGTGGTGGAAGCAGCGGAACAAACGGAGTAGACGAATTCGTTTCTTTCAAGTTTACTGTGGCACTGTTTGCAACTTGCTCACTTGCCTGAGGCTGTGGTCTTACCTGGAATATTTAGTTCTTCCAAACTACGTATAATTAATACTTGATTTCCAATTTTATAAATAGTACTCATGTTAGGTGCAAATAATTCAAAATATAATAAACAATTACTTTCGCAACATTTGGACCATGTGATACTGATGAAACTCCAACATTAGTAGATCCACTTTTTTCAGCAGCCAGTGGTGCAATTGTTGTATTTTCGTTACCATTTCCAAGTAAATTATTTGCAAATTGTTGCTGTCCATGCCAAAAATCTTTTACCTTAAATATATCGAAAGTGATCCCATACAACTCAATAAAATATTTTTTCTCAAAGATTAAATAAAAGATGAGGAAGTTTTAAATTAAAAAAAGGGACTCTGAATCGCAAATAAAGAGTTACTGCCACTAATTGGAGAAAGGATCATAAATGAGAGACTTTATCTAGTCTTTGCTTCAGACATTCATCATCGTTTGCTTCAAGCGCGACATTTGCCAGAGGTGAAGCACCATCATGTTTCGCTACCAACGTTTCTTTTGATGACCCTTTCTGCAAAAACTGGAAATCCAATAGTAGATAAAAATGAAGAAAGAATTTGAGGTTGATGAACTGATTCAAATTCCACCTCCAAGTTTCAAATTATTTAGAAAACATATGAAATTCGAACGATTAAAATGAGAAATTGCCATTACGTCACAATCAGCAATGAACTCCATACTTCACAACCACAACATTCTTGACAACATCTGTCGGTTACAAGTATTTAATGCATTTTCTGTTGCAATTTATCAGCTTTAGAGTCTGATATAAATAAATTACCAAGCTCTGCGTATTGTCTTGTAAGGAAGGATCAAATGTAAATTGATATTGTCCATTTTCTCCACGAGTTGTAGTACCAGTATTAAAATTCGTCGTAAATTCTGCATTGTTCTTTTTCACCGTGCCATCCGAAAGCTGAAAAATTTTTAAATACTAGCTTGATGAGTCAAAAAAAAAGGTCTCAGCACATTATTAAGAAATTTGTAGACCAAAGTAGCTACAGATATTCAATACTTCACTGAAACAAAGGCAAAAACCTTTCGTGCAGTATGAAGCTGTTGTTCTCCCTCCGCTCCTGTCCATAAGTCAACTTCCTTTTTCACCGAAGCGTTTACTCCCGAGCCAGAAGAGGTGCTCACTTTTGGTGTAGGACGAGCTATTGGTGATGGTATTACCGGACGACTAAAACGAGAGAGGTATATACATGAGTTTTAAAAAATGGCAATTCAAGCAGGACATACTTTATGATTGTTCAATTTTAAATTTTGAATCAGAAATTCTTATTCCTACGGTTTCTAAGGAAACTATGAAAATGAAAAACTTTTGTCTCTAGAAAGTTAAACAATAAGAAACTTTATACGTAATACACACTTTTCAACTGGTGGTGATGGGTCTGTTGATTGTTCACGAACAATCGAGCTGTTCCAAACAGTAGTGTTGAGGGTATTCTGTGCATTTGTTAAAATTGGACGACTCACACCACTACTAGCATCTCTCACTCCATTATTACTTGTATTCATGGTATTCGTTTTCGTAGCAACCTCATTAACTAAATTAGCACCGTTTGGACCAATACGATCATTCTTTGCTGATGATTTTTTTCCTATTCGTTTTGCTTGCACTCGTGCTTTCCGTCGCTCCATTTTCTCCTTTTCCTTAATTTTTCGACGTTCTTCCTATAACAAAACTGAAAAAATAACCAAAAAACACTGCATATTTTTAAAACTGAACTGCGTAAATCCTTCTACATTATTTTCTAATTCCTAGCATTAAATTCTATATAAATTATGATACAGAAATTTCCTACTGTTCTATCCAATCTTGTTATTACACTAATTATAAAAATCTGTCTCCAAAAATGCTAAAAATACAAGAATTAAATTAAAAAAAAACTGTGCCAAAATGAAACATAATTATTCCATCCAATCAATAAAAACCTCTGGGAGACATGTCTATATTGCTAAACTAGACCATGGTTCACGTGCCAACTGCAAAACGTACTGCTTCTAACTGTTCATTGATTTGTTGCTGTCGCAGTTTCCTACTTTTCTTAGATAATACTTCTTCGAAATCATCATTATTCTCCATAGCATCATCCACTTGTTCATCTGGACGATCATCAATCACGATTACACCTGCATTGTTGATGTCTACTCCCGCCAGCCCGTCTTTGCAGGTATCAGATCTTCGTGCTGCTTCACCCTGTGTTATCGGCGCTGTTTCCTGCTTTATTTAAATTAGATTACGCTTAAAGTCTTAGGTAATATCAACTTGAAAATGCTACAAAATATTTATGATACTCTTGAAGTAATCATCTTGGAAAGACACCTCCTTTGCTAACTGGGCACCGCGGGTGGCCATGTGCGACGTAGTGCTGGCGGGTTTCACGTTTTTTGAACTATTAGTATTACGATTGAGCACAGCTCCGGTACCGCCTTCACGACGTCCTGTAGAGAAACTATCAGATACGAAGAATACAACGCAAACGATTTATAAATTCTCCTCCAGCAACCACAGCTTACTATTGCTAAGGAAGGAGAGAAATCAGAAAATTATAAAGCTGAAGTTAGATCACACACGAGTAAAACTTCCACAGAAATACCTTACCATTGCTGGAGCGAATAGTTCTGCGTGAGTTACTATACTTCGATGGAGCATTCTGACGCCGTACTTGTCTGCAAAATCACTTTTCACTTTCATGTGATTTTAGTAACCTGATGGTTAGAGAAAAAAAAAAAAAAAAAAACGGAAAACTTTAACAGGGAATCTTGCCTCTCACAATTTAACTTTCGCATAATGCGAAAACAACGCGTTAATTCAAATTACCGGTCATCAAATACAGAAAATCTTTTACTTTTGTCGGTCTGCGAAATCGCTACTCTCGGAAGCTGTTTCCCATTCTTCATGTCCTTCTGAAGTAACCGGTGACTTTAACTGAGGTGCACGCTCAGCACCCCCACAACATGACTGACCATTACCATGACCACTTTCTTGACGTACGCCACCAGAATGCCTACGTCGACGCATCTGTAAATTGTATCTTAATACTTTCACGTCAAAATAGTCTTATATAATAATAGAAAACCAACAATCGTAAAGTTCTAGTTAATAAAAGCGGAGTACTTTCACGTTTAAACGAAACAAAATAATGATTTAAAGAAAGCTTAAAACCAAAGAAATCCATTCTTTATTTCAAAGAGACTAAGAAAAACAAATTAAACACTACAACGCAAACCCAGAATCCACTGTTATATAGGGAGGAACAGAGAAATCTACAACACAATATCTCAATTATTTTTGAAAAGTAAAGAAACATACATTGTGTGCTCCTCGAATCCCGCCCCGTCTGTACGATCCATCACCATGAGTTCGAGATGAACTTCCATTACCTACCACTTTATGCTCTTCATTAGCCTTTTTCCGTTTTCCTTTTTCGGGTGAATTTTGATAGGCACCTGTTGCTCGGACATCACTAGTGCGCTGAGAATTAATTTTTGCTGAACCGATGCGAGCACCTGCAAAATTTAACATTAACTTATTAATCAGTTTGGATTTTTGTGAATTTTTCTAATCAATCCGTATTTCTGAGAAAGCGAACTTATTCTGTGTTTTTCACATCTATTTATGACAGTTCATGAAACTGCCCCTAGAAATAAGTCAACCAAAGCGCCATGAAATAAGGAAATCAGAAAGGCAATCTATATTAAAAATTCTAGACATTCGAATTGACCTCTTCTTCCAGTGCGACTATATTCTTGACGTTTCTTTGGCTCATATAACTGCTGTGCATTACGATGAGAACCACTCTGACGAGTGATATTTCTACTCTGCATATGACGTTCCTGATCCGGCAGTACACCTACAGCACTAAAAACCTTATCTTCCTCTGTTTTTTCTTCTGTTAATGGTTCTTTAACGGATGGTACATTCACATAAGTATCCTCAACACGAAATTCGCCCATATTCGAGAAATTATCTTCCTGAAAAACATGAAATCAACTTCTGAAGAAGGAATGAAGACTATGAATTATGAAGAAGATAACTTCGAAATACACCGATGGCTTATTAAGGAAAAACACCGAACTCAAAACAGCGCATTTTTGGATCGTGTTTTACACTATGGTTTATTATAGTCCATTCCTATCGGAAGAACAATGATAATAGTAGAAAAAAAAAAAATTAACCTGAGGTTCTTGACATTTCCCACGGCGCTGATTTCGCTCACACCTATTTTGAACTCGATGTGCTTGTCCAGTACCAAGATGTTGATGTGGCATACTGCCACCACGACGTATTCCCAAGAAGCCACCGCAACCATAGCTTCTGTTACCACGAGAATTTATTAACGATGAACCGCGCCCGGAACGATGAACTCGAGAATTCACAAATTCACGCTGACCGTGGAAAAGTCCACCATTTCCATCTGTCCCTACATTTCCATCTTCCTCTTCTTCAGCTGCATAATGATCTGGAACGCAAAATCCATCATGCTGCTGACCGTAGTTGTATTTCTTCTCCACCCACTTATGCGCATCTCGATTTCGACTTCTATTACCAGTTTTTCGACCATTTTGCTGCTCATTCCCTGAATAAGAGATTTCGGAGCGTCCTACCGACAAATTTTCATCAAATGGTTCGTTTGCACTTACACCTACATTAAATACCGTATTTAGTAATGTTAAACATTATTAAATGCAATAATTATCGTCTTAATCATCCAGCACCTATCATCATCAGTCTAGAGGAACTCACCTGATTGTTCATTTACTGCAGGGAACTGCTGCTGTAAACGCATTTGATTTAAGGTATCCTGCTGTGCCGCACGTTCTCTTTCAGCACTTTCGCGTTCCTCTGCTCGTTTTTCCCAGACGTTATCTGCCGGTGGTGGTGCAATTAACACTGATTGTGCTTTTATGGCACCCTCGACTCCTTCTTCCCGTGTTTTTGTTGTTGTATGTGACTGTTGTGACATACTATCCAACCTGATCGACAAAGCAAGAACATGTCAAAATCCCACAGCATTAATGACAAACAAAACAAACATATGTTAAGAAAATTACATATCCACCTAAAGTCAAAGTCATTATTATATATTAACTTACGAAGTTTTTTGTTTTTGAGTCACCCATTCATTCGACGAATTGCCATCAATCTCATGATGAAACAGTGCCTGCGAATTATACATTCCTTATTTGCAGGATTAGATGAAGAACACAAATGACAGACAAAAACCTAAAAACAAAAGAAAAAGTTGTCCCTCTCCCCTCCAGCACCCCATCCTAAATATAGATTACGGTGCCTTATTTATCATTACAAAAAAATAGTTCCTGAAAACAATATAACATCAAGATTTAATGAAAATAGACATCACGTAATATAAAGATTAACTAACTGACCCTGGCTTCTTACTGCCAACATAGCGCGTACATGCATTTGGTACATTATAATCCATATCATTTCTCCCAACAGTAGCAGAATGTAATTTATTACCTTTTGCTGGTGTCCCTGAATACGTGAATCGCAACTCCTCTTGTCAACATTTTTTTGTTGCTGTGTCGGTTTGCGTTGTGTTTGTGGGTTAGCTGTTTCGGAGGACTGATTAATTCCTCTTTCGATCGGTAGAATAGTTCCAGGAGCCATTCTTTTCACGACTTTTGCTGCTGGCCTCGAAAGTTTTGTTAGTTGTAATTCTAAAAGGTATAACTGTTAACATAATCTTACATATTATCTTTTTTTTTCTGCAATTCACCAAGTATCAAATCACTTTTATAGAAGAAGATACCTAGAAATTTCCAAAATCAAAAGATCTAGAAATGTAAAACAATGCAATATCTCTCATTCTGTTTATTACATCTAGTTCTGAAAAAATTATGTAACCACATACAACATTTACCTTCATCTTCATCATGTGTGTCACTGTCTTGTACACCCATTTGGGATAATTGCTGTGCGATATCTCCCTTACTTTCCGGGCGTTTCAGCATTCGAAATTCGATTCGCTGTAATGTTTCCTGCTCATCACGTCGAGTAGATACATCGTATCCACCCACAACACCCCAGCATTCCCCAACTCGATCTACTGGATCATCATTATTCTGAAATTCATAAAATTGATATAGCTATCTGCACCACCTTATTTGAATTATACGACACCACCACATCAAATCGGATTATATTTCGAGTTATAAGAAAACCTTTTGTAATCCAAAGCTGCCACGAACAGATTGATCCCATTCAGGATATGAATCATTTTCATATGCATTCATCACTCTAACTGATCCATAACCCGACGGTACGCTACCACCTTCGCTTTCCGATAGTGCTGAGCTCTAAAGATTTTATTTCTAAGAATAGTAATTTTTAGGAAATAAAAATAAATATATCAATTTCGGGACTGATTTACTTAATTCCGATGCAGAACTCATACCTCTGTTAGTTTACATTTAAAACTATTGATTATAATAGGTTTCTTAGTGGTATTGTTGAATTCTTCAAAAAAATCCTCCACTGTCAGGTTTTAATCCATCAACAACCACGATAATGAGTAAGGTAGTTTGAGCTGATCAGCTTCGTCTTATATTTTAATACATTGAACTTAAAAAAATTTTTAGAACCAGGAATGGTGAAAATTTTTTCCAGAATTGAACAATATTACAAAAAAACCCATTATAAGCAAATACAGGTATCGGTTCTAGATCAAAATTAAGCAAATCAATGTTGTCTTACTACAAATAATATTTCAGTGAGCATACTTGACTAGCCATACGTCTTTTCTGGCGCGAACGTTCGATAGCCGCTTCACGTTCAATATTCTGCCTGCGACCCAACTCTTCGTCGCGATCACGAGTATAACCATTCTTAGATAAATTTTTATATGTTGAATTCCAAAAAAATTTTTTTGTGTGAAGTGTTTTGTTAAACCTTACTTTTAACAGTATTTTCAACTGAACTTTTAAGAATTTACCTGTGAGAATTCTGGAGCACACTGCTGTGATTCCTGACCAGAACAGCTAATAGTGTGAAGCCATCTGTGAGTTTCTTCATCATTACTACCATACGTGGTACTCTGCCACTCACTGTTACCTCTAGAGGTGAATCCGTCGAAATCAACACCTCTAAAACCGTCTCAACTTTTATCACTAGAAATCGAATAGCAACATGAAATCCACATAAATTACATTCTTAGATGCAAACAGCAGAATTAAAAACGAGAATCCGAAAGTTAAACTTATTATTTATTGACAATGTTCAGCACTAATGAACAAGCTTACCGATTATCACACATCACCCTACGAGCATAATTCGGCTGAATATCACTTGATACCGTTATTTGAGTTTCGAGCATAACACCGTCTAAAAAAGTTTGAACGAAATCATATAGGTTTCGCACGAAAAATCTGTCAAATACTATACTAGAATCTTCTATGAGAAGAATTACTTAAATTCATCCAATAAAAAAGCTGGTTGGCAAAAACAGGTTACTCATTACATAACTGAATCCAAATAATTATTCAGAACACCTTTCACTTTTTCCAAATATCTTCGATTGCCGCAACCTTCTTCGCCAAGTCCACTTTTCGGCTGTACTTGCTTTCCATCTGTTCCGTTTTCGGATGGCTGCAAGTGTGCACCATAATTTGACTCGCTTCGTGCAGAATCCGTCTGGATTGCATAACGGTAGATAGCAGTAATGTTAATTAATGTTCCTGTCAGAAATAACAAACATCCCTAACTAACGCTGCAATAGCTGATGATGGAATATACTAAAAAATTTCATTAGAGAATTAATCCAGAATATTCTCCAAATTGTTGGAGCTCAAAACTAATTTCTGAAAAAGACGAAAATATGCATCATACCTGTGCTAGAACATAACTTGGTGGTGGTCGAGAGTAATTTGGAGGTGGAACTGCTATGTTTGCTGGATACTGAGGCGTTGTTAAAGGAACAGTTGTTGTGCATGGACAACTTGTTTTTCGTATTGGCACGTTTTCTGCAACGCAAATGGGAAAAATTTTTTAACAGCTAAGTAACACATGAAACATAAACAGCTACCATCCATTCATGTTCGTAAGTTTTGAATTACCAGGAAAATAAGATTGAGGTTTCAAACAACAAATATCTTTCAGTTTAATTTTATAATTAAAGACCCATTAATATTCACTACTGACCAATTAAACTCACTTTGCATATACAGTACATCTTCAGATTAAAAAAGCTGAACTGTAACAGCCAACCTTTTGGTAATGAATGACTGTTTAATGTTTCCAAAGGACCTGAACTGGAAACAGACACAACTGGTTGAAGTTTCGGCACTTGGAATGTACCATTTGGAGGTGGTGGTGGTGGCACTGCTGTTGTATCGTAGTAACGAGAGGGCAACTGCAAGAGTAAAATTTTGTTCGCATAAAGTTTCCCACTTATACAAAAAAAATTTTATAACATTAGCAATACAGTGAAAAATACCTGTCTTTCTGCAATACGTGCATTTACAGTAGCAGATAAATAAGATAGTCCCGAGTTCGAATGTAGCGTCACCTGTGGTACATCCCCTTCGTTTCGTGATACTGCTGAACTGCCTCCGGCACGCCAACTTCCAGACTCTAGAATTGGGTACGTACTAAACCTCTAATTTACTTGTGCACACTCGGACATTAAATTATTTTCTCGAACAACAAACATATTTAGATTTTGTCTCTCTTCAAACTGTAAAACTGATGTACATTAAAGGAAAATTTTTGCAGATTAAAAATTAGTTTTCAAAATAAACCAAGCTAACAGTGATGACATGTATAAAAAATTAAATACAGGGACATAAAAAAAAATGCAGAAACGAAATACAAAATTTTATAGCCGTGAAATATGCAATAAAACTAATCCATGAAAAAAGAAAAACAGGAAACGAACTCTGTGGCTTGAGACTTTCGGTTAAAGCATTGCTGGACTGTTTTGCAATGGTTGCAGTAGCAGCCGCAAGTGATGGGAAATCCCTCGATGAGGCCGATACTGTATTTGCATTCTGCAGTGCTGCTGCTTGCGCTTCTGCAACATTCGGTTGTTTCGCCCATGTTGGTCGTAAATCGGCTGTATGCGGTCCGCTGCCGCTGCTTATTCCGCTTAATGTACTTAATGTAGCTGTTGTTGTTGATGTGGATCCCGTCAAGTTGACTGACGACTTTACTACCTATAAAACCTTCAATATTCTAAGAAGTTAATTCTAAAAAATCTTGGAACCATATTTTGCGAGGTGACTTTACCAAACTTTACCAGCATTCTCTTTCTGCAAATATGACATATCCTTCAGTGGCTGCAGCAATAATTAAGAATCGAAATCTTATAGTTTTGATTGCTTTTGCAAAATAAGCCTTTGAGCAATTTCCTCATACCGAATGAAAATCTGCTGTTTGGCCATTTGTTGTGCCTGTATCCCCTTTGGCCCAACCAGTGCCACCCTGTGGCACAAGTGCGATATTAGGATCTTGTCCTTGACTTTCTGCTCTTAGCGAAGGTAACGTGGCTGGTGGTGGCATACGACGTACCACCGCTGTTGTTTTACCAAGACTTTGAAGTCCACCATGCTTGCCCACACCTGAAATGCGCTAATCGCGAATTGACAACGAAATGCGTAAATATCACAAATTTTTAACGAATTCTTGAACCATTGTAGCATCTTAAATGAAGTGAAAGAAAAAATAAACACTAATGCACTTCAACTGCCTCCTTACTTAACTGATATCCAGGTTCGCAAAATTAACTGTAAAATACATACCGGGCGCCTTGACGGCGTTTTGATTCTTGCCCGCGTAGATACTATTCACGTTGTGGAGCTTAGGTTTAACGGCGCCCGCAGCGCCTCGCGCGGAAGACATCCAGAATTATATAAATGTAACAAGATAGAATCAAAAACAACGGAATACGTAGAGGGAAGAATCGTGACTGTGGGAAACTTGACAACCTAGAATACGAATTAAGTTAAAGAAGTGTAGTAAAAAGGATATGTTACCTTAAGAACTACGCTAAATGAAAAACCTGAAATACATTAGGTCTAAAAGTCCAGGATTTGAAAGGGTATTAGAGCATGGATTCTTGAAACCGCGGATTTTATCTCACAGCTGCATATTGTATCGGAAATCTTTAAATCAGAAACCTTGTCTTAAAACTCAACATAAATTTGCTAAGTCGAAGAGTAATTCCAAATAAAAAACTAACTTCTAGTAGATTTTATAGTCATTTTAATTTTTAAATTATTTTAAAATTTATTTATTGTTGGTGTAGGCAGAATTCATAAAGATAATAGAAACAAATAACTCACTCTAAAAAAAAAAGGATGACGTACGTACAGTACGTATGAGTTCAATGAGTGTTTATATACTGATACCAATTAATTTCAATGACCAAATATAATAGAGCAAAATTAAGCAGAGATCGCCACCACCGGATTATAGACTTTTTCCAATCTGCAAGTAAAACCTTTAGAGCTTCCGATATATTTCTAACTGCAAATCGAACATTGCAAAACCGATAAGCAACAATTCCATCACATAATCACATGCAATTCATTCGATTTTATTCCTAACTTTCCATCTACTTCCATTCAACTATATTAAACAAAAGCCTTCATATAAAGAATACAAAGTTTATCTCATTTAAAATCATGAAATTTACTAATATTAACAAATAAGTATAGCTGACAAAATCAAATCTTCTTGGAGGATAAAACAAGCCAAATAATAGAAAAATTTAAAATGAAAGATCAATCCGCACCTACTACGTATATTTTTTGATTTCGAAAGCAAACTACAAATTTGTTTATTAAAATCCATATGTATTCAAATCACTAGCTTCTTTTTCATCAAACAAATATAAATCGATTAATGCATGCATACACACCGTTTTCTGAATTCATGAAGCAGAAACTGCTGCCCACTATCAGATTACCGTTTCATCACTTCAAAAATGAAATGGTTCAACCAGGTAATAATGAAAATGAAACAGCCTATCAAATAGTTTATCAGTCTTAAGTATAAAGTGTTACGTACACAGCATTTATGAGCAACTCAATACTGCCAGCATTCTTTTCTAAATGAAATCAGCGACGTACAGAAAAATGATCAATTTCATGTCTTCAAGGCGTTTCATCTCATGTCATATTAATAACATGTTGTAAAATTATATAACCTTATTGATATACTGTAACCTTATAATTTTAGAAGCTACAAAAAAATAACAATTGGACTACAAGCAACATAAGCACTATCATTCGAAATATAAAATATATGCGCTATCTTCATCTTCAATGCGCTATCTTCAAATACTGTAAGTCGGAAGAAACAGTAAGTATAATAGGATGATTTACTGTTAAAAGAATAACAATCACAAAGAGACTTATCGGTTCGATATACAAGCAAGATTTCAGATTCGAACTTGCTTCATATTTATTCCCATTTGACGAAGTCAAGTTGCATAAAGATTTAACCGTACGGAGTAGTAACCCGAACAAAACCTGCAACAAAACAACCAAGGGCATATCATACAAGTATACGAACACGTGCAACAGCCAACACGGGGCTGATGGGTTTGGAGGGGTTGATTTAAGGATGGCGACCTGTGAACGGGAATAGATCTATATGAGCGGGGAACGGGTGGAAAGATAGGTGTAGTGATGAGCTGAGCGTGTTGAAGCATGAACAGATGCTATTCTCGACTTCTCTTCCCTCTATGTCATCACTACACAGACATACAGTTACGGGCACAGACACACACACACACGCACACACACATACACATACACACACACACACACACCAGCCGCCACACCTCTAAATTGATGGTAAATATCGGCCACTGAAGCAACTACGGCAGTTCCTCCCCCTCATGGACATCGTGGCTTTTGTCTACTCGACCTTTCAACCTCCTCGTTCCTCGCCATCGTGGACATCAGCTGCCACGGCGGACTTTTCGACTCCGTCTCGTTCTTCTCTGTCTTACTGTTCGCCTAACCTACTTTCCTTGTGAGAGAGACAAATGGGAGAGGTACGACGGACTTCGCCATATAGGAGAGGAGCAAGCGATCACCAGATAGAAGACATCAGGGCGGAACGACTGCGTCTTGAAGCTGCGCCGCATACCCTTTCTTTAACTATGTGACATGCCGTACAACTCTTACCACTCTCCCTTCTTCCCCTTATGCCAGATATACAAACAAACATACTACATACACATACACACATACATACATATACACACACACAAACACAGAAATCAGCCAGTCAGCCTGCCATTCGATATTAAACGACCACCATCCGCACAATAACTCATAAGGATGCTGAGGCTATCTCAAACTGATCAGATTCTGGGGTGTATACCCAAGGGCTGGATTCGTCATGTAAACGTGTTAACTCTTGAAAGAGACAGGGTATGTAATACGTAGACGGAAGAAGACAAAAAAAAAAACAAAATCAGTGAACGATCTTTCCTTTGTATTCACCATTCCTTGTTACAGTCGGTAGCCAGTCCCTAATTCATAAAAAAGTCCAAGAAGAGCAAGCAGTCGACATTTCCAAAACTACAATCTGAAATTAACCCAAATATTCTTCAAAAACCTTCCATCCGAAGTCGGTAAACCACTACAACTGCGGATATCAGATACGCATAAGGATGATCTCACTGTTTAGCGGGTTATGACCTATTACCGAAGAGTATAGCAATAATAACTTATCACTGAATGATCAGATCAGTTGCTATAAGCCGTTTGTTAGCTCGACAGTATTTCATCCCACTTCGAAATATCTCTCCATATCATGGAATTACTACACCATTGGTACAAATGTCTCACCAATGGTGTCATTGCATGTCATATATTATAACGAATAGGCCTCCACAACAAAACTCATAGTTAAGGGATGTAAACCATTGCTTCAAATTAAACCAGCCAACACTAACATTCATACATACGCGGTTCACAATATTCCAGTTTAGGAAGTAAAAAAAAATCAAGCCGAAAGATTTCGAGAACATCGCACATCTAATTACTGGCTCAACGAAAGTTCAACGAACTTGTCGGCTTTTCTTTCTCCAGAGTCCATTTACTATCCTACAAAGCTACCGCACTTTATTTTCCATATCGTAAAATGGAAATAATTTTATAAGTAAACTGAATCGGGGGCAATCTGTTTCGACTAATAATTACTTCGTTTTTGCTTCCTAAGAGATCTGATCCTCTTTACCGAAGTCTAAATTGAAATTTATCAGGAGTTTAAAGAGTCTAAACTGAAAAGACAGACAGTAAAAGTATTAACCGCTTGGTTTACAAAGATCGATTGTCACATATAAGCTGCCAGTAATCGAACGATCCCATCAGCGATAAATATTTTCAATAATTTGAATGAAGAGAGTCGTGATTATTAACTATAACGTCCGTACAGGATCTGGCAGCATTTATATATAAGCTTGAAACACTATAATAGTTACACTTAAAGGAATCTTGCTGAAGTATGTACTGGTGAGTTATTAACGCTTGACCTTACGATTAAAACCAAAACACTACTAGATATTGGCCCGCTTCCAATATTCGCAGTAAAATGGCTATTTTAAACCGGGATAAATTAAAAAGTTTTATTCATTTTGAAAGAGGTAAGCAAACAACTAAATGTTTTGAAACCAAAACTTTTTCTTAAGAACTATGAATACAGTATAATTGCGCTGCAAAGATAATCCCAACAACCTCGACTGTTAGCTAATTTGCAAAACCGGTGACCTACTCCACCCACATCTTAACATGCTCATAATACAAGCACTTTAAAACGGACTCAACGATACAACAAAACCCACATCCACCGATATCATTAAAAGCCGATGACATGTTTGTGCCACTCTGACTAGATTACGGCGACCACCTCGTCCCACTCGATGAGGTACTTGTTTGGACATAGTTAAAAGGTTCTGTCAATTTAAGATACTAGAAGTATTCAACCATTTATTACATATAACTCATTCTGGACAATTCCCTTGTTTTAATTTTTAAATTGCAAACAGTCATGAATTACCTTTATTTCAATTCGCAGTAAATACAAGAACAACTGAAATAGGTGAATGAGACAATTGGAACATCATCCATTATACATCGACAGCTACAATAAGTATCATTTTAATCACAGTTTTTGTTACACTACATTAGGCCGTTCACCCGATTGTTGCAGCCACCAGAAGTTCTTCAATAAAACTGAAAGCATTTGGTGAAAAGTTTTAAACATTTTCCCATAAAAGTTTTCTCAACGATCTGAAGGAATAACATAAGCAAATGATGACCATATGTTAAGTGTAAGTTCTTAAGATGAAGATATATAAAGCAAGCAAATTTCATAGCTTGTATTGCTATAAGTTACGAACAAAACTTTATGCTGGATTCACCTGATTTTCATCGAAAGAGAAAGAATAATAGGAAAAGTGATATTACAGCTGAACTTCAGCACTCAAACATTATAGAGATAAGTTCACCTAGTGGAATTAAGCATTGCAGTAGAAAGAAGAATGGCATTCGATGGACCAGACGAAGTTTTTCCACGTTGATTTCCCATGTACACCGCCCGTGATTCTTCATAAGTAGCACCACCGATGAGAAACAGAATTATATTATCGATACGATTCCTCGAAATTTCAATTATTTATTTTTAAAATTATTCGTAGGCATTCTTAATAAAATGTTCAACCGCTTAGAACCACTTAAAAGATATTTTGGATTTGACAGAAATGATCATGGTTTCATAATCTGCTTAGTCGGATTGTCGGATTTTATTTTAAATTAACTTATAATCTTCAGCATAATCAGCAAGGAACCAAATAATGAAGAAAGGAACTATTTAAATTTTAATAATTTTAATCTAGTATTATATAAACATGAATTAATTCTCGTAAATTTCAAATTAGAAACATCATGTCAATGCTATAACATTCAATAAATTAATTTGGAAATATTAAACAGAAAGAACCAACGATAGTGGTGGTAGTACATAGGGGTAAGCTGTATCAGAGAGACGACTCCTGGATAGTGAATCGATTAATTCAGTAATATACGGTTCATGCCGTGTATAAACATTTTCAACTCCTTTTAAACCTTTGATGAAACGTTTAGTCATTGCTATTGCTGTGCCACCAAAAAGATCATTTTGCCGGCGAGCTGAACCGCCGAAATCCAGAACAGCTCTTATTACCTGTACTAATAATATGTGACTTGTATGCACTCATATATTATTAATCGAAATTTCATTTTGACTTTAATGAGAAAATGGAAAAAGATCTGTTACAAAAGGCAAAAATTCCATAAAATTTCATGTTGCTCCCTTCTGAAACTCTACTTCTCACAAAATTATCACTATATGATTATCAATCGTATGGCTGCTGATTATAATTAAGAAAAGCATAATTTTTTAAGAACAATGAAAGTTTCTTTCTGAATATATATATTTACCTTAATATTTTGACTGCTCACACCTTTCCGTCTTAACAATTGCACTAAGCCGTGAATGTCGCTATTCGCATGATTCTCGAATCGCAGAGCGTACAACATCACTAGTCTTGTTGCATCCTCAATGGCAATGTATAATGTCACAAAGAGAAGCATTACCAGAATTTCTCTACACTTTCCATAGGAAAAGGTAAATTAAACTCTATCTACACACACACACCTTTGAACTTTAAAGTTTTTAAAGAAGCGTTGGTTTTTATGACTACATATAACTATATAATTCTTCAAAATTGTTTTCGAATAAAATACAAACAAAGCCATATAGAAATTTTTTTTTTTAAAAAAAAGTTAAAACAAAGAAAGGGTTACGAGATCCGTTGTTTGTTCATGCTGCAAAAGGCGTCGAACATTAACCAGGCAATGTGAATGCTCACCACCACTTGCGATTTGTTGTTCTACCTCAGAAATTTCAAGCAAATTCCGAGTAGCTACTAGTTTTGACAACTCACCAAGTACTGTTAAATGTTTGGTAACGGTACCTGAAAATTAACTTATTTCAGCAAAAATATTTTTCAACATGAAAGTATGTTTTTAGTTTCTTCAATCTGAATAAGTAATCAAAGTTAACTTGTGTATTTGATTTTCCGAGGATGACTTTTCTGCTGAACAGTCCCATATACTGTCCTTCATATAAAAAAGCACTAAAAGAAACTGCACCGTGTTAATGTACTACATGCAGCTCATTTTTTGAAGAATTTCAACCCTAAATTCTTAAATAAAAAATACCACATCTCGCAGCTCTACTCCAGTGCACAAAAGAAAATAGATGCATTCGTGTTTGTCTCTAGAAATAAAAACAAAAAAGAAAAAAAGATTGAAAAAGGAAACCAGCAATTTGTTAGACTATTAAATCACATCTCGTTTACCGGAAATCTTTTTGAATTGCGGATACTGTTCAACAAAGCTTTTCATATCAGCAACTGACTCAAGTTTTTGATTGGTTTGTGATTTTCGTTGAAATTCTGTTATCAACTCTTTGATATTCTGCCCAATCTCACCAAAATTTGCATACATGTTCTGGAAAGAAAATTGTAGGCATAAGTCTAGAATTGTTTTGTTTTGCAAAATACTATCACTTCAACTTCTAAGATAACATATTATATTTTCTCCGTTAATAAATAGAGCTTGATTCATAGCTGCATTACTAAATAGCTTAATTTCTAGCTAAGTACTCACTAATACGAGCATATATATATATATATATATATATATATATATATATATATATATATATATATGAATCACTGCACCAGACAAATTAAACTACTTTAAGATTACGAAAAACTGTGTTAAGCTTATACATTTTGCGACCATAAACATCATCCAAGCTTGATTTTGGTTTAACTGGTGAACATAGCGGACTGGTATTTTTTAAAAAGGGGATAGTGTACATGAGGTTTTGAAGCACAAAGTTTAATTTGTCATATGAACTTTCACACCTTCGAGTAAAACGGATCATGAAGAGGTGAAAGTATTAAAGCACCGGTATTCGAAGCCGTATTTATATTAACGCGATGGTTGTTGATACCCACAAGTTCATGGACCTGAAATATTGGTATGACGGAAGATAACGCAAAATGCCTCTATTCAGAATGTAAATGAAATAAATGTGCAAATGTCGCAACATAACACAACAAATTAAAAAAGTGACGAAAATCAGGTCAGTTTAACAATACCATAGCTTCATAGGTCCACTGGTTCAGCAGAGGAGTTACTGGATCTTCACTTCGATCGATTATTAATAAAACTGTGTCGGCTTTGGCATTTTCAAATAAGCTTTCTTCGCGAGCGATTGCCTTGGCAACTTCTTCAGCCAACAATTTGCTATCTTTGTTTGACTTTTGATATCTAAAATGGCATATTTTAAAATTTCGGTATCACACAAAACAAAGTTATGAGTTTATATTACATACAAACCAATGATTAAATTTCGTATTTTCAAGAAAACTTGAACTGAATAAAACTGAAATATGTTACAAAATCGAAAATTGTCCACATTTTGCAATTTAAACTATTTATGTCGGCTTCAGTTTTATATCTTTCCCTTATTCATCGATTGTTTACACGATAAGTTGTGCACCTATCCGTTCATTAACGTAGTAAGAGTAAAAAAGAAAAAGAAAAAAAAAAAAAAACTGGGTTATACCGTATTTCGGGTTTCTTTTTTAATGCCAGTAGTGTGGCAATGATTGAATTTAGAGCTCGCGTAAAAACTGGTGTCAAAACAGAGAAAGATGAGTCATAGCTATGAAGAATATTTAATGACAGAAGATGCGGACACAAAGGAACGCCATCCATGAAGAATTCATGCATTTCACGGACCTGAAAAAGTCAAATCTCATGGAATTCAAATGTCGTGTAAAAACTGGTGTCATAAAAGAATAAAAAACTTGTCAAATTAATGAAGAAATTATTTATTAACCTGAAGATTGTATGTCTTAACCTCACTGTCGCAAAAAAAGTTATGGTATTTTGAAAAACAAGCTAGAAAATTTAGCATTCTAAAATATACAGTAAAATTGTTTCAAAGGTAAAAATGATGAAATTTATAAATATTATACCGTTTCTTGGTCATCCGCCTCCGCCAGTGCTTTGACGTCAGTTTTGCTAATGATGTTACAAAAATCTGGAATGAAATTTTAATTAAAATGATTAAAAAAATTCCCCAAATCTAACGCAGGAATCACCACGATCACTCGAATTATGTAAGGGGGATTCCACTAATAAGTGAACTTACATATATAATATTGGCCATATTTCGGAAATCGCAACTCATCAGCTAATAGGTGAATGTTTTCTGTGGTAGGTCGTAAAAATGTTATACATTTGAGGTACTTTATTGGCTCTCTGAAATTTTTAGTCAAGAATTAAGCTTTGCATTATAAAAAGTTTAAGATAAGGAAAAAATGACACAGCCAAGGTTGGCATACCTCAAAGCAATAGAATCGATGCGTTCAAACAAATACACTTCTTTCTGCATCATATCGCTTTGTGCATAAACGCATGATACAGCACTGGTCTAGATACGAATATATCGAATAAATTGGAATGGGAAATGTTATTATGAATATGCTTCCAATGGGTAAACCGCATAATTCATTTGAATTTTCCACATTTAAGTAAAATGTTCTTTCGCTTTCCTATTTCATGCCATAACTTTCTCTGTATATGTCTAAGATATGTCAATATTTTCTCCTCAACAAATCCCCCAAAGAAGTAAACTATCACAGAACTCTCAGGGCTTTCCTCATAACATTTTATTTCCTGCTAGAACCTTTGGTGAGATTATCATCCTACATAAAGTAGTACTGATAATCCTCCGCAAATAACGTCTTATAGAAGTTCTAGGAATCAATACATGCTCCACTACTCTATTTCACATCATTATGACTGAAAATGTATAAAATTACCGTGCATTTATCCATCATCATCACTTTCATGCCAGGACCAGCCAGCCGGATCATTTCCGATATGTACTGTTGAGTAGCCGTGACAACATCCATTGTACTTCCGTTCCCTGCTATTTTCTGCCCTCCCAAATCTCCTTATTTCTCTATAACATTCCTGAAAAGAAGGATCTGTTATCCAAACATAAAGACTTCATGCCATTCAGCTTTTGCTTAGAAAATCTTAGGAAGAAATCTATTTTTAAAATTAATATTTAAATCATACAAAGCAAAAACGATACAAACTTCAAGTAGATGCGAAAAGTTTCTTCAACGAGTGGTCACGATTTCTAATTTAAGCTATACTATTTTAAAGAGTCAGTAACAAGATATTAGAAATACAAACATTTAATTAATTCCAATTCCTTCTATTAACGTTTTTAATAGCTGAATGTTTACGAATCATTTATCGTTCTTCTAAATTATATGATATTGAAAAGATAGCACTTGAACACAGAATACTACAGGAGTATGTAGCAAATGAGCTTTATTTACATTCAAGATGAAGAACTCTCAATAATTTTGCCAGACGATGTCATACCATGATAATAAATTACACAATTCATAAACAACAAAATCAATCTTTCGATCCTTGAAACTCACTTGACATAACTTCAAATTTTTTACAAAAATGTGGAAATACTAGTGAGCTGTCACATCGCATAACTAAGACTGAAACTCTACATGCAAGGATATGCACAAACATTCAATAATGCCTTATTGGATGTTTTTTTCGGACGCAAAGGAACGAATGTAAGGCAATCGATTTGTTAATTGTTTTAACGGGAATATGGTATCCATTTTCTGTCTTTTGAGCGTAAGAAGCAAATTTCGAAGGCATCTGGAATAAACTGAATTCAGATATAAGATCAGAGAAAAGAAGATAAAATTCTACATTTTATCTTATCATTTATCTTATCACACCCTTTCATATCAGAATAAAATGCCTATCAGTTAAAACCAACTGACGAGAAAGGAGCACCGACATCATTTAGTGATAAACATAAATGTTTTGAAAAGAAAAGCTTATTCAAATAACTACAAACTCACAATTATATCTTTATCATCCAAGCGTACAGCTCTTTTCTCTACCCACTTGTCGAACAATGATTGACCCGACGTAGTTAACATATTGCGATGATTCATAAAGAAGTCGTTTGTCAAAAAGAAAGCATTTCTTCCAAGTTCCATAACTGCTAACAGTACAAATAAGTCATCGCTACTCCTGAAAGAAAGTCGCGATGAGTCACTTAAAATTACTCATATGATCCTCAAAATTGGGAATTTCTATTGATACTTAAGCATCAACTATTCTAAATGACTAAAAAAAATAACGGAACATCACAACTATATACATGGCCGATATAATTTCTAGAAGCTACTGCATGGTTAATATAAATTTTACTAATAAGTAAGTTTTGTCAACCCTTCAATCTGAGCAATAAGTAAGTTTCCTGAAGATTAGAACAAAACTATTTAGCTGAGTTTTCTTTTTTTTTTTTTAAAAAAAAAAAAAAAAAAAAAAAAAACATATACATCCTGTGGCAGAAGAATGCTGACAAGCGAGAGTTATAGAACTTATCATGTTCATTCCATACACGATTCGTGTCACCACCTTTTCGCACAATAAGCAGCACATTAGCAAATATATTCAACGATTTCTGCAACACTTCGTCAATCCCATACCTTGATCTTATATTATTAATTCCTGTATATAAAACATTCAGAGCATCAACAACCAATGACTGCTGATCCTGAAAAATTTTTTACAAGGGAAAAAATTTATTTTAACCTTTAAAAGACATGCAGTTAGTGGCTAGTATCTGTTCCTTATACGTGTATATTGTCCAATAATTTAGCATAACTCCGACATTGTACTAAAGTAATTCAGCTTTAGCAACGACCTAACCAATCGATTAAGCAGCAAGCTATACAATGAGGTATTAGCTGTAATAGTGGGCGCACTGCTGCCACAATTGTCTTGTCTTGTTTAGGTAGAATTTTGACTTAGAAGCATTGAATCATAATCCCCTAGACCTCATAAGGCAAATAATATTAGAGATTTCTTAATGGAAAGGAAAACAAACAATAAGACCAAAAATTGGAAGAAAAATGAGCGCCTAAGAGCTACGAGAATCCTCAATAATTTGAAACATGACGTGACAAACTTCAACAGGTTTTATTTTTCGCTTTATATGGTCCCTTAAATCGGAAATCTCTTGATCCGTGGCACTAGAGAACATCTGCATATCATTAGACAAATATTTCCTGGAACAAATTTGTATCAGTATAATTTCAAAATTCTTTTTACAGAAAAACAATTTAATATTATTACTCCTGTGATTAACAAAAAACCTTAAACATCGTGACAAATTAAACTCCTCCAACTAACACATTCTGCATAATCACATAATAATAATGCAAGAATTCAGGTTAGGCAATTTTAATTCAAAAATGAAAGGATTAAAAACTTTCCTGCCTCATTATAAAGCACTTACATTATTTCACTTCTAAGTAGGCCAAATTCCATTTCCGACAAATCCTCATTTTTTTTAAATTTTCCTCCACAAAAAAAGCAATCGCCATTATTCGATACAGTCGTGTTCCTGATATCCCAATATTTTGACTGACTGAAAAGTAAAGATGAATAAAAATGAGAGTTCCTTACGCAAAAATACTGGTTTATATCCTGGAAAAAATAGTTGTTTCAAATTTTGAAAATTGTTATACAAACAAAATACTATTGTACTGTATATATCGGTGACATCACGTATCACACTGCAATCCTTTAGTCTTGAAGGCGCAATTCATTACAACCAATGAACTGCACTGAAGAACCTTGTTTTTTATCAAACATTTTAGTTATTTTAAATTGCATACATTACAGTATTACAGTAGAAGCTTCACCTCCTCTTTGTCTTTGGGTGGAAGATGTCTTCACTATATACTCTTACTAGCCCATATGGTAACCTTTTTTTTTAGATAAATGCATTTCCATGCTTAAAAAATGTTCTAACACATGGTTTACAGATACGGTTTTGAGATAAAAAAACAACTTAAGCACCTGAATTCCTAGTCAAACATAACACCATTTAAAAATTACTGTGGAAATAAAAAAGTCCTGCTGATTACTGCCTGGTAGCACTTACCGGATGATGGAATTGAAATGCCATATATTGTCATCTAATAAAGTAATACTGCGTCCTGACAGATAATCCAAATATGTAGATGAAATAGCTGAGTGAGAATTAGTATGCAAAGCGAGAACTCGCAGTAACTGGTCGTTTTTAAACAAATCATAGGCTGTCTCTTTTGCAAGCAGTGCTTGAAAGAGAGTTACTTTTCCGGAACGGACATAATTGGCTATAAAGATTGATAAATCAGTAACTGGAATATATAATAACTTATAAAAAAATTTATAATGACTACAACCAAATTCATCATGGAACTATTGGAAATGAACTAATATTACCAAAATCTATTGATAAAAGATATTACCTAACAGGGCAGTGATAACGACAGGACGTAACATCAGGTTTGATGGCAATTTTGGCATAATATTCACGGGACAACATGATTTCAGGAGTAGTAAAACAGTCGGTTTCAAAAAATGTGGCACTTTATTCGCGAGGAGCAATAAGTTTCGCCATAGTTCCTCATCACCTCTTTCTGCGGCGCCTTCCATGTGGATGCAAACGAGCATTTCAACCATTTCAAGCACTGTGTATGCTGGTAGTGAAGATGAAGAAGAACATAAACTAGAAGGCATCAAAATTTATTTAGAGGCAAGCTGAAAACTTAATTGCAATCTATAGCAGTACCAACTTATAAATTATCTTGTTTTCAACTCAGGCTAAGTCATAAAATGAATTTGGGTAAAACTGAGATTTAAATATAATTAAAAGTTGCGAAGTTTTTCCTTATTTTGCACGAAATATAATGTTTGTAGAAAGCAAAGAAAATCTCACAGAAACGAAAAACTTACTGCTTCAAAAGTAAGCGACCTGTCTTTAGGTAACGAACATCTCTCAGAATCCGCAATGCATTTAGGTACTTCATGCTACCAAACAATTTCATGCGTTCACAGAACTGTTCGACGCTGACGTCGCACAATGCGTCATTTATACAACCGCAGTGAGCTAATTTTTCAGCATTTGTTCTCGGAAACTGCAGCGAAAATTAAAATATCCTTTATCTCGAATTAATCTTTTTCTTTTTTTTTTCTTTGCAGGAAAAAAATTGGAATCCGGTATTATTTCACTAGAATTTGATAGAGACTATCGTCACAGTCTCAGCATGTACAGATTGCATTTATTCAACAGTATTCCTTGCCATCTAGTTTTCAGTTTGCAAGGTTTGATTTCTTTTATGCAAACTTTAACTTATGTGTTTTCCCCACTGATGTGAATACAAAAACTTTCTAATCCTTAGTAAATACAAGAACTTAATATGCAGCATAGTTATCAAAATGTGAAATGAGGTTTTGAAAATTAAACTGTATAATTTTCCAACAAAAAGTAGTCAGTTCCTTAAAATATCGTACAGTACTTAAAGTTACAGAAACAATGATAAATTTTATCCAAAAATTTTCAAATTTGTCATTAGAAAGTCCTGTCAAAAAAATTGGACTGGGACAAAAGTTCCATTAAAAAAGTAAACTGGGGATAAAAAAAAATAACTTTTGGTGATGAATTCTGTTTTGAACAAACGTTGGTACCACTGGATGTAAGAGGATTCGCCAGCACACTGCATGTCGCATGAAATAAACGACCCGCACCAATATCTGCCTATAAAAATTGTCTGCCTATCAACGCTTCAAATTTGGTACCACCCTTATATTAAAGATATTTCAACTATTAATAACCACCAGAATTTAATTAATGCTTAAGAGAAATTTCAGAAAACTGTGATGAGAAACAAAAATTTACTTTAATACTACTGTACACTTAATACACCTTATCATTTCATAACGAAATTCTTTAAGAGCTCAGTTAAGATAAGCAAATATGGAAAACTGATGACTCTTAAATTCCATTTCAGGTATTACAAACCAACAGTTAATTTCTAAAATGTTTAATGTACCTACAACGAATTTAGAAAAGCTCAACTCACCAATCTATGAAGATGAGGAAGAATTTTGCACTTTATCAGCATCATTAACTTCTGTGAGTAAAATCCCTTCGTCCACTAACTTTTGTTTATACTTTTCGTAGTTATGCTTACGAATGAAATGTGGGACCTGAAGCAAACAGCGAAATAGTTTCAAATATTTCTCAAACTTGCAGCATGCTAAGATAAAGACAACTATTATCATCTCCTAAATTCCTCCCTAGTGCAGCGAAACAATATCTGCATTTGATATCTTTTTACAATGCAGCCAATATAAAGCAGTTAAGTTATGTGACCCCTCTTTTTTAGCATATGACATCTAGAAATGTCCAAAAACCGCAACAAGTGCCCAGGTTTTGGCTAAGCAAAAAAAATGTCAAAATAAAATCTGAAATGAATTGAAAGTGAAAAAAACAAAAAACGAAAACAAGAAAAGAATAAGAATCAAAGGTCTCCGCAGTACAACTACATTTAGCTTAATAATATGACCAAATTTGCATGCTTAGCATATGAAACCTAACCGATACACATGCATCTCTATCACATCCTCAGTCATGTCCATATAAAATAAGCATACCCATGACGCAGGACAGTCCTTCTCGAACTTCTGCTTCAGCTTTTTACACTTTGACTCACTATAAGTTTTATACTGCTCGCAGCATTTAAAATATTCGTCTCGTGATTGATAGCACTTCTCTCTGCCTGCTTTCAAGCCAGCTGTTACATCAGACATACAAAAGAAAATACTGAAAATCAATTGAGAATGACAGAAAAGTATCGTTGTTAAAGTAATTAAATTTAAAAAAAAAAAAACGAAGCCTTTTCACTTGGCATCACTTTAAAGAACTTAGTGATTCCTTATCAACTCATAACTAATCGACGTCCATCACCACGAACCACTCCCCACAACACCCTATAGAAAAGCACACCAGGGAACAAGTACCACGGACGATTGCAAACCGACCCAACCACATCGCAAAACGCCTGCTGACCAACCGTAAAGGCCTATTTCTGTAAAAAATGAAATCCCATCGTCTCACGAATAAACTCCTCCTGTCGGAAAAACCGAAGCAATTTACAATGCCGAAACAATTTAAGCTTTAAGAACAGGGATTTACAGGTTAGGTATTGTCTTATTTGAATGTTCCCGAGACTAATAATCTTTACTTAAACATGTTATGAATCATCATTAGAAACTTATCCAGCATCCACTACAAGTAAACTGCATTGTTTGGGGTCAGTCTTTGTCGATAACGAGTTTCGATTCAACTCGTCGTCTCAATACTTCTACAATATCGAATACTCAACCCACGTCCCGCTTATAACAGCAATGAAGTTTTTATTCAACAATTCATTTGTATCACACAAACTAACTGCAAGGACTTCATCTGACACCTTCTACTTCCAATGTAATGAAATTAGGAAAATATTATTATAAATCAATATCATCGTTAGTGAGTAAACACGAACTGGTTAACATTTAACTTTATTGAACAATTTGTTAACGAACTGGATTGTTGCCAACAAATACAAATGAATGAAATGGGGTAAATAAAAAAAGTTAAAGAGACTACTGGAACGGGAGAGAAAAATAATTTCGAAGCACATGAAACATGCCAAAATAATTCCTCAAAAAGAAGATATGAGAAATGAAATAAATTACTCAGATAAAATACCGTTAACAATCCATGAAATCAATGGCATGTTCTTCCATATATAAATTGAGTATAAACAGAAAAGTGAACGAACATGAAAAAAATATAACAAATGGTCAGTATGAGGTGATATTAATTTCAAAAGGAGTATGTGGTTTCGCTTCTTCTGAATTGTCTTTACCTTCCACGCGCGTTCCCCCAGCTGCCGCTAATGCCACAATTTCTTCCTGAAAATTGTCAAAATTAAAAAAGGGAAAAGCAATTATTTCAATTATTTCAAACAACATTTCCTCTTATATGGATTTTATATGAATATGAATACTTAAAATCAAATCTAGGAGGAAATATATAATATTAGCCTGCATTCCGGTAATTCTCAAATATTTTCTAAGCCCATGTGATTTAAAAAAGAAATACAAGAAAACGATCGCATTATTAAACGCCATTCATAAAAGAACATCCGTTAACTGCAATAGTAATGAATAAAAAGACGAAGTAGAGACGAAGTAGAATACATAATAACGAATTGTTATCAGTTGTTATCAGCTACTACCTGTTTTTCAAAACAGTGTAAGCATCACTTGGCCCAGCAAATACACAACGGATTGATCTCGGAGCTCATCGGTAAGATTTTAAACCATTTAACCGGACCCCATATCTCACAGAACAGACAGCAATTGGGATAAGACATTTTATGAGGCAAAATGGCGTGTTACTTACAGTAAATGAACTAAATTATTGGAAGAGCTCCACTGGTCAACAGCTGGTTCCGATCATATTGTATATATAACAGTCCATACAAAAATAACGATAAAAAGTGCAATTCACTTTAACTATAAAATATTTAAATCAAATAGAACCTTCTCTTGTCCAGCTTTCTTGTCACGAAGCATAATTATTCCTCCCTGAGAAAGTGCTTTCAGCGGTTTATAACGACTGTTTTCAGTCATTTGTAAAGTTTTCAATTGCAGGCGAACAATACGAGCTGGATTTTGCAGAGTATAGTTGGTTGGTTCTGATTCTTTGCTGCAAATAACTGTAATGAAGCGTCCAATCATAAATGCTACCATTTTTTCAATAGAATTAGTGGTGACATAAAAACAGAAATCACAGATACCATCCACCAACAACCACTGGATCTTTCCTCACCTTGCTTACTATTTCGAGTTAATAAGATAACCAGTAAACAAAAAAAGAAGTGCTTAGGAAGAAAAAAGAGAAATAAAAAATTAGATAAATTTTGTAAAAACTCCTTTTGCCGAATAAATTCAAAAAAAAAAAATCATTCGAACGATCCGTCTTTGATAAATTGAAATCATGACTATATGACTATGATAAAATAATAAACATTCCAAATTATTAAAAGTTCTTTAGATGTTCATTAAATTTGTATATCGTAAATATACCTCTTCAGTTCAGTTAATTTGTGTTCCGAATTTGCAGCAATTGCGGTAGGCACAGCAGCAGCAGAATCAGCTGAAACCGTTGTAGCAGGTGTACTGTCAACCTCCATTTCCTCCTCCTTTTCTTTCTCAGATTTTTCTCCCCTAACTTTGGCTTCTTTGACTGCATTAGCGCTTGACCGATCAAGAATTGAGGGTTTCTTCTTGTGAGTTACAGAAAGAACTGCTGTTTCCACCTATGAAAAAATTGGTTTATTCTTAAAAACTAAATCTAACTTCAAGAGTTTGAAATCAAAATTGATTTTTTTCTTTTTTTTTTTTTTTGGACCGCTTACAGTACTTGCATGAAATTTTCACACTAACCCTCCTTAGAGAATAGAAACAAAAATCATAAGATAGTTTTTTCTGGTGATAACTCTTTGAAAATTCCTTGTCATCTCTACTGATTTATGACTTCAAAATATGTACAAATAAAATGTGTAATTTTATTCCAAAATCAAAATATTATATTATTAAAACACCTTTTCATTTTCTTCTTTTTTCTTCTCCTCCAAAGGAGGTGGATAAGCAAAGGTTGAAGGCTTCGCATTGCAACGAAATTCTGTTTTTGGCATCTGAATGAGGTAAATGAAGAACAGTAATGAACCTGACTAGGACGAGTATACTCCGAAACTTTTGGAATCTAATAGTTCCTCAAAAAAAAGTAAAAAAAAAAATTAAATTTACTTCATTTCTTAAAATTCTATGTATTACCAGAGTGCTACTGCACAAAAATTAATTTTGATTTCATTCAATTTGAATTCTCATTGGATGATATTCCATGACTTTTAACTCAACAGAATCCTAAATTAAAAACTAGTGAAACTGAACTAACTTCGAGATTCAAATTAAGACCGATCACACAGGTTGGTTTGAATACTAATGACGAAAAATGTGCTAAGGAATGCCAATACCAGTACTGAAGGAAAACGAATGTCCCAACAACACTTGGCATATCAGGATGGCCATTACGATTATGAAGTGATATCGTGACGTTACGACCACCAGCATCGATAATACCTTGAGCAAGGATTGCACCCAGTTTTGTGATTGAGTCTTCACCTTTCTCCGTTATCATCTAAATTAAAGTTGGTGAAAAAATTATTTTAAAAAAGTTATAGTTACCATTTCATATCATGCACCTCTACTTACAACATTTATAAACATCGTATAAGAAATGCAAAGAAGTTCTACCAAGCTTTATTGAAGAACTGATAATTAGTCTTCTGAAACAAGATCATTACCTTCGTCAGTGTTCTTCGAAATTCATTTACTTTCGGACAAATTGAGTCCGTCTGCTGGATCAGGATAAACGATAAAGCAATGACAGCACCTTGTCGTACAAAGTTTTCTTTGGCGCTCAGCAGTGGATCAAGCAGCGCGATAGCTTCCTAAAATTGTGGCAAAAAAATCAAGCTAAAAACTAGAACACGTTTGAAACATTTTCGTAACATCATATCAGTTATGTGCAAGAAGAAATAAATCATTTCTAACTAAATTTACTAATTGCTAAAGAAAATAGCGCACTGATTAGAATAAAAATAACGCTTAGAAAAGATGTATTTGAAATGCATAGCCTTTTGAGATAGTTCCATTTTAAATTAAAAATTATTTATAAAAAAAAAGAAAATTTTTGTTTTGTGCCAATATCATGAGATTATCTTTCTTCGTCATAGATTATGCATTTGACTTTATTTAGATTTTTGAAAACAAAATATTTGATTCGGACAATTAGTTATCGTAGCATTTCTGCTTTAACTTTTGTTCTTATTTTTTCACCTTCATGTTTATTCGCGTCGTGTTAATCAATTTTGAAGACGATGAAAGAGGAAAATATTTCCTATGGCTGAAGAATATGAACATTTGAAAACTACCATCAAATGACCTGATCGACAACATGAGAAATTTATCTTTCTTAAGAGTAACTTCATATTTAAACACTAAATCAATAACTAATTTCGCTATACTTTTTTTTGATGCAACAACTTGGAAAAGATGAAATAAAAAAGGCCGATTGACGACATTTCAACTTTTCAAAAATTAAGGAATTAAAGTACCTATTCCTTAAGCTCCACTAAGTCGATCAATCTTCATTTCCTCTCAATTTTATTTTGCTATTTCTGCAGAAATTTTAGTGAGTTTCCCTTTAATGAAAAATTCAAATAAATAAGATTATTGTCTACGAATATTTAACTAGAGTAGAGTACAAATGGTTTTGTATCTTACTAAATCACACAAAAAAACAATTTCACTTTCGATGTCATTTTCCCATCACGGTTAAAACATTCTCTGAAAAGGTAAAGTTACCACTAGCTGCCTTTTACTGTTATCGTAAATAAATATTATTCGAATGATGAACATAAATAATGAAAAACATACTTTATAACCAGATCCTGCACAAGAGATGCCTAATGCCATAGCAGCGCCATATCGTACATGCGGGTTGAAATGTTCAGCTAACATACCAGTATAGCTAAGACACTGTTCTGCATCACTTAAATTGCATAATTCGGTAATTTCTTCTATATTAAGCGATTGTCGTAATTATTTAGAAAAAAAAAAGAACGAACAGAGTTAAAAAGAGAATTAAAAAGAACTGGAAAAGAAGCAAAATTTCATCCAAATATTTATGCACATTTGTTTTACTATCAGTTTCTTAAATCATACTTTTTTATTTGTTTATTTCATATACTCGATAAACCATAATGCTTAAACTTATAAGACTTTGTATAAGAATAGTTTTTGTTCAGACAACAACAAAATTTAAAACAACGCATCAAAATCATTCCCTACCGCTCTTTTTCCCATTCACCCGTCCACCGGTAGTTCCGGTTTCGTATTAATAATTTTATTTCAAATTATTTTTTCCCCTCTTTCCTTTTACCAGTTAAATAACCCTTAACTTCATCTACAGTTGTTGCTTCTGTAGTAATTGTCGAAATCATTAAGAAATACAATAAGCTTGGTTTTGTTTGACCTCGACAAACTGCAAATGCTTCTCATAAACTTCTCACACCTGTAATCCAGTAATCCTTATTTCATTAATTATGGTTCTAAGTGAAGTCAGTTATTCAGCTAATCATATTCGTCTTACATAAATAAATGCAATACTGTTTTGAAGACTTTGTTTTCAAAAATCGACTATTTCTACCTAGAAGATAATCACTGATTTTATTCTCATGGAACCAGTCAACACAGATTAAGATAATGTCTGGTTTATGTAGATGTCACAGAAATTAAAACTTTTTGAGCCTGTAAATACGTTAAGAAAAGAAACTTATAACAAACATCTTGAGTGATAAATATGATAAATAATAAAGGTATAAACTTTTCTTGTTGACATTTCAAATTAGAAGAGTTCATTTAGGAGAGCAGCTCAACGAAACCCAAAGAAAAATTATTTATCAAGAAACAAGTTCAAAAACTGAGCAATCATTTTGAAGCAGAAAATTAGTCCAACAAAGCGCCAATAATATAATATTCTTACTGGAAAATATGGAAATATTGGAACTTCGCGTTATAGAATTTAAGTTATATAACATAAAACTATTCTAATTCATGATAATGTTGCTGTCACTGTATCTAATGCCATTGAAAGCGTAACGCACAATTCTTAAAATTTGGGAGGAATCAATTGGGATTCTGAAATAAGTTATCATCATAGACAAAATAGTTTTATGTCTGCTTCCAGTTTCCAAAAAAGTTAGATACTTGTAAAAATCTACTACTGTACTCCTCTTTTAAATTTACTTCTTTATTTGATCATTGACGACACTCGATTTTATTTAGTCATATGATGATATTTAAATGTCTTTATAAATTAAGCAGTGCGAAGAGTGAGAGTTGAAGCAGATGGAATCTTAAGCATTAAGAGGATGACATGTTAGTTCATAGCGGATCCGGAACAAGTTTTGTAGTGAGTGTTTAATGAAATCGCGGTAGTTAGCATCATTGAACAGAGAGAATAAAAGGGAAAAGAGGCCAAGTTTACAATGCATAAGCTGGGCTCTACCTTTATCACTGCTTCCATCATTGCTAAGCTGTTTCAGATTTCATAAACATTTTACGCAGCAAATATACGGAAACTGCAGAAAATATTATGTTTCCGCGGCTGCTGTTTAAATAACTTATCTCACTAGCTATCATTTCTAACCACTACCGTGAATTTTAACAACATTATCATCAAGTAGCTGTAAATCGCGAAAAATTGGAATTATATGCGATAGTACCCTCGCACTTATTAGATGTCCGTTACTTGGGATCAAGAAGGAGCACAAAAACTTCGCGTTTCTTCACTAACACGTGAGACGCTGAATATCCTTATTATTGTACTCCTATCATTACTGTGTGCTGTTGGTTTACTGGGCAATTTACTTGTGTGCATGGCAATCAAGTTGAACCGGAAGCTGCATAATATTACCAATTATTTTCTTTTCTCACTAACATTAACTGATTTGTTGGTATGTGGCGTGGTAATGCCACTTAGCCTCATTGTGGAATTAAATCAAGGTGAGAACACAACATTTTAAAAGAACTAAAAAAAACTGAGAAAATAAGGTTGTAAAAGGAATTTTCGACGAATTTAATGAATAAGTCTGCAGAAGTAATTTGCTGTTCATTTTCCCAAAATAAAATGTTTACACTAGTAAAGAGATTAAATATATGTACAAAGCAAATTTTTAATAGAGAAATGGAGAAATCACAAAATTTTGCAGAAAAAATTTCATAAGACCATAAGATCATTTTTTAGTGGCTCAAAAATTTTTCGAAAATAAAAAGAGCGGAAGTGAAGAAGCGTGTTTACTTCACTTTTCTTTTTCTGAGCAGTATGTTTGCTGTATATTATAATAAGGGTTATTATGCGAAGAGGAAGAATCATAGGAAGAAAAAAGAAATCAAAAGAAGCTGACTGATGACTAAATAGTACTATAGCGAAATCAATTTATTCAAAAAATAGAGGAAACATTTGGAAAATAAAATCAAAAATAAACCAAAAAATGAGTTAGTGAAAGATGAACTGGAACTTGGGACAGTTGAAAAAGCAGTTTTGATGTGAAAATTGTGAATGTTCCATTAAAAAGAAATCCTTTTTTTATGCTTTTCTATTTTCCACTGTTATTTGAGAAATTTCCCCTCTGAAGGTCGGAAGAGTAAGTGATTTATAGGAATGTGGACATGGAATTTTTTGATGTGCTTACTTTACATATATGCCGACGTATTTTTGTGCACCGCCAGTATTGTACATATGTCTATTATCTCAATAGATCGATATCTCGGTATTTCTTTATATTATCATAAGTATGCCGCACTGAGCATTCCATGGAACCATAATTCTAGTTAGAAAAACCTCACTGATGATAACTGAGGATTTTAGGCAAAAATTATGCAAATTATAATTTTAGGAATTTCGAAACCTTTGAAAGCCCGGAATAAATCAAAAACACTGATGAAGGTGAAGTTAGCTTCTGTCTGGATAGCAACGATATTAATCTCTTGCCCAATTGTTATCATGGCTCTTATTGATTCAAGAAATGTATTTAATGGTAATACTTGTCGCATTACTAATCGTTACTACATGATTTATGGATCAATACTCGCATTCTTAATACCATTTCTTATTATGGTAGTTACTTATATCCGCACTACAAATCTTCTCAAACGACAACCAAGTCTTATTAGTCATCAAAGGACTGCTACCAACAGTCACACTGAAGTGCCAATTATCTTACGACATAACTTCACGCAGAGCAACTACATCCCTAAAAAGTAAGTTACCCTTTTCGTGGAAAGACCACATATATATCTCATCACCCCCTAGGCCCTAACCGTATTATAAGATAAAGCGTGAGTTTTCGCTAATCAGACTTTTCGATTCGTTCGCTCCGAGCACTAAAAACCTCTCTTCATTTAACCACAACTACTGCGGGACCGACAAAGTTTGTTCAAATAGAAAATAAGTGTTATTTTTTTAGGAAAACTAATAAATCTCCTAAAATATTGGAGTAGATTTATGTTTTTAAATCGTTTTGTTTTTCCACAATGTTCTTATGATTTCATTTTAATTTCTAAGGAGGAAATTTTCTTTATCAGTTCTTAAATTTCTTAAACAATCATTATTAAATATTATAGATAACGTGGAGATTTTTTTTCACTTTGATTCAAAATTAAATTAAAACGACGGATAGCTTGAGATAGGGAAAAGGTGTAAAGAAGAAGAATAAAGACTAAAAGAAATTAAAGTTTATAGATGTAACATTTGATTTCTTGTCTGTGAAATTAAAATTTTGAAGAAAAGTGTAAAAAAACTCTCAATTCCACATGTCAGACACAGTGTCACTGAATAGCAGTGCATAAGAGCAGAAATTTGATGTTGATGAAGTCCGTCTAGAAAATTCGCTAGAAAAAATTTTAATGCAAAATTTATTCTCTCTGATTTTGTGTTTCAGATGATATAATAGGTTTATTAATGTCCGCAATAAAAAACAAAAAAAAAAAACAAAAACAAATCGTCCAATTTATTTAACGATTTTTGCAGGGTTCAAAATGTTATTCCATTTAGAAGAAATATAGGCATGACAAAAGGCCCGCTGAAGACTACTTTGTTACCGATATACTGTGAGAGAAGAATGGAAATGGTTAGTAAAACGTTAGAATGAGATGTAATATCTTCTTTTTCAAATTAATAAGAGAAATGATGTGGATAGGAAAATATCTATGAATAGTGTCACGACAAAATGACGTCGGAAATGACTTCATTTTTTTTTTTCAAATTGTGCCATTCTTACCTGTCATGCTTTACTAAACTACACGATTACACATCAATTTATGTCACTCATTTCTTGTTGATTATTATAACTGATAATCTCTCATTTACTACACTTCAATTCGTATTTAAAGTTAGAAAAAAATCGGCCACGTAATCTTCGAAAACGTACAAAAATAGCAGTTTTTGCCATAGGCGATAAAATAACCAAGAAAGAAGCAATTCCAAAGCGCAGCACAGAACTCACCAATGAACACAAGGTTGGAAAATTTCATAAATCGAATTACAATTCTGTTTGCTCAGGATTTCAAAGACTTTCTCATTTGGCATCAACAAAAAGTTAAATGCTTATAATCTTATGCCACTGTAAATGAACACATTGATCAAAATTTCTAAATTACGACTTCTAGGACTTCTAATGATTTCGTTTCAGGCAACACGTGTGCTAGCCATTGTATTTGCATGTTTTTTTATTTGTTGGACACCATTTTTTGGTGGCAATCTTGTGCTTGGCTTTTGCGGCAAACGATGTGCCTTACCGCCAACTATAGCGTCTTTTTTTCTGTGGTTAGGGTATTTTTCGAGCACCATCAATCCTCTTATTTATACTATTTTTAATAGGTTCGTTTAACTATCAAGAAAGAAATAATCGTAACTATTGCAACACCAATAACTACAATATGTTAAGTTAGCCACAGCTGTACAGAAGAAAAACAGGAGTATTTAGTGATATAAGCAGGAATTTTTTACTCTGTCTAAATAGGGTATATATTTTACAGAAAACTAATACAAAAATGGTTACAGAGTTCATGAATTTCTATTTCGGAAAAAACTATATTTGACTACATCGAGGATAATGGGCAAATTTTCCATCCTCGCTGCATCTGATATTTAATTTTTAGACAATTTCGACGAACAGTCCTCGAAATTCTTCGCTGTCATTGTGCTTACTCGGTGCAGAATACCTATACTAGCAATTATTATTGGAGACAATTGCACAATAACAACTGGTAAGTGTGATGATCACTTATAGTAAGTATATAAGCGAACCAACAATCTCAATAGCTGATCCCTTAAATTTATTCAGAAAAAAAAAAAAAAAATGAATTTGTAAGTTCAGAAATCATTATGAAACCTGTAATTGTGATGTCATTCATTCCACTTGTATCTGAATCATCATTCCAAATCATTTATTCAGATTTTGGTAACTCAAGCTAACTTCTTTGTTTCGAATAAATTTTTTGGGTTAAAACTTCAAAGTACATTTTTTGGGAATAATTAACTGAACGTGTAATTTGCTTCCAAAACTTTATATGCAGGAGTTTAAAAATTACAGTTTTATTGAGTGAAAAGGCGAGAAAATTTCAATTTCTATCCACGACACAATCAAAATTCTTTTAAGGCTTATATTATTGCGCTTAGTAATAAGGGTACAAATTACCTCTACCTCCATTATTGTTTCCAACTTCTCACATTTAGGCCCAACAGATTCACGAGGGAAACACAACAGTGTATTTCAATGCTAATTATCTCAGGGTGAAACACTACAAGTCATGATTTTCCAGTTCGTTCTTTTTTACACTGTCTTCCTTATAAATAGTACATTTTGTAACAATTTCTGAAGACAAGGGATTTTTTTTTTACAAAATCAAGTAACGTTGCCCATTTTATTTAAAATACCAAAACCAAGTCTCATTTTTTTTTCTTTAAATTCTTTCTCTGCTCCTGCATCTTATAATTGATAATAAATGAGCTTCATTTTTACAGAAAAATAAAACTTTACGACAACGTTTTTTACGAATGGGAAGGACACTGGGTGCAGAAAATACTAAATACACTTACTGCTCGTTTGAAAAAATAGTTTAACATTTCGAGAGATTTAATAAACTAAAGATATCTTATCACTCGTAAATTTAGAAGCAAGGTCGTATGACAAAGATTTTTTTTTTACTTTTAAGTTATTGTAAGAGAAAAATTATATTCTATTTTTTGCAGCTAGAAATTATGGTTTCCATAAGTTGCAGGGTTACCACTGATCGACCTGATTTGGAACAAGAACGCTCCAACCCTCTACGCTGTAAAGGATGTTTAGATGAGTCGAAACCTTCAAGACAAGAACAAAGTGTTCAGTCAATACAGCCAGATGGTTTACCATTGGTAACAAACAGAGGAATCAGCTTACTTCAAAAGAATGTACAACCTGCAGTAAGTCATCACCTACAAAACAAGCTCAAAACGAAGCATCTCTCATGGAAAAGTTAGTAAGTTCAGAAGTTTAAATACTTGCTTGAAGCTATTTAAGAAGATAAAAACTACCAAGACAAAACAGGAATTACAAAAAGGTTAAGTTTCCCAAACTGTAACAAGGTTTACGAGAAAAATTTTAAGAATGGTTAACAATGATTTCTTTTCGATCGCAAGAAAAGCAAAACAAACATTTTTAAGAGAATATAAAACTCGTCAGTAAATCTTCAGAATTTAAAAGCTAAGAATTTTTCCAACTGTCCAATGAGTGGGATAACTGCCATTACTTGGCTGCAGATGAAATAGAATTTCTAAAGCAGTCCTACTTATATTCTTGAAACCTTTAACGGGAAATTTTTCAAATGAGAAGTACCAGTGTTACTGCAAATAAACTGCAACTATTACAACCAAAGCACTCTTCGTTGCTCACAATTCTTATAATAATCGAAAATAACAAAGAATTTTGGATTTCCTTTCTCCACATTAGGAATTTTTAATGGTTTTATTGCTCAGTTATAATTTGACACTGGTAGCATAACTTCTAATTTCATTATTACAAAATTATGCTGATATGTATTTTAGAACCCAGATGGACGACAACCCATTTTACTGAGCATATTATTGAGGAAATTATTTTCAACATTTGATGTTGCAATGCTTTGTTACAGCAAACAGCTAAGCCTATGAAATTGTATCATGCAAAAATTCATTCTATATATTCAAGTTATCTGTTTTATTTCGTTAAACGCTGAGTTCTATACGACACTTTTCTTATCGTTGTATTGTGTTTATCTTATTTATTTATTTTTTTCTTTATTTTGAAGTATTCGTTGCAATGAAGTGCTAATTCTGTTGTGTCGCTCCCATAAATAACAATAAACAAAACAAAACTGAGATTGATAAATCCAAGATTTGATCACGGCCATCTATTCATTTAAATCGTAAAAGATATTCAAAAAAAGTTATGAAGTGATGAGTTTCTCAGGAAGAATGAGTATAAAATTAAATTAAAGAAATGTTATTTAATCTCTCCTCTGCCCCTTTCCTTCTTTTGTTCCTACAGTTCTTATTTTAAGAAACAAATAAATAAAAAAAAAAAAAAACAAGAAAAAAACTCTCAAATTATATCAAGAGATAAGTAGAATAGAATTAAAAAAAAGAATGAACCTTTATTCATTAATTCCCTACAGACAAATACAAAAGTACGAACAAATGCCTCCAACATCATATGAGAAAAACTTTTAAAATTAAAATAAGATAACTCTTATTTTAAACAAATTTGAGTTAGTTACATAAAGTCTTAATAAAATAAATTAGTATGGGTTTAAAAAACGAGTAATTCGAGATTTTTTTAAACTAAGGTAATCAAAAGGATACACAAGGAATTAATGAGTTTTACATAATTCGATTGGGTCACAAGATTACTATTCTTTTCTGTCTCCATTTTCCTGCCTTATAATATTTTTGATACCACTTATTTTACAGTTATTTTACTGAAAATAAACTAACTTGCTAAGAACGAAACCAATGGCGATAACAGCGAAACGTTTCACATCTTGATTTGGATCAGCTGCAACTTTAGCCAATAGACGTCGAACCACATCTGCTTTACCTGATCCCGCATACGCCATTGCAAGCATACAAACTGCAGTTGAACGCAATACCGAATTTGATTTGTGCTCTAACAAGGGGGCTATCAGTTTTTCTGCTTCTTCTTGTTGCCCTGAAAATAAAACACTGCGCAACAAGGCCTAATAATTATTCTCCATTAAACAGCAATTGAAATTTTTGGCAAAATAGAAGTAGAAAGTATAATGAAATAACATTAAGTGCAATGTAACGGCAATGAATAGATTAATAACGAAAAACATATATTTTCAGACAAGTTAATGCAAAGACAAGAGAGAGTGTAGAACTAACCATAAGCAAGTAAGGCGATGCCTGTACGCAAACCACGCTGAATTTTATCGTGCTGTGTGTCACACACATATTGTACCATTTCCTGATACGCTTCCGTTTGCATTCCCCCAACCATTACAAGACCCATTGCTAGTCCAGCGGCTTCACCTGTCACGGCATCATCTTGATATAAACAATCACGCAATTGTACAAACACCTGAAAATTATTAGCAGTTAAAGTTCAGAATGTTTAAGGGAGTTAAAGTTTTTAGAAGGAAAAAAATAAATTTCTCGTATAGATTTGCAAACATTGAATAAAAAGAACCAGAATTTTACAAGAGTAAAAACATTGTAGAGAAAGCATATGTAACAGTAAATAAAACAGCAAATAAGTAGACTAGCTTGTTCATCATGTGTTCCCATTGCAGCCAAACCAAGGCCAAGACATGCTCCATGACGTGCTGCTGACGTTGTCGCCTTCAATAACTGATCCCGAAGATAGGCGATCACTTCAGCATTACCGTGATTTGCATGAATCAGTCCTAAGGTCAATATTTATATTTTGATCTTTATCGGAAGAAAATTATTTCTGCATATAGAGGCCAACTTTTTTTCAAAACATAAAGAAAAACAGTTCTACTTTTTAAGCAGCATTTCCCAGCAGTTTGAAATGAAAATTTATTGCTAAAAAAAAAAAAAAAAATACCATAAGCATACAGCGAACCACCCTCCTTAAATCCAAACTGATCAGCTTCACCCTTCGGCAAATACGGATCTAACAACTTCAATGCATTCGTTTCATGACCCTCAAAAATATTAGTACAATATAATATAAAGTAAAAAAAAAAACTAATAAATGTCTTCAAATATTAAAAAAATAACTTTATGAATAAGTCCAAGTGATGCCACAGCATTGAATTTATTCCAGTTCGTTGCTTTGCTTATCCACTCCAAATTATCTCTATAAATATGGTGCACTTATAAAGTGAAGAAACAAACGTCAGTTACAACTTCGTTTATATAAATATTAGTTTCAATGTTTTAACAGAGGATGAAGTGGCATGATTTTGGAATATATGTAAATCACTAGATTAGATATAGATAAATAGTAGATAGACAGAGAGATGGATAGATAATCTTTCACAGCAACAGCATGATCAAGCTAATGATGGTTATATTATTTAACATATAATGTAGGAACTTTATAGGAGCTTTGAAGTTAAAAAGGTTATATAATAAAGCTTACCTCAAAAAATCATCAGTTGTTGTTCCTAAATGCATCAAGCCATTTGCAATGACAGTAGCATTATGTGCTGATGCTGTTCGTACGCTTTCCTTTATTTGTTTTAAAATTAGCATATCAGTGTGATTATTTTTTATAAGAAACTGCATATGATGCTTGATAGTTTGCTCGCCACGCAAAATTGATCGCAAACGTTCACAGATTACCTTATCCTGAAATAAATCCAAATAAATTAAAGGAAATTTTGAGACGATAAGAAATTTTAAACATAACCGAAAAATGAGTAATTCTTTGCGAAGAAAAATCAAAAGAACAGCTGCCGTGTAAACAAAGAAAGAAAAATGGTACGAATGCCAAAATTCATTCCCTAAAATTCGCTTCAAATTAATTTCCGCCCAAAAATGAAATGTATATATTATTTGCTTTTTCGAAGTGTCTTGTCCAAATCTTTTGTATTTGCAAAGTTGGTACCTTTATTTTCGATTTTTCTGGAAATGATGCATCCATTACCATCATTTTTGCCCCATCACCTATTGTGCTGGAAGAACCACCAGCAACGGCATCTTCACAAGACTTGATTTCAGGATTGCTCCTTTTCTGCTTCCTAGAATTTGCTATTGCTGAGATAAATTTAACCTCTACGCTTACTGCAACTAGTCCCCACTAGCTAACCGATCAGTTGGTGCCTGCCCCAACACTAGCTCAAAATTATCTCTCCAAAAATTGAAATCTTATTTCCCAAAGACTCTTAAATTTGAAATAAGAAAAAACTTACTCTTTCTCCTCCATTGATTCAGATGAGGACGTATCCTTCGAGTGTTCATCGTTCTTTCCTTCTTCCGTTTCTTTATTAACAGTAGTAGCTTTCGAAGCAATTACGGCAGTGTTTCTACTAGGCTCTCTGTTCGTTAAAAAAAAAATCATTGGAAAAGAATCTGAATGGAAAACTAAACTTCAACACGAATTTATAACGAAAACTACATCCCGTAAGAAAATATTCTAACAAACTAACATTTTTCCTTCAGTGGTAATTTCCATAGGCTGTATCAACGCATTACTCGTTGTTGGTGCATCTATCGGAGTGCTGTCTATGAGAGATTGTTCTATTTTACTGATAAATTGCTGCGAAGCATTCTCATACAAATCAAAAGCAATCTGATATGCTAATAATACACCACTGTCACCCTGAAGTGAGATTTTATAAAATAACATAAAATGTGAGTTAAAACAAAATTGATGTCGTCACTAACGAATCGGTCTACTGGTTATAACTCAGCAGCTATAAGTTTACAATCCATAAGGTAGATACAACAAAACTAATAATATGTTTTACTTTCAGATATTTATGTTAAAACTCAGTTATTGAATTTTTCAATAAAGAAACACATGATTAAATGGATTAATTGCAGCTCAGAAAATATTGAAATTCTCGTTTAATTCACAAAACATAATCTTTTATGTCAGAGGATCATTCGAACAACAACTGACTGCAAAGAATTCATCAAATAAACTTATTTTGCATGAAAAGCTGATACCTTATTGGAAACCAATCGCTGCAGAATATCCGCAACATCATTTGGTTTTTCAAGTTTGATCAAACATTGGCACATGGAAACAAAGTCGGGCTCTTCCAGTTCAGCAAACAGACGAAGTAGCAAATCCAAAACTATACTTCGAAAAGCACGATCCATTTGTGACTCCAATACTTTCGCTACAGTTTCGGTTAACAAAGCTGCCTGATCATCAGTAGCCTGCAATTTTATTACTAATGACAGACTAGAATTATTTGATTCTTAAAGATATACTGATGACAAAAACATTAATATATAGGGTAGCTAGCAACATTTAATGCTACAATGAAGCCATAGTGACAACTCAAAAAAAAAAAAAAGAAAACATCTTTTGTATTCACCCAGTTTATAGCTACATCTAAATAGATAATAACTCTAATATTCAAAATTCAAAAGCATGTTAGCTCTACAATCATATTTTCATATAAAATTGTGTAAAATGTATACTTTTATTCTTTCATTTGACGGAAAATTAGATCTAAGTTCAGAAAATTATGGAAGGGATCTAAAAATCAACTGCTTTCAACATTGTTTGACCTTTATAGCGACTAAAATCATATCCGTTCTACGCGTATCCAGTGCAAGTCCAATCACATATCTCAGTTCTCGTCTTTTCATGTTTCTCTCGAAAAGTCGATTAATGAGTTTTTCCAGCCGAGGATCTATTTCATCTTCATTACGCTTAGCTTGTTTATATGTATCCAGCGCATGCTCGATTATTTTATTCACATACTGAAATAAAAAAATGCTCGTCACTAAAAGTACTTCTTACATGCTCAAATTTCCAAAAAAGTGTATTCACCGCCATGCCTCGTCAACAGCTAAGGCTACATGTTCAAACTCAATACCAGTAAAATATTACTGAATTTATTCTTAGCCAAACAATACCCAAGCCCCTTTCATAAATATTGCATAGAAAAGTGCATCCATAAAGTCTATTTTCTCATTAAAAAAAAGAAAAGAAGCGAAACAATGAAATCTATTTTCTCGTTAAAAAAAAAAAAAGAAAAAGAGGGACGAAAAACAATGAATTTCATACCTGCTCATCTTGCGAGCCAACAAGAATCGAAGGTGACCGTGGCGTGAGTTGGAATTTATCTTCAGCCGCTAAAGCAAGTTGCAACGCACCATTATAGTCGCCCAAACAAAAAGCAACCTGAAATCAGTCGTGGGTATTCGAAAAAGAAAAGAGAACGTTAAGATAATGGAAAAAAAAAAAGTGAAAGGTGACCTTGGAAGCTAGAAGAGCAGCAAGATAACGCTGTTTAAAATGCTCATCTTCATGAAGTCCTTCGATGACGCTTAGATAGTCGGCCACTTCAAACCAAGTTGGTGTCAGAACATCCCAGTCATCCAATACCTCAATGATCAGTTCCTTTTCGCGCATCGACGAATGCTCACTTTTCAAAGCAAGCAAAAATGCACCTGAATTTAAAAAAAAGACTTTCCTTAAAACTTATTTTAAGGTAATCGATCAACTGTTTATTCCTTATTTATGATTTCAGTATACTTTTGCCGTAAACATATAATTCATTCCTACTGATTAAAATAGTATACAGAAACTTCCTTCATGTTTTGCAAACCTAATACTTAACATAATTATTAATAACTATTTGTCAACATGTTAAATGTGAATTTGCTTTGGTTAACATCCATATATTCTGTGGTACATTTTGCTCATTATGCTATTTTGATGAATATAAGGTTTAAACCAGTTAGAACAAGACCACACACCAATGCCTTAAACTTTCTACTTCTTGAATACATGAAATTAATATAAAATCCGCAAGGTCAAGAATGTAAATATGGACCACAACGCACTTGCATTTTGAGCTCCACCGGGTTGATTCTTCCATTGGTTCAGAAGATAAAGCGTCATCTCGAATAACTGTCCTACAACACAAATCAATAGTGAATTTTTCAAGCAACATAGCAAATAATACTGACGATGCAACACTATCTCCACACCCAACATTCTTATCTACAGTTGACCACCATATTTATAATATGCATATTTTTTTCATTTTGTTAGCTGGTTTTGTTTTATTGCAGCACAAACATTTCAATGAATATGTGGACCCAAAATAACAATTCAGCACTCTTTGTCAGCAATGCATATTGTAGCCTTCATCCACTGACATCAGTATCTTCAGTCTCCTATTTAAAGCTACTTAGTAGATTCGCTTTAACATTAATCCTTAACATGATTTATCAAGGAGAATGAAACCACCTGAAACTGATTCAAATCACATAAAATCAACCAACAAAATTATTTCTCTAAGATAATTACAGTTTGAAAATAAACATACTGTTATGCTGACAGCAGCGAACATGTAATAAAAAAATCCTTCCCATTTTTATTACAACAATGAAAGCGTAAAACAATGGAGGTACAGACATTATAAAAATAGCTTTATTAAGCAAAAAATATTCCACACTACTGATAGAAGTTTTCTGATCGAACTATATTTAAGAAAACGATGACTAAAAGCTTCTGTCATATGTAAGATAATTACAAAGTAAAATTTTTTCGTAGACAAGGCAGAGTTTTTTAGACTTCTAAAATGGTCGTGAAGTCCAATCCAGGAAGACATAAGGCTGCCATCAGAATTCCAACTAAAAGTAAAAAATTTCAATCAATCATATATGATCAAATATGGAAAATATTGATATAATAGATGTTTTAGATAACTCATTTACAATACTTGGTTAATGTCATATAAATAAAACCCTTTACTAGCAATATGAGAATTTAGATAAGTAGAAGTTATAACACTTGAGAAGTTTTTTTAGTGAAACTCAAAAGAAATAAGTTTTTTGAAAGATATAAAATGGTCAGTTGGCAAAAACTAGATTTAATACTGATGCAAGACTAATAATTGCAAAAAAGAACAAAGAAACAGAAAAAACCATATGTAAGACATAATATTAAACCAAACCAATTCATGAATCAGTAGCTAACTGTTTAGCCTTTAATACAGCAGGAGCTGAGCTCGGAGGCAATATGCGTAATTCCGTAACCAATGCAGTTATCAAGTCAGCAGCTACAACTTCCTTTCTTTCACCCATCAAATTATTTACTTCATGAATACCATGGGAAAATGATTGCACCTGTAAATAGGTACAACGGTTGCTAATAAGAGAGAACAATATGCCTGTATAAATCTACAAAACCGGAAAAATCTCACGCTGTAATGAATGAAACTTTAGATGACACAAAAACAGAAATTGGTCAATAGAAATGGAACTCGCCCGATCAACAAATTTGCATGTTTGTGCAGCAATCATAACTGGAATATTCGAAGCGGAAGCTACTAATGCTATTTGACTAGTGCCACGTTCTGCCACTACGAATCCGTTTGATAAAATCGCCGAACAACCCAACAAAACCATATGACACTGTAACGATAAATAAGGACGTAAGATTGATTCTAAATTTTAAAAGCACCTATATAAATTATGAAATTATTGATGGACTGATGTCTGCTTCCTAATGGAACATTTAGTTACAATATTTCCGACAAAAAACCTTTCATAATTATTAAGCTTTTAATATTTCTATTGCATTTTCCTCATTTTTAAGAGACCTTATTTTAAGAAACCTTAAATACACAGTATTTAAGTCTAAACATTTATTGAGAAACAGCTAACCTCTTTCATCAGATAACCAACTGAAGAAAGCATACCATAACTGCACGGAATCTTCCGTTCACATAATGTCTTCACTAGTTGTTTTCCTATAAAATAATAATAATAAATCACTGCACAAAAGACCTTTTTTTAAGAAAAAATGTAACTAACAGAAAAATGATTCGAATTAAAAAGTACATGAAACAAACCTTTGTACTCTATAGGCGAATCCAAAACGTGCACATGAAAAAGCAGTTTGTCATTGTGAGCATCCAAAATGATCCGTTCTACAACCGGACACCTGAAACATCACATCTAAATACCGTTTCAACGTAGAAGATATTTAAAAAATAATTGTCACAAAAAAACATTCCCTAACAACATAATTCAATACAAAACGCGTGTGACTCCAAAACATGCTTGATATTGCATCTATTGCCCACAAATATAGAATGAAGACGGTGTTTCGACAAAAAATTCGCCGCTGCTCTTTTTAGAATTTCTGAGATCTTTAAATCCATTAAACTACTATTTTCTTCGAATTCAAAAACTTCTGGATACAAACCATGAATAAGTGAGCAAAAAAACTGTGTTTTTCATTTTTTTAAGACAAAATGAAGATATAGCTTGTAATGCAAGCTCGAAATTCTGCTGCACAAAATCATCCAACCAACAATAAAGATGCTCTTTACCCTGAAAAACTTATTTAAATTGGCAAAGACCAATACATTTAAACAGGCGTAATTTAGAAATGGAAAATTATCGAAGAATACTTAAGCATACCGTAACAATTTTAATCTACATCTTCATGCTAAATATTTTGAGCATTTTTATATTTTATTTTACTGGTGAGATAGACAAATGACAATGTAAAAATTGTCGATTTACACAATACGTACTTCTGTAAAAGACCAAAGAGTCTTTGTCCACGAATCCAGGGATATTTCACTAGTCAAATACAATAAAGATACTGAAAAAAAACTACTATATTTGAGTCTCTATAATTTTATTTTGCATCAGTAAAAAATGTACTTCTTGTTCAGAAATGGAATCCGGCAGCTGACTAATTTCTTTCTTCAGCTGCTTTATCAGATTGCCCAGCATCAGTGGAAACGAATGCTTTCCATTCTCCGTCATACAGCTGTAAAAATCGAAAACATCAACACAAAATAAAAGTTTTACAATAACAGTAAAAAAGACTTCCAGTACTTTATAAAATAAAAACAGTCATTTACTTTAACTGCTGCCGAACAGACTGCTCGAGATCACGCGACATAACTTGATTTGGTGGAACAACGTAATCCGATAAGAACTGAAAAAAATTACAAAATTGTAATTCCTTTGATTTCTTTTGTTAACAAAAATAAAATAAATTTCGGACAAAAAATTTTTAACAAGATATTGTCTAGAAACCGTATATCAAGATTAGAACGACTGTAGATTCATTACAATCATTTGCATTTGCACAAGCTTTATTTTGCTCAGTTATTGTAAAAAAGAAAAAAAAAATTGGGCTAATAAATCTCGAAGTGAAAATTACTTGTTTAAAACTCTGCACAAATGCTACGCAAACAGCATCAACACCAACAATATGCTTTGTTTCACATCTAGAATATAATAATGCATCGGTAAGGCTTTTACTGCCTAATAAATCAACCACATTAATTCTCGAAATGCAAGTTCAAGTACATCAGACGTCCCGACGCTCAATACACGGCACTTAATATTCAAATAATTATAACAGAAGCTTGCATCAAACACTAAAATAGCTAATCATATGCTAATTAATGCTTATTTTTCTAGTTTTATATAGGAAAGAATTTTTCCTGTACATAATTTTCTAAGATTAAAAAAAGAACCTGCTTGAAAATACCAAAAATGAAGGATGTATATTTGGTGTTAACACTTCGCAGAACGATGCCTGTTTAGATGAGCCCTCTTCCCACTCATTATCCTTTGTTGTTAGATCTAAATAAAATTGCCACACATCCATATAAACTAATAAATAAACCTTCCACTGAAGTTATCACTGCCAAGATTAAGTCCATCATTCAGAGCCTTCTTCTTTCAATGATATCACCATACATTATAACCGTACACGAAGCTGGCACTATATGATTTCCAGTCACAAGTTCAAGGCCTTAACTCACAAAAATATCATTAATTCCAGATCTGCTATATGGTATAGTTCAATAATATGTTTAAAGCATGAAAAACCAATCTTGCAACTCGATATAATAAATGATATACCTATACCAAAATGAACAGCTTTAAAAGGCTGTGAAGATCGAAAACCACTCGGAACTCCAGGATCTTTCATAAACTTAAATGGACTGACATGTTGTTGTCCAGTAGCATCTGATGAGCATTCTTTTTTCCGATTCACTGTGTTTTCTAATGTTTTTTCTCCATTTGCAAACGCACTACTTTGTTTAAGTAATTTCTTTGCCTTTGCTGCAAAACCGAAAACATGAAGTCGTCTAAAGTTACTCCCTGTATATGGACTGTAAGTAGGGATGAGATATGTGTTTACGAAAACTATAACAGTCAACAATGTCGATGAGCATATCACTTCATATTAATCAGAATTATGAATAAACTGAAAGAACACTAACTTTTTCTTGCCTTCGCTTCAGCAGCTTTAGTCTTGCGTTCCATTTTAATTTCTTCTCTGGACCTATTGCTTTGTCCATTTATAATCTGCTTTAATCCTTCTGGCATTCTATTAAACCGCGATGAAGACTGACTGCTCATTTTGTCATCAATTTGTAAGTTTTCAATTTCCGCTACCAATTTCTCTTTCGCATCCTTTACCTAAGAGATGAAAAAAGAATAGTTGGTCGACCGCAAAAAATATATCTTCTAAGAATGTATTGAGGAGTTGACTGGTAGTACCCTGCGAAGATATTTGAAGCTGAGTGCACACTTACGTGATCCATATTGCTGACTGATAACAAAGACAGACATATCCTGAGGCAGTCTACGGCGACATCGAATAGGCGCACCACTTCGGTAGCCACCGTATCTGCTCTTATCCCCTTAGAATTGCTAACCTAAAGCAAAACTGTGTCTCTCCTGCTAGGGTTTAACTGGTGTGCTAATATGTTGTACTTAATGAACCAAAAAAGCTTTCTCCTCTTTCTCGATTACTCAAGGTGGACTCACCTGACCGCACAGGGCGTCTTTCTTCTTTATGCCGCCCACGTTCATTGTTGCATATATAACCAATAACCACCCATAACCCACACTCACCAAATTAGACCTTCCCACCCCAAAAACACGGTGTTTGGTCGCTTCGCTACATCCTGGGCCCGCCCACTTGCATGGAACAATTGTGATGTGAAGGAGCAGTAGAACCGAGCTAGCTAGAAGAAGTGGTCAGTTGTGAGTGTGAGTGTGAGAGTGGTCCTGGGTTAACTGATTTAATCAAATTTAATTTTCAGTAATGAAAAGGCATTTTGCTTACGTTTATTATAGGGGGAGAATCTGGAAGAGTCATAAAGGTATCATCTCGAGTAATGCACTAGGTGATTTTGATGCAGCTGACAGAAGGGAAGTAAACGAGAACATAGATCACAGAATATTTTAGTCGAAATGCTTTGATGAATTCTCAACAAATGGTCTTTAAATCATCGTTTCATACAACATAAACTGAGAAATCACATGTGATATACAATGTAACATAGAGAATTAATCGGGATAGTTGGCGCTTACGCGCAAATCAACCGACTGCATGCATGCGTACACCTATGGTATCGATTGAAATTCAGAAGCATAATATGAGTAGAAATGTGAGAAGACCTGAAGGAAGTGAATTGCCGGATGATGATTTCGCATACATTTCACCTGGAATTCAGTTTATCTTATCGTCTTTTTTTTTTTTTCAAAGAGATATGTACATGAATTAATAACTAGTTTCAGTAATTTCATCCAGAAAGTGAGTTGGATTTGGATATTGGGTTTTTTATATTCAGTGACACCTAGGATTTGCGAAAATCGATCTGAACATACGAATGGCAACAGTTAGTTCATCAAAGTAGCTTATGTATTAGTCTTTAAGCTAGCAAAATACATGGGATAGTCAATTATTAAATTTGATACTCAAGATTTGCTACTATTTCTAAAATATACGGGCAAGAATCCACTGTATGAATATTATCGTTTTGTTCAGTCAGGATAGCGAGTTAGAACTTAAATTTATTACCACTTCTAGCGTCAGTAGTCTTATGATCCTGTAAACCCGATCCATTGATCCAGAAGAGGACGATTCGAGGTGTAATCCAATCTCGAAGTGAATAAGAGTCAGTTCTTCTGATTGATACAAGGACGTATGCCGGTCCAGGAGATCGACGTCATTTTGCACTGTTTCTGCAGCTGATCCATGTCCATTGTGCATGTGTTACAGTCCATCTGCCTGTCTTAGGGGAAGGGTGAATACTACTGACCCTCACTGGTATATGCCAACGACTAATCAAACCGACAAAGAAGAAGTGTGCAACGGTTGTTTCACCCCATTAATTTAAGTCACTCGAAGTTGAATAATTTTGTTAGATATATTTATTGTATGAGAAAACTAGCAAAGAATTCCGGTGATGGCAAGATTTACGCAAATACCTGATAGCTTTTCCAAAAATTCTCTTGTAAGATCAGTATCTGAGAGAAAGGATCCAATCATTCCCTAAATGTGTTGAGAAAGTACTTCTGGGAGAAATATGACAAGTCAGTTCCTACATGCTTCTAAAATTTCTTGGGTACATCTTCGAGGCGTAACTTGAAATGATTTGGTCAAATTTTGTTTTAAAGAAAAGTTGAAAGTTCTCATCAAAGAAATGTGTCCCGAATGTTTTCAAAATATTTCGATTGCAGCAGAAGGATGAACAGGGCAATATCTCACTTTAAATAAAACAAATTCACTCATTTTCATAGCCTTAGTTTATCATTGTTGTTCACTGTTTATTGTTTATATTGTTTAAATGTGAAGCAAATTAATATTTGCAATATGCCATAACCTATCCACCAATGACCCGGCCTTTTCTGACTAGAACATCACAGAACATACTAACCAGTGTCCATTCATCTCCTTCCGTTGTTATCTCGTAAAGCACCAGCAAAAAGTTACTTTATAAAACCAGAGCAGTGACTGAGTTGTCTTACCATCGACTGAATATACGTTTATGCTTTATTCCTGTTCCTAACAATTTCTAACTTTGCTTACTTAGACTACCTGTGGCGAAGTTATTTCTCTTTCACATTGCACGAAAACTCTCAGTTCATTGTTATTCAGTCCGATCAATTAATCCAATACATGCATTATGAAGAATCTTGAGATCGATATTAGGAAGAAGAAGCTTTTTTGATTGAATATTTTATCAAAATTATATTTCATCCACTTGACCAAATAAATTATTTCTGGTACGTTGTTTTTATAGTGTGGCTCGATAGTTATGATGCCTCTAGAGGTTGCCTTGGACAGTTATTCGATTCTGGAGGTGTTTAGAGCCTTATGGTTTCTTGTTAACTTTTGTGTTTATTTTTTTCATACCTTTCAGACATAGCTGTTTTTATCAATGTTAACTTGCCACCTATGACATAAACATATGGATTGAAAATTCATTGCACTGAGCTATCTGCACTTCATTTTATGATACTGCATTGCAAGTATAGGACTAAAAAGTGAGAAAGTATGAAAGTGATGATTTGATGACCAATAAAACAGAATAAAAGGCAAAAGGCAAAAGTTTTAGAAAAAGAAAAATGTTAAAGTGTCACATTGAAGGTGATTTTTGTCTATTGCTGTCGGTTTATTCATTATAAATAAACGCAAAATCTCACATATTGTCAAATATATTTTTTGTAGATCTTCCATTTTTTCTAAATTTTTGAACAGTTCATTTTATCCCAAACTTTCCTAACTTTGTAATTTTCCTCAATTTTGAAGAGAGATGTTTCGTTTGCAACAATTTTCTTGAGCTTCAATGAATGAACCAAAATTTCAAAAAATCTGGAATTCTACTTTTTTTTGTGGGATCTGTAAGTATACTTTTGGTAATGATTTTATATTCATTCTTGACTCATAACGTTCATATATTTTCTCGTACTTTTTCTGGTCTTTTTTCATATTCAGAATAAAGTACGACTGAAATTTACCATTGGCAATTTTGTTTTCTCATTTATAACCTCAACAATAAAATAAAATCTAATATTTTTTTACCGAATAAAACAAACTTATTACAAGTACTTGTTGAAGTAGGACTGAAACTTTTTCATCAAAAATAATGATGAACCAGCAAATATGACCAAGTTATAAACACTACTATCATCATATGAGCTATTACAGGAGCTTAATCATGTAAAATACAAACTAAGCAAAATTGGAAGGCCCAATGGAGCTGAAATTTCCTGAATAAGAACTCTAAGTTATGCTTTTTAAATTTTCAGCTCTTGCTTAGTTTTTCAAATTAAACGTGTTAGATTTCTGAATTTTTCATTCTTTTTTTTTTCCAGCTGTTTAATGGATAATAACGAGATTTAAAACGATTTAGTTATCTGCTGTGATGTTTGGTAGGGTATTTTAAACCTCCTCAAAATAAGGAATGATAAATTAATTAGCAAAACTAGCTTAGGTAATATACAAGAAGTTATAGATTCAAATGGCCAAGATGTTTAGGAAAAAGGAAATCATTAAAAACTGATTGAACAGGTACTGCCCTTAATTATGCACTCTATTTTTCGAAAGAAAATTAATGACATCACCGTAAGTTGCTATTTGGATAGAAGTATTGAATGCTACCGATAAAAGGAATATTTCGCCCTTTACTAAAGAAGCAAATTTTTGCATAGCTTTTTCACTTTTCATTATTTATGACCTATTTTTAATTAATTAATTATTAGTGATCAGCGAACATGAAAAGGAGCCAACTGTCAGCTTAATTAAATTAGGTGATGAATAGAAATTCAAATAAAAGTTTCAACCACTATCGACTAATGAAAAATTTATGTTCATACTGCATGCAGTTGAAATGAAATACCCAGCGAATCTCGAATTTATTAAAACAGGTTTTGTTCCTTCCTTGTTCTGTAAAGCAAATGCTATAGATCGCCAATAAATTCCATTTTCTTTCAGTTGTAAAGTTGAAAATTTTCCTTTCGTGCATTATCTGATATATAATCATTTACTTACCCCATTCCTTCCTCTATTATACAACTAAACATAAAACAATAACTATGGTAAGCATAGTGATTACTCTCCCACTAACTTTTCTTGTCAAAACAGCAACTATGTCAGCATTACAGTGTGTGTGTGTGTGTGTGTGTGTGTGTGTGTGTGTGTGTGTGTGTGTGTGTGTGTGTGTGTGTGTGTGTGTGTGTGTGTGTGTGTGTGTGTGTGTGTGTGTGTGTGTGTGTGTGTGTGTGTGTGTGTGTGTGTGTGTGTGTGTGTGTGTGTGTGTGTGTGTGTGTGTGTGTGTGTGTGTGTGTGTGTGTGTGTGTGTGTGTGTGTGTGTGTGTGTGTGTGTGTGTGTGTGTGTGTGAGAAATGTCACATATTCTAAAGTGAATGCTATCTTCAACACCACGTAAGAAGAAATTGATACTGGAACATCCAAAAATACTACTAAACTCTATATTTAGTGTTTAGCTTATTGTATTCAAAAAACTTTTTAAGCTATCTGAAGTGAAGCCAACAATACTTATATTTACCATTTGGATAAATAAAAAAAAAAATAGCATTAAGTTGGATAAAATAAAAATGGATCCCTTATATTTATTTCCCTTTTGTTTGTACATTGATTTTTTCTTTTTTAACATTTTCATTAATAATGTTCTTTGATCTAAACCGTTTTTTGGATCATCTAGAATAATCGACTCCGTAAAGGTCAAATGGTAGCGATCGAACTATTGCCATGATCTACAACATAATGTTATCTTGATGACGATAATTAACACAATTATTTGTATTTCTGAAGTGACAAGCCGACCGGATTAATTAAATAATCTTTTCAATTTCTTTCTTTTGTTAGAGGGAATCGGTGGATTCGAATTTTATGCTTCAACTTAAAAGCTTTTCAAGAAGTTTCTGAAAATTTTTAAAACTGAAATACTAAGTTTATTTTATTTCCCAAAAAGATTCGTTATCTTTTTAATGTTTTAGTGATAATTTCCAGGCCGTTTGCAATTTTCCTGTCGTCCTACTAGACGATAAGGTGGACAGTTCCGATGCTCCTGGAAGAATATAGATTTATGTAATATCCTGCTAACCTATGTTTGCAAAATAATGAAAAGCAACTGCACCTTGACCTCAAAGGAAGTAAGATGTCACAGTTAGCTCTTATAAATCTCTTCATTAAATATTTCTAGATCATCATGAACGAAACGTTGAATTTCCGTAGAAAGGGTTCAGGCAATGTTGTGTGAGAGAGTGAGAAATGTGATTTCGAAGCAAGTTTGCAAAATGCTCCACCACCTTCGATTACTTTTAAAAATCTCGAGAAATGCTTTGCAAGTAGGAAAGAGAGAACATCATTTGTTGATTTACATAAATCTATTAATTGCTGATGTCCAAGCGGTTGAATACTAGTTCACGGTATGGTTCTTATACGTTGGAGAAGGGAAAGTCGGTCGTTTGCAAGAAATGGTTGATAAGAGAAGAGAGAAAAATGGGTAAGCTGTGGGCGAAACGATCGGTTTCGATGACATTACACAACTTTGTCGACTTCCCAGTTTGCCATAATCGAGCAGTAGTCGGTGGTTATTGTACCTGTAAATGTCGTAAGTCCCCTAAAAAGACGATTTATCTTTCCTCTGAATGGGTAATTTTCTCTGTTAACTTTTTTGTTCTATATTTTAAGTCTTTAAGTTAGAAATTAAGTGAAGGAATAAGCGAAGATGATGATATAAGAGTAAGTCAAAATTTTTAAATGAAGCATAAATCTTCAGCATCTAGTTCGTTTTACGCCTGTGTACTTAATACAAATTATCGCTAAGCGTTCTTCGACTACATTTTTTTCAAATGATATTGAAAGGATTTGGAGTTGTGAACATAAAAAACATTGTGAACAGTCAAGTTTTCTTAAAGTTAATTTATTGCAATTGTGCAAAATTTGTAAGATAATAAATATCATATCTTTTCTTCCGTTCAACTCTTTTGTTTCTGTTAGTTCAGTTGTTCCACCTCCGCTTATTTGTGGTGCAGTTATTATGATGTATTTGTATCACTATTTGCCATCTAAATTTAAATATAAACCGGAACAGCTTGAGCACTCTTTCCTAATATTCTTTCTTAAAGCGCTGATGATGGACTAAATTCTGTTGAAAGTGTTAGGATAAACGAAATGCTTATGAATGGGACACGATGCTGTCATTCAAGTAGGACATTTTTTTAAAGGAGAAAACTACCTTC